TGCACACATGCACATGGAAATTATATGGCCCCCATGCAGTCTCCCTGAGACACATGCCATGCGTCTGGCCTACTTAAAGACTTGGCTAGCTGAATCTATTGCAGCCACGCAAGTCGAAAAGACACTATGCGGCGGCTTCCCCAGCAGAAATCCTTGTTCCGCGAAACTCTGGCTGCCGGCAATGACCGCAACCACTCCGGCACCCCCTACAGGACGCGCAGCCGAGCTGCAGGTCCTTACACAGGGCGCAGCCTCCGGGAGTGTACTCACAATGCCAACAACCTGGTCGCTGGGTGGGGTCCACGCGGAAGTAGGAGCGTTTCTGGTTCTTCGGCTCCTTCGGCTTCTTCGGCTCCTTCGACTTCTTCGACTTCTTCGGCTCCTTCGGCTCCTTCGGCTCCTTCGGCTCCTTCGGCTCCTTCGGCTTCTTCGTCTTCTTCGGCTCCTTCGGCTCCTTCGGCTCCTTCGGCTCCTTCGGCTCCTTCGGCTCGGCTCCTTCGGCTCCTTTCGTCTTCTTCGGCTCCTTTGGCTCCTTCAGATTCTTCGGCTTCTTCGGCTCCTTCGGCTCCTTCGGCTCCTTTGCCTTGATTGGCTCGAAGGCGGCCTTGTGCTTCTTGGTGCGGTCCTTCCGGTTGACGCCCTCCGCAGGGTTCTCCTCGCAACCATCTTTCCATGCCTGAAAGCATGCCCACATCTCCGACTCTTTCTCATCGTCCCACTCATCAATAGGCTTGGATGCCTTCTGTTTTTTGCACTTCTTGTGAACATTGTTCGCAACAGCGGCTGGCGTTGGGAATTTCCCCGGAGTTTCAAACCGTTTCCAGCCACTCCACACAGGCGCACTGGCTGCTGCGCTTTGCTTGGAGTGTGCTTCTGTAGTCCCCGAGTCCTGACCAGCAGCATCGGCTTCTGCGCCCCACCAACCCACTTCATCTTCCGTCTTGGAGGCCGGGCGGCGGCGCTTTCTGCCTGGCTTGAGATGCTTCGCTAAGTCTTTGCGAAGCTTGTTCTGCTCCGCCGGGTCCACCATCACCAGAGGTGCATCCACCTCACAGCTCGAGAAAATATAGGGGTGCTCAGGCACGTCCGATTTTGGAAAATGCCCCGTTAAAAGGTGAGGTCAACTGCCCAAATTCGCGTCTTAATGGATCGCCATATGCATTTGTCCGTCCACTTTACCCCAAAAACGACTGAACAAAGCAGCAACTTGGCTATCGGTGCTGAAGAAACTGCATGCATGGTCACAGTGATCGGCACGCATGTCTTTGACTTGGCTTTTCCTCTACACGCGCGTGTGGGCAATGTGCTATCACACGCGTATAAGATCATATATGGGCGCGGAGATCAATGGCCCATGCACCCTGCCTTCTCCGGGGTCTCGTCAACAAACCGCAGATAATTAGCTGGGACCGACATATATTTGACCCGCGATCATGATTTCGCGACAGAAGACCCGAGCGAGAATCCTGATCTGGGTTGCCCCGAAGCACAGGTGCAGGATCCGCAGGTTCCCCATCACCAGGATCCGCAGGTTCCGAATCACCTGGCGCAAGCCGGATCAAGCCGGCCGGTACAAACGCATGCACGCATGCATTTTCACCGGGATTAGCCGTGTCGGTTGCATGCCCAAGGAAATTCACCCAAAGGTGCAAATAGATCGGAATGATACGCCATGCAAATGCAAAAAAAGTGAATATATAGGGCCGCCTTCAGTGTGCTCCTTGTTCGTCTTCACCAATTCGGGATTTGGCGCGGTCTCCACCAACTCGAGATCTGGCTTTTTCTCCGTCCTATCATGGCCAATAAAATCAGAAATGAGCAATCGCTAAAAACCATGACAGGGGAAACAGCAACTGCAAAAAAAACTCGATCGGGATCCCTCCGCAGGCCTCTCTGCCTGCACTGCCGCAATCTCTGCCAGCAGCGCTGCCAGCTCGGCTTCAAGCTTGCATTTCTCATCGTCCTTCTGCTCCGTGTCATCCTTCTGCTGCTTGTCGTCCTTCTGCTGCTTGTCGTCCTTCTGCTGCTTGTCGTCCTTCTGCTGCTTGGCCTTCCTGGCGGCCTTCCTGGCCTGACGCTCGAGCTGATCGTTCTCCTCGTTCTGCTCCTCGCTCTCCACAGCCGCCGCATCTGCGGAGTTCATCATGTCGCAGTCCTCATAGCTCGGCACCTCGGAATCGCTGGACTCCTCGTCCGAATCATCGTCCTCCTCCGAATCGGAGCCCTCACGGCTGAAGTCGTGAAGCACCTTGAAAATGGCCCGCACCGATTTGTCCTAGCACGCAGAAGGAATCACAAAAGCATGCTTAAGTACCGAAAACAAAAAAAGGGGGAAAATCACGAAAGCGTGCATGTACCGAAAAGAAAAAAAGAAAAAGGATGATCGCCAGTTGCCGGTCTTTACCGGCATGCACTTCACCCCCAAAAACCAGCAACCGTGACTGAAACAAAGCAATGCTGGCTATCTGAGGCGCTCTTGGTGTCTGATCCCTTCTCAAGGCATCCCTCTGTCTTCTCCGGGCGTATGTGTACAAACGCCGCACCAGCCATGCGTCCACGTAGCACTGCGTCTTGTTCGGGATGCAGCTGAAGCTCTCGTAGAGCTTGTAGATAGGCTGCATCAACGTTTTCACCTTCACCTTCTTCGGGGCATACCTTCGAGCCACTGCAAGAACCGCGTCCGCATTGCGGGCCAATGCCATAGTGCTCATCACCCGGTCCCCCTCCGCACCCTCGGCCTCCTGCTTGTTGCCAGGGACATCCAACCACTCCGATCCAGCCTTCATCCTCCGCCTGATGACCCCCGCAGCTTCCCAAGCCTCCACCAGATCGCGATCGGTTTCAAGGCGTGCCATGGTACAGCACCGACCAACCTACAGCCAAGTTATCTGCTTTTTTAGTCACTGGATGCTGCTGGTCGTTGGGGTAAAGTGCATGGAAAAAAGCAGCAACTGGCGATCCAAGAAGGGCCAAAACCGCAAAGCCAAAATGGCTGCACTGCGCACATGCGATTGTGTCCGATCGAATAATGCATCTGTCAAAGGGTCCCGAAAACCCCGAAAAACAACGGCCCGGCTCCCACACCCAGCCTTGTGGCTGACGCCCACCTGTCGCAGATCGCGCGAGCAGCGCGCCAATCTCCTGCCACGGGATACGATGTGATACATCGAGCTGCATGGCACGTGATCCTCATGCCAAGAATTCTAGAATTAATGCATGTATACCTCCGCGTGCAAGCTCCATGTCTTCTCGCATGTCACGCTGGGGTCCCATTCCAAAAAAAAAAGATATGATCTGCCCTACACCCCGCTACTTGCAAGAGAATGCAGTCCTTGACGATCTCGAGGCCCCGATCACATCAGATGACCATGGCTGCAGCAGAAAGCTTTTGCACGGGCCCCTGAAGTTGGTGATCTGTTGCAAACATGCGATCTGAAGTGGGTGATCCATTGAAAATGCATGTTCGGTCCACCAGAATGATCAGTTTCAGTCACAGTGACAGAAAAAATGCCACTTATACTAAAGTGGCGCAACAAATCAGTCACTTTCACAAAGTGGCAATTATTCTGTCACTTCTCCAAAGTCGCTGCTTAAAACCAGCACCTGCGGCGGTCCAGGTGGGTTTTTGCACCTCGACCAGGCCGATCCCCGCAGAGGGTCGATTTTCGTGTAGTGTCGTCGGCACTACCCCGCCGCCCTAAGAAGAGATTTTAACTCCTCACAAGTCAATTGCACTTGACTCCTTGCACTTGCAACTTGCACTCGACTCCTTGCACTTGCAACTTGCACTTGACTCCATGCACTTGCAACTTGCACTTGACTCCATGCACTTGCAACTTGCACTTGACTTGCACTTGACACTTGCAACTTGCACTTGACTCCTTGCAATGACTCCTTGCAATGACTCCTTGCAATGACTCCTTGCAATGACTCCTTGCAATGACTCCTTGCAATGACTCCTTGCAATGACTCCTTGCAATGACTCCTTGCAATGACTCCTTGCAATGACTCCTTGCAATGACTCCTTGCAATGACTCCTTGCAATGACTCCTTGCAATGACTCCTTGCAATGACTCCTTGCAATGACTCCTTGCAATGACTCCTTGCAATGACTCCTTGCAATGACTCCTTGCAATGACTCCTTGCAATGACTCCTTGCAATGACTCCTTGCATTGACTTTCATGATGATGATTCCTTGCAATGACACCTTGTAATGACTCTCATGAGAACAACTCAAGTGAACCCAGCGGAAGAACCCTTCGCCATGCTTTCGGGAAAGAAGGGGGAAAAGGGTGCCACTGAACAACTGAGGAAGGGTGGGGTCCTCCAATTCCATTTTTCGAGTCTTCCCAGAAAGAAGGGGGAAATGGACACTCAACTTATCGGGCTGGGGATTTTGATGCACATGTAGGCTCAGACACAATTCGGGGGCCAACAGTCGCAATATTCTGTTGCTCCCCCCTCTTGGATGTCTTGATTGAACATTACGCAGCTCCCCCAATGGTCCACTGCACCCCGAATGGATCGGACAACGAACCTCATATACCCTTTATACAGTGTCGACATTGTGGTTAAAGTTGACCCCGATTGATAACCCCGTCCTATTGATAAGGGGGTGTTCCCCTCCAAAGGTGATGAATCCCCACTAAAACAAGGGCTCCCCCTCTTATCAAGCTTTAATCAATCTGGGGTTCCCATTATACGGGCTTGTCTTCATCTCTTTTTCGGGAAGCCCCCAAATGGCATAATATGTGCACCCTCGCCGAGTTTCCATTTGGGAGTGAATGGGACGCAATGAATATGAACCGTGGTTCATACAGGCGTCGTTTTTTTATGGGGTGCCTTGTTGAAAGGGAAACCAAAAGGTGCGCCAAATTAGGGATTTGGAGCCCGGTTTTAAGGATCTTGTGGTTTCCTTTTGGTTTCCCTTCATTACCAACCTGATTCAAACAACTCCGCACACAAACAGACACAGACTGGCATGAATCTGCGAATTCTCCTGAGTCTGGCGGCTTCTCCTCCTTGGCAGGGCCAGGCAGACCTGACGAAGTCCGTCGGCCCGCTCGTTTTATTGGCACCCTTTTTGGCGGTTTTAAAGGGAACCCAAAAAGGAAAATCAACATTTTAGGGGTCCAAAAAGACAGATACGTATCTCTTCTGTGACTTGGGGTTGTGCTTCTTTGACGGTATCCTTTGGGGGCCTCTCTTTGTCTTTGCGGCCTGCCAAACACACTGACGACGTGTTTGGGGGTGTTTGTTCAGAAAAACCAAAAGCTAGCAAGCCAAACAAACAAGGAAAGCCACAATTTTTGGGGTCCCCGAGTTTGACACAGAGCAACATTTGCCATCTGCACGACTTTGCAGCCATAAAGGGTCGATCTGTTGGTCTCACAGAGCATTGCCCACCTAGTTATCCAAAATTGTTCGAGCTTCACACTCTCCATGGAAGCCAGTGGTATATGAGTGGCCCCTCCAAAATGGCGCAACGCTTTGGTTCTTTTGGTTTCCCAAGAAAATCACCCAACGAAAAGGGTACCACCAAAAAAGCTTTGCGGCCAGAGGTCTAAGTCATGGTCAGCCAAAGGCTTAAGGGTCCGAGAGGATTCCAGAGGAATTGTTACAGGACATTGGTCCACATTTGTTGGTGTTTCCTATTGTTTGGCCAGGGTGCGGTAGGTCAAGCCAACTTTGCCGGCATTCGTCGATTCTCCGATTCGCGAATCGAGCCTGTCAGCAGGGCCATGACTTCGTTCAGCTTCAGCTCCTTCTCGATCTCTTGGCACTTCAGCGTCAGCATCACCTGTGCCCGGCCGAAATGCCGTTTTGTTCCCAGGGCATGGACAATGCGAGCTCGTCCCTGGTTCTTGTGGCATGTGCTTCTTGAATTCTGCTTGTTGCCCTCCCAAACGAACAAGAAGACTTCTTCCGGACTTGCGGTCAAACTTCTCGTCCAACGCAACGAAGTTCAACGGCTGAACCGCCTCGTTGATCCTTTTTTTTTGTGGAATTGGGGATGTGCAGTGTCCTAGGGAGGCGATAGGGTAGAAGCTGGAATCACATCGCCATGATGTTCTTTGGTATTGATTGAATCCTTGAGTGCGACATACCAATCCCAGTGCTTCCAGTTTCCATGGTAGGTAACCGATCGGCATGTCTACCTCTAGGTTTGTTACATCATGGTTTCCCCTGGTTACCTACTATAGTGGCTTGCCTGGCGCGATTGGCGTGGGCTTCTCTCAATAGCTGGATCATCCCTTTCGCAACTCCAGGGTGCGGGCTTCATGTGGCTCCTTTTAAGCACCCAGCCATTGGCTATGCCATGGTCACAACTCCTGGATGGCACCCTGATCCGGGCCGAACAAATCCCCATGGCGAGAGGAAGCTCTTTCGCATGGCCGGCCATTCTCCGAAAACCACACCCGGTGCCATCCACATCCAAGACATGGAACCTGCCAAGTTTGAGGAAGCTGGTCTTGAACCACCGGTCAGGTTTTCCATCGGCCAAGCCGCCGAGTACAACAGCTTGTCTTTCTCAAAGAGCCCGCGGCAGACCATGACAAACAGCAGCCTTAGGCGAGCAGAACATCGGCTCATGCATATCTGCCTTCAAAACGAACCCATATGAGCCTCGGGGAACAAACAAATATGATATATATATATATATATACACATATATGTATATATATATATAATATACACATATGTTTCCCAGGACATAGGAAGATTGGATTTTCCCCCGCTCCACTTGTCTATCCTGCTGCACCCCAGCTGGTGCGTGAGTACATTGGGCTGTCAGATTGGCGCTTGTGGGTTATCTCCATTTGGTTTGTCTGCCCAAGTCCTCCCAAAAACCAGAAAAGTAGATCGCCAATAGTATTGTCAGCTAAGCGTTTGAACAGATACCCAGAAGGTCGGATTGGGTAGTCCTTTTTGGGGCCGATTACCACCCGCTTTGACACAAACCCAGCCTTTGGAACACCACAAGGAACCCCCCCCTAAAAAAGAGGGGGTGACAGCAAGGTTGGAACACAGGGGTTTACTCAAAAGGAAACCCCATTGGCGCACAACTGCTGCGTTGGAACACGAAGAAAAAACACATGTTCAGCTGTCGCTGCTGGATGAAGGAGTTGAAGAGCTCCACAAATCGCTCGTCCTTGCTGTCCTTTGGCTCGGCCATCCTGAAGCACGGAGTGTACGTGCCAATGGGAAATTTGGGGGGGGTCTGGGATTGAAAACGATTACCCTCCCTCCAATCATGGAAGCCGACAGGAGGGTTCAGGAAGGCTACTTGCCTTTTGGGGCCCCATGTCCACTTCCATGATTGTTGGGAGGATACCCTCCCGGGGTCCTGGAAGACCAGTTTCCTCTAAAAGGGACGCACTGGTGGGTTTCCAAGTTGGTGGACCTAAGGGTACCCATCCTTTTGGCTCCTCTTTGGGTAAATCAAAGTCATGGGCTAGCACCCAAATCTCGGCGCTCATGCACACAAGCATGCATTTGTATCTCCAACCTGGCGTCCGTTTCAGGTGTGGTTCGTTGAACATGGCTTCTTCAACCAACGTCCCAAAAGGGGTTTGCCGTTGAAACCGATGAAATGGCCAATGGGGGATCCCGAATCCAGCCTGAACAACCCAGTCTGACACGAGATCATCTGTCAAGGGTTTCAGGCGACCTCCGAATAACTATCATAATTGTTCAGGCAATTGCACCTATTCCTGTGTCATTTCAAGATGCCCCTGGTGTTGTTTCGCCTGAAGGTGTTTTGTTTTTGGGGCATGGGCCCTGAGAATTTGGGATGCTGCCAATGCAAGCGCATAAAAGAGCTCAACAAACTGGCACACTGACAACCAAGCGCGTCCGGCCTGATGGATTGGTTGAACATCTTGATGAACCAGTCCAGAGAGAACCTGAAATACGCAAACCCTGCGGTCTCTCTGATGTCTGCCACTGCATTGCTTCGTCGCTTCATTTTGGGGGCTGTCTTGGTATCAGCCTTCCACAAAAGATGACCTACAACCAAGAGCAAACTCACTTTAAGTCGGGGCTCAAAACTACCCGTAGAGCTCCTTCCACAAAAGAGAGCAAACTCACTTTAAGTCGGGGCTCAAAACTACCCATGTTGAGAAAAACAAAAAACATAAACAAAGAAGATAACAACATAGAGCTGGACCTTTTGCGACAAGGAGCTGATACATGGGGTCCACAATGCAGAGGTCGCCGATAATGAAGTACAGGGCTGCGCAGCGCAAGGCATGGTACCTCAGGGCTTTCGGGGAGCGGCTCCTAATTTCACAGACACACTGGGCTCCATGTCTTGACCCCGCGGACCTGAACCCAGGGGTGTTTGAATTCGCAAATCGGACACCACGGAAACCGCGGTGGTGAAAATGGAATCCACGAAGCTGTGGTACAACAAGGGCCGAACCCCAAAGACTAAAACCCCTTTTAACAAGGGGAAGATTCCCAGAAGCACAACCCTGTTTCACACGCACACACACACACACCCGCACGCACCCACACATCTTGTTGAACGTCGCCCAGTTCGCAGACGGGCTGAAAGCGTGAAAAGGTGTAGACTTAATACAAGTCACAAAGACATTGGGACAAAGGGCAGCCCCCAAAGCAAGGGGTCTCGTATCATTCCGAAAACTACCCCCTGGAATGGCATCGGTTTCCCGTCGGGCTTTTAAAAAGGTAACCCTTTCTCGTTGCGGGAACCCTTCTGGTTTTGAAAGGCACGCCAAAAAGACGTCTCTGCCACTTTTGGGTCTGCTTTCCCTTTCAGGGCCTGGTTGAAACAAAGCGCGCGTGTGCTGCTCTCTTGCCTCCATTTGCTGAAGTCCCCTGGAAAAAAAACAACATACTTCCAGTAGTGATACATTCCCTTGAAAACCAACAGGGGAAAACACAAAACATATTAACCAAATGGAAGTCTGCTGCTTGGGTGCTTGTAGACCTGTCGCACCTCCGCGATCTGCACGGCAGTGATCTCCTGCTGCTTCACCTGCTCCTCGATCTTGGTGCCCATGATCCTTGACTCGCCGATCAGCTAAAAGTTGTTCATTGTTTATCAACTTTGGCAATCTAGGGGTTGGTTCCCCATTCTTTTCAACCATCGTTCTTTTCAAAAACCGGCTGTTTCCCTTGGGTGTTTGATGGTTTCCTGCAAAGAAGGATCTCCGGAAAGAATGGAAATGGAAGGTCCCCCTAGAATCAAAGGTGGGTCATGGAAGTGAAATTCAAATCTCTAAACATCCAACAAGCCCAAGGGTATGGTTAAGAACCCTTCCTCCCCCCGCAGAGAAAAAAAATGACTTCTTGCTGTTTGAAAGGGGAAACACAGGAACACCATCATATGAAGAAACAAAACGGCAAAGAGGCTCATTAAGTCTGGCGAAGGATCTTGGAGCTGGACAGTGTCTCGATCAGCTCCTCGTCATCCAAGATGTTGCCTGAAGGCAGGAACGATTTCAAACATATGGCCCCCCTGTTGGACCCTAGCGCTGCTAAAATTTGCGCCGCCGTTTGAAGTGGGTTCCAAAAGGCGCCCCTACTTTTGCGAAACCTCCAGGCAAAGTGCGGAAGAGAAACGACAAAGAGTTGGTCTGAATTTGGGGACTTCAATCCCTTGCAACTTGTGCCTTCCGAGTACATGTCCAAATGATTGTTTATGAGCCGGTCTTCCTGCCTCGGCGTTTGCCCCCAACCAAACATTTGACACGTTCCATATTGATGGCTCACTTGAAAGTGTGACTTGTCATTTGAGAGGTCCCGGCCAGCACCTGAACTGCACACCCAACGCCCAGAACCCATCTTCTTCCCCCCTGCGAAGCTTGGCCCATGTTCTTCCACATTCTCCCTCGGACTCTTCGCCCCAGTACTTCCGGTTACCATCATGGCATGTGCATCAAAGTAGGCTTTTCTCTCCGGGCTTTTTCCCCGAAGTGAATTTTGGGTTTCTTCTCATTTGGTCGTGGCTCAAAAAACCGGCACCAACATGGGACCCTGGTAAGTGGAAACATGGACCAAAACTTGCGGTTTGCCCCTCCTGGTTAATTTTGAGCCACACCCATTTCAGTCTTCCTCACTTCCGCGGATTGGCCCAAACGTCTGGACTTGTTATTTATGGTCCGAGATGAACTCTGGGTTCGTGAGCTTCCCCAAACTCGGCCGACTGAAAACGAGCCAACCACCGTCCCTTTGGGGGAAAAAAAGACGTCCCCGAAATGGAATGAGACCATCATTTACCCATCTGAAACCAGGGGAACCAATCCAATCTTAGCCCAACTCACCAATCAAAAGACTAGGTCCTCCAGTAGAGAGGATAGAATAAGGGTACCCTTTTCTCAGTTGCCCAAAGGACCTGGAACCAAAAGGTTAACCTTTCGGGGCCATGACTAAATATGGACCAAAATTAGAAAAGCAAAAGGTCAAAAGGTCGGCTTTGGGCAACTGAGTTTTTTCTGTAGTCTATTTTAGTAGGGGAAGCCTCCCAACCAAAAAAGTGAGTGAGACAGGGCGCCTAGCTGGGGGACCAATCCCTCAATTTTTAGCCAAAGTCACCGAGCAAAAGAAAGCAAGGATCCACCCTCCCAACCAAAAAGGTTGGTGAGAATAGGGCACTGGGGGACCTGCTGTGCATGGACGAAATCCATTTCGCACCACCTCAAGAAGCCCTGGAATGATTCGATTCTCCTATAAATACCAAGACACAATGGTTTCAACCATGGTACGCACGTGGTGCGAAATGGATTCTGTCCATCCACAGGCACCAAAAGCAGAATACAAAACAAATCAAATCCACCCCCTCCGCCCCCTCCGCATCCGCGAAGGACTCCGAAAACTCCCCATCCGCCTGTGGAGGAGCTGAGCAGCTGCAGGATCTTGTCCTCCAAGTCCTTGAGCTGCGCCTTGGCCTTCGCGGACTCGATCACCAGGTTCACGCGCTTCTCCTAAAACAAAAAAGAAAACGCCATGGGTGAAGGCTTTGGTCGTTGGGCGGTCGGTACCCATGCGGGTCTTTCTTTTTGTCAATGTCGCCTTTCTTTGGGGGTTTTCTCTCTGGAGAAGCCGTGGCTTTGGTCTGGGTGTCGTGGCTTTCGCCTTGCTTTTGTTGGGGGTTGGTACCCTTTGATTTGCTTGAAGGGAGACCAAAGGAGGCCACCATTCTTGGGGGGCTTGGCTGTTTCGCCGCTTTTGTTTGGCGGAGAATATGGGCTTGTGGTCGTTTTCTTCGCCTCTTTTGGAGCTGGCACCCCCCTTTGTTTGATGACGTTGAAGTGTAAACCAGCGGGGTCGAAGCTTTTTTGGGGGTCGGTACCCCTTTGTTTGGTGATTTTGAAGGGAGACCAATGTTTGAAGCCTGTTGCTCAAACCAGTGGGGCCGTGTAGCCGTTTTTGGGTTGGTATCTCTTGTTTTCGTGAATTTGAAGAGAGACAAAAGGAACACCACGTTTTTGGCCTGCGGCTGAATCTGTGGCTGGGTGAGTCGGTTCCCCAACGTAAATAGCAGCAAACATTATGGTTTGAACCATGGTTTGAAAGTGGTGCTGGATTTTGTCCATCCACAGTTGGGGTCGGCCACTTTTTAGAGTCTTTTGTTTGGTGATTTTGAAGGGAGACCAAGAGGAAAACCACCATTCTTGGGCGTTCCCCGAAGACACACCCATCTGGTTAAACACCCATGGTTCGAACCACTAACTTTGGGCGATGTTTAAACCCTCGTGTTTAAGCCATTGGTAATGGGTAACCCTAGTAAAATGGGTTCCAACTTAAATGGGTACTATAGGTCCTCCAATAGAGAGGTTAGAATAAGGGGTACCCTTTTTTTCTGTAGTCTATTTTAGTAGGGGAACCCTCCCAACCAAAAAAGACGGTGAGACAGGGCACTTAGCTGAAAAACCTAGGGTTTCTTTTGGATGCTACGCACATGGTCAACTTTTACCGGCTCCTCGGTGGCCGGTTCCTCCGCTGCCACCACGATGCCCAGCATCTGGTCTTGCAGCCCGTCCTGATGGAAAGGAAGGCAAGGAAAAAAAGGGAGGTACGTGTCCAAATGGGGAGTTCGGCTCCCAAAAGAGGTGGGTGTTCCGTTGGATGTTCATATTATTCATGCCCGAAAGAGGGGGCATGATACACAAACATGGACTCCAAATAAAACAATATATGTCCTCTTGGTTTCCATTTAAAACAACCTGAAAGGCAGGTGATGGCCACCAAGGGAAAGGAGAAAGAGAGAAAACAGAGCGGAAGGTTATGTTTAAAACCACCAAAAGGGATTGATTATGGCTACCGGTAGAAGGAGACATCGGAAAACCATCCGCTTTAAATCAGCTGGTATCAGTTGATTGATTGATTGGCCCAAGTGCATCCTTTACAATGAAACAAATCAGAAAGCAAATGCACAAAGGAAATAAGGAGACAAAACAGTTGGAACACACATGAGGGGGCAAAAACGAAACACTAATTCGAGCCTATCTGTATATACGAGTACGGATGGGCCCCGCTTGCTTCACATGCATGGGGGAATTGGGAAAAACAAAACGCAAAAAAAAAAGGACAAACTAATTATGTAGCCAATGGAGGAGATACTCTTGATGCAACAGGAAACTTCGAACGTCCCACCCAAGAATTACAATTAAAGTGAATACCTTTAAGATGGCAACGACACTTTGTTTGATCCAAGGGAAAGCTATTCAAGCTGTACAAGCAACTCTGAAACAAAGCGGCCATAGACCTCTTCAAAGCCTGTCCTGTGTGGCCATGAAGTTGAGGATGCTCACAGCCACGCAAATCTCCGGGGGGAAGTGCGGGTTCGGCAGTTTGGTCGTGATGTAGAGCCTGATACTTCTTGTATAAGTAAGTGCGTCGTTTTTGAGGGTACTCCTTTTTTGTAGTGTTTCAAGGGGAGCCACAAGGAAAACCACAATTAGCTTGTTTTTTGGGGGCTTCCCCAAAAAAGACTCTCAAGCAACCGACAATATCACCACCAGAAATCGAGTCTAAACAAACACCTCTATTTGTTTAGACTTGGCCCAAACAACGTAATGTCCCAACCGCCCAAGAACGGAAATGTAAGGATTCATTTTCATCCAAGCAGAAAACGACACACGACTTTGGCGTGTGCGGCCTCATGGCCCGGTGACCCGGCATGGGCAGTTGGGCCAACCCCTTGTTTGCACCAGTATTGTTTAAACAACACAGTGCCTGTATAGTAGGTAGCCAAGGGAACCACTGGTTACCTACCATCTTGGTTTTGCCTTTCCCTTTTCAAAGGGGACCAAACCAGCGGTTCTTTCAACCAATTTGGGCCACGGAGTGCCCATGGCTGAGCCCCGCCCCGCCTGAAGTCTTTGGACCACTCGATGGTGGAGTCGCCCAGGCGCACCATGGTCAGGGTGCCTTGCTTGAAGGTCGCCTTTTGCAGAACTGGGTCCAGGATGGCATCCAGGCTCTCCTACGAACCGGGTCAAAAATCCACCCCTCCGATGTTTTTTTTTGGGGCTCGAACCACCGGTTTTGTGGTTGGTTTTTATAAAGGGAAGCAAAATCAGGACACCTGAGACCAAATTTTTCGGGGTCACTCGCCTGAAGCCAAAATTGGCCTTCAGGACCCATGAGGAAGCCTTCACAAGAAGTTGCGGAAGGCTCTCCTCCACGTTCTCCAGCAGAACGGGGGTGCCGAACTGGATGCAGTTCTCCAAGTCCCGGATGTAGGGCATGTTCAACCTCAAGGCCTCGCCAGCTCGAGTCGCCAGAACAGTTCAGATGCCAAAGGGCCGAAGGTGGAATCCCCTTCAGGCCCCCAAACAGAAACCTGCGCGTGTTTCACACTCGCCTGGGATTTCGAGATTTCGGCGTCTGGGATCGCAATCGCTCGTTTCACTGGATCGGAATCCCTCGTGATATTCTTGGGCTTGCCCCCGAACCATTGGCAAAGCTCCCCAGCCTTGATGTCCGGATTGCTCTTCTTGGTCCACTTGTTGGCCTGCAGCTTGGACTGGTTTCGAAGAATTAGTGGAAGACTAGTTGAATCAGTCTCGAAAAGAATTTGCTGCAAATTGAACGAGTTGGGTTAGCACTTTAAGGGGTGAACAAGGTAAACCATGGTGGGCTGCAAAACTTGCAAGCCCCTCTTGGGTTCGAATCACGCATCACCCCAATTGCCTGCATCTGGGGGTCCACCATGAGCGGCCATCGCCGAGAGTTGTCCAAGATGATGGCGTTGTCGATGGACAGCGCGTCGTTGGGCAAGCAGTCGATGACCCACTGCCGGATCTTCACCTCGTCGCCGATACTCTTCCTGAGCGAGCCGCGCGACTCAAGCGCCGCTCTCAAAGCGGATGGCTCATGGCCCATGCTGGCGCCATGGTCGGTCAAACCCAGAAGTGTCTGTGCCGTACAACACCATGCAAGACTGCTTGGCGTTCAACTGCCTTAGACAGCGGTTGCCACAGGAGGCTACTTGTGTTGACATTCCAACTAGTTGTCCTGACAACCTTGCGCAAGAAATCACCCCGTTCAATTGAGACTCAGTTGGCCTTTCCAAAGGCCGATTGTTAACTCCCCAAAAGAAGACATCTTGTTGAATCACTCTCGCAATGAATAGCCGATTTTGCATCTCGGTTGAAAACCCTTTGCAACAACCTCTTGGGGTGCTTTAGCAGGAATTTCGAAGGGAGACAGAAGCCCGACGACAAGCCCTAAATCTCGTCTAGTTCTAGTGCATTCTTTCCAGGGATCCTTTCCAGAAAAACAAGGAAGACCAGGGGCAAAGGCCTGGTTTTGGGAAAGAACGACGGTTGAGCCGAATGGACAAGTTGAATCGTAACACGAACGACAAGTCGCCATTCCCCACCAGGGGATGGTCTCAAGATGGCGGACACCCCAAAGCTGTGTGTTTACTCTTGCAGTTGGTGTTCTTTTGAGATAAACGCCAAAAGGGCAACTTAGACAAAAACAGCGCCAAATGGTGGACCCTTCTCTGCGTTGCTACTTCCAGGGAAACCAAAAGGACATGTCAGGCGACTCAAACTAGGGGAACCAAAATAAGTGGTTTCCCTCTGGTTTCCCTCTGGTTTCCCTCTGGTTTCCCTCTGGTTTCCCTCTGGTTTCCCACGGCCAACATTTTTGAAAGAAATCCTCAAAACCCCGAGTGATTCTTTGAGGGGGCCCTTCCAAGAGCAAACCCCAACACCCATTTTAGGGACTCGTCCACTTTCAAGGGTGCTTTCTTGCGGCCCCCGTTCACAGCGCCTATGCCGCACGTATGCTCTGATAGATTCCATTTTCAAGCAACAGGTCGGTAAAGCACACACACATATTCCAGGTAGAATCAACGGAAACAATGGGACCTATATTGGCTCGACTAGCACCGCATTCTAAACCTTACATGTTAAACAACTGGCATATGCCCCGTACTCTCTTCTTGAGTGGCCGGGCCGAAACAAAAAGGCAACTTCCCACACTTCTTTGTTCCCGAGGAACAACAAAAAAAAACACCTTGCCTTCCAACCAAACAGTGCCTCCTAAAGTCCCGCTGGCAAACCGCCACCAAACCTGACAAACCCAAACAAACATTCCTCCTAAAGCCCCGCTGCTTTCACCTGAAAATCTTCCAGTACCTCAAGCCCCGCGTTTCACCGGCCAACTCCGGGAGCTTGAGCTCCCGGGGTTTCGTCGTTCTCTTCGGCCGCGTGCCCCTCACTCCCACCGCGCGGTCCCCGTCGACTCGACTCGAGGCACCCGCGACCCAACTCCGCGTCCAAGGCGCGAGAGGCTGAACTCCTTGGAGGCGGGGATCTTCAGGTCCGCCAGCTTCTGCAGCCACCCGTCGCAGGCTTCCTGAAGCGAAGGATGTGTTCGCGCGAAGGCGCGAAAAGGCGCGCGGCGGCAGTGGGTCGATTTTTGTTTGCCCCCCCCCCCTTCCCGGATGTTTTAGGGACATGTGCGGAGGGAGCGCGCGTGTTTGTTTTGTTTTCTTTGTGATGTTGTGTTGTGTTGCTTTCTTTTCGTGCTTTTTTTTGGGTCGGGGGGGGGAGGGGGGAATTTTAAGGAGATGTGCAGAGGCACTAATTAAGTTCTCCTCAAGCGAACAGTCAACCCCCACGAAATCTGAAAACCGGAAAAAAGAAAGAAAAGAGAGCAGGCTTTGATCTTTTTAGGGGGACACCTGTTCATCTGGGGAGTAAATCAAACGCAAAGCTAGAAAATTGTCCAGGCCAAAGGGAAAAACAAATCCGGCCCAAAACTGTTGTTCTTTTCCACTAGCTTAGCTTCCCTCAGCGACAACAAAAGAGTCCTAAAGTGTCCTGGCCCCGGATCTTGCAGGATCTTGCGGGTCCTAGTGGATCAATTTACCTGTATAGTCGGTAACTAAGGGAACCACCCTTCAAACACCAAAAGGAGCACCCGATGCTTTTGTTTGTCTTTTTGGGGCCCCCAATGTGCGGTGGCACGAAGTTTGTAGCTTTTGTGAACCACAGCCAACCACCAAATACATGACATAACCAACAAAAACATGACTTGAGTTGTTTCGGGGGGGAACGCTGACTCGTCCTTTTGCAAGGGTCCACAATGGCAACTCAACTCTGGAAATATTGCCATGACTTAGTAGATCCAGACAGCAACGCGCTTCCAGTTGCCACTGTAAGGAGGGGAAACCATCCCTGAGACCATCCAGAGCCAAAAAAAAACTGGTCACCTACTAAGGTGGCGCACCTGGAACCTCTGGGAAAGCCACGAGCATGGGGAAAGACGTGCGTGTTGCTTCACCCTCCGGAGGTGGGTGGGTTTGTATCTAAATATGGTAGATGGACGAAATCCATTTCGCACCACCTAAAAGCCATGAAATGATGATCCCTTTCGTAAATACCAACAAACAATGGTTTCCCATGGTTTCCAAAGTGGTGCAATAATTTTGTCCATCCACAGTAGGGAAACCACAAAATGGATGCTTCCAAGAAGGGAACCCTCACGCGAGCCCCAAGCCGGCACGCATGAATCCAGCCTTTCGGTACTGGCTGGTGAAGACTCCCAGGTAGGCAATGATTCCAGAAGCAATCAGAATGTCGCCTTGGATGGGTGCTGTTGTTTTGCCAGACTTTCACCACACCTTGCTGCTTCTTGACTCGCAACAAGGGAAGGGGGTCACTGTCACAGAAGCCACATGGACCATGAAAGCGTATATTCAGGAATGGAAACCATAGTTCCTCCAGTTCGCGCGGTCTGTGCAAAGAAAGAAATGTTTCAACCATACCTGTCTTCCCCTCCAAAAAGACGAAAGGGGTGCTGTTCTTCACGAGATGGGGCGGATTTGCAATATTTAGTGTTTTTTTTCACCCCTGACACTTTGTTGTAACGAAACAGCGTCATCCCCCGTGTGAGATGCATCCTACCAAGATGGCAATCAAGAAAAAACCTCCCAACCTCCCCCCAAACCAAAACCTGCGAAAAATGGTTTATAGGGGTCATTCCCTCATTCCCTGCTGCCTAACTAAGGTGGTCTCCAACCGAATTTGGTCGGGCCCCTTTGGCCTCTCCAACCAACCCTCCAACCCCCCAACCTCCCCCCAACCAACCCCCCCCCCTCCAACCGCTTTTGGTCGGGCTCCTGGTCGCCTGCAACTTCCCAACCTCCCCCCAAATAAAACCTGTGAAGCACCAGCAACGAAAAAATTGGCTGGTTCCAACCGCTTTTGGTGGGGCCCTCTTTGGGCCTGTGAGGTTGTTGTAGTCGATGCCCAGCTTCTTGCTCTTGGCGCTCCAGCTCGCCTGCTCGCCCCCCAGGCCGTCGATCAGCTTCTCCGCCCGCGCCAGCTTCGCGGCGCAGTCCTCGCGGAGCAAGCCGAGAAGTCGAAACTCGGCGGCTCCAAAAAAGGAAGACAAGACAAGACAAGAAAGAAAGACAAGGCAACCTACATGGAAACAAAGATGGCAATCAAACAATAGCAACCAAACAAACATGGAAGAAGACCTGCTCAACAAAAAGGAATCTCCAAAATGGCAATCTGGCACACGGAAACAAAGACTTCAGAAACCTGCGTAACTTCAACATCCCCAAACCCGGGGCCAGCCTCCCAGTAGCAATCAAGTAGTCAAGGCAACCCTTTCAAAAACCACAACCTCCATTTGCTTAAGTCCCCTGGAAAAGATTAAAACAAAAAAAATGTAGTGATAGATTCCCTTTAAACCAACAGGGAAAAAACACTTAACCAAATGGAAGACAAGGACAATGGCAATCGCCCCCTTTTTTTCTTTGGGGGGGGGGGGAACGCCTATCAAAGCCCGATGATCCGACGCATGGCATCCAGTAGTGCAATTCCCTGAAACACCATAAACACCTCCTTCAGCAAATGGGAACTTCAACCATCTGCACATTTTACGATTTCCCATATCTCCAAACTTCCGCATCTTCTTTCGGCCTCCCCTAAGTAAATGGCTCTTTCCCACCCCCTTCTCCCCCTTCTCCCGGCTTTTTCCCCCAGCCCAACCAATTTCCCCGAATCCCACCCCCACCCTTCTCCCCCTTCTCCCACCCTCTCCCCCAATCGATCCAACCGATCCGAATCCCCCCCCCATCCCATCGGCTCATCGGCTCGGTGTGGGGTCCTTCTGGTTCCTCTGCAGCTCCTTGGCCTTCTCGTTGGCCTCGTGGAGCTGGGCCTCGAGGTCCGCCACCATGTCCATGACCTGCCGAAGCCCGCAGCCCACTGCACGGATCGATGGATCCGTGGATCCCCATGGAGTCGCCATGGAGTCCCCGTGGTAGGTGTGTATCTATATATATATATATATATATCTTGTTTTTTTCGGGGGCGCCCCCGGCGCCAAACCAAGAAACACGACATGGGCCGCCGGGGAATTGAGGGAAACCCAAACTGCGCGGTGGCAAAGAGGCTAAAAAAAAACAAAACAAAAAACAAGAATGCCTCCCGCGCGGGAGCATGAGGGAAACCAAAAGGAGGTCCTTCACACAATAGCAGCTCATGTCCAGGGTGCCATTCAAAAGTCTGGGCTTGCAACCCGCGTCTGCGCTCCCGCCGAATTATTTGTCGTGCCTTTTTGAAATCTCTTACAGGAAGATCTAGGACATCCATCCTTGAGCTCCAAATCCCCCATTTTCTCACATCTAAATTCAGCTACCAACCAGCAAAAAGCCGCTTCCACGCGGCAAAAAACGGACTCACCCTACTTTCCTTCACCCGCACCGAACCGACCACCCCACCCCGACCCACCCAACCCACCCAACCCAACCCGCCCGATCCGACCGCTCCGATCCCCACCGCACGTGGCCTCCTTGAGCTCCGCCTGCTTGGCCGCCACCGTGGCCTCGGCCTCCGCCACCTCCGCCTCCGCCTGGGCCAACTTCTGGCGCTTCGGGCCCACCTCCTTGGCCACCTGCGGAGATGCGAAGCGGATGCGAGTCGCCGGAGAGGCGGAGAAGCCGGAGAGGACGACAAAAGGCGCTGATTGTTTGATGTTGTTTGCTTCCCCCTTTGGTTTGTTTTTTGTTCTTTGTCGTCCTTATTTGTTCAGGTTGCTTCCGCGTCATTGTCCTTATTTTCCTCCGGTTGCTTTGTTTGTTCGTGTTGGTAGCTGTTTCAATATGTGCGGATCCGAAGCTCCCGATCTCATCTAGTGTTTGCAGCTTCATTGAAAACCATGATCAACAGATGATGCGAGTCGGCAGTCAGATTTTTACACAAACGAAAAGGTCAAGAGCATAGGGACTTCCTGGAGAGTGCAAGCAACTCAATCATGAAGTGCTTCGCAAAGCTCATGGCTGGGGCTTCAAGCGCAGGCCAGCAGGCAAAAGATGGCGGACCACCCGAAAACTGCCCGCCCCTGGGATGGTGCCGCAAGCATGTGACGATCTTTGTGGGCCGAGCGTCCTGGAGTCAAACCAACAGCCCAAATCAGGGGCTCTTAATTGTGCACCTCAACAGTGGCCTCAACATGGCGTTGGTTTCTTCTTGGTCGGCTGGAAAAGGTCATGTTTTCAATGGCTGAAACTGGACCTTTTACGGAGCCCTGAGATTGAATCTAAATCGCTACAAAACAAAGTGGCACTTCTGCTGAATTGAATGCCCTGCCTTGTCGTAAACGACCATGGCTCGGACCCACTTGCAAATACCCATGGCGGCCAGAGATCCCTTCTTGATCTTGTCTGGCTCGAACTCGGGGTCATCGTAGAGCGGTTTCACCTGGTGTGAAAGAGTCTTGATATTGAACGGGTTGTGAAGAATTAAACAGGTGCGTTTTGCCTTGCCTAATTAATTTCTTGACAAGGGGACCTAGCAGTGTATATATATATTTATATATATATATATCCTTCAATTTGGAGGACCCCCAGCTGGATGTGTTTGGGAAAACCGGAGACCCCCCCAACCAGTTTTGGCGAGGTGTCCCCCCGCAAAAAAACAAAAAGAAATGCCAGCCCCAGAGCTAGTTCCAAGCCCAAAAAAGCTGGTAGATTTGCCTCCGGGTCGTTCTTTTGGCGCTTCGTTTTGCTCGCCTTGTGGATCACAGCATCCGGGATGTTGTCCTTGTCGTAGTTCACCATCCTGTTGATGAGCGCGGGGTCCACCAAAAGCTCCTTCTTGGCCGCCTGGCGATTCGCTCGAGCTTCGGATTCCGACTCGTTGGGGCCCTGACTGGGCCCTGAAAAGGCCCTTGAATGAGTTGGGTTACCTCCCCCCCGGGTCACCCTGGTTCAACATCTTTAAACATCCATTAATTTAAACACCCTCCTTTGGGTTCCCTTTCAAATGGTACCAGGGTCTGGTTCTTTATTCAAACTTTCAAAAGTTAGAGCTTTGGCTTGCTTTTTTGTGCCCGCTGCTGGCTGGTAGACCCAACTTGTCCACCAGCCCCGCCTCCCAGTAGTCGTCCACCTTGCCCTTGCCATCTGGCGATGCCACCTGGGTTGGCCAAACTGACCTGCAAGGACCGATCCCCACTTGTTGACAGTAGGAAAGCAATCAGTGCTCAAAAGTCGAAAAGGTCACAAAACAAATATGTCCGTCGTACCAAAAACCCAACTACAAATTAGGACTCCCAAGTAAAACGAGAAATGGAAAAGGGAACCAAGACACGAAGATGTCCCTCAGGGCCGCAAGAGTTGATCTTCAAATTCCTCCCCAACAGCCTTCAGCTGTGAGGTCGATACGCTCGCAGGTTGGGGAAGATTTCAGGGGTATTGGATGGTTCTGGGGAAGATTTCAGGGATTCTGGATGGGTTCCAGAGGTTCCAAAGGGTTGCGGGGCTGGGGATATCACTCGGGCTTAGTATTTGAATGGCGGTTTCAAAGAAACCACCCTCTCGCGCCAACGAGCAAGAGGTCTTTTTGGCAGGGCAAAGGTCGCACCACAAAGGTTCGTGCATGCTGAAGAGTTCCCCTCCTCCATAAAAGTCGAACGAACAGTCGAAACTGCTCCCCCCCTCAAAACAAATAGCAAACAAAAACTACATGTGGATGTGGGTCAACATTAAACCACCAGGGGACCGCAGGTTTTAGTCCATGTTTCCATTTGACAGCGCTCCATTTTGGGTGCCTATTTCAGACCCACAGCCATATAGGCGCCCTGCTCTCCTCCGCCTCTGCAACGAATCCGCGGCTTTGTCAGCCGAGCCACTTTCACCGGCTTCACCTCGAACATGATGCACATCGCCTGTGCGGTGAGCACCACTCCGGCCGGCGGCGTCTTCATACCTCGAGGCGGAAGGTGCTTTTCTCCGTGCTTCTCCTTCCATTTGGTTAAGATTTCTGGGAAAAAAATAGGTCCAGTAGTGATAAATGCCTTTTAAAACCAACAAGGAAAACCAAGAAGCAAATGGAAGTATCCCGTGGCCCCTGGCTGGGTTTTTGTCGCTGACCCCGGTGGGTCCTTCATTTTTCTTGTGAAACTCGCATAGAAAACCCGAGAAGGGGGCGGTTGCGGGGGGAGGCCCAAAAGATCTCAACTAAAGGTAGTCTTGGGTGTTTGCACGTGTTTGTTATTCGGTGGTTGAGATCGTACCTCGTTCTCCAAAAGGTTGAAAGGTTGACGGGCACAAGAGCAACCGATGTCTCTTGAGGCTTTCAACAAGCAAAAAAGTGCAAGCTTTCCTTGGGAGCAGCTCGCAATGATGCCAAAGGAAAACCAAAGCCAGGCACCTTTTCTGGCTTCAGTCCACCTTGCTTCTTGCTAGCAAAAGTAAAGTGGGAAGGAAACACAACTTCCATGTGCTTGCGTCCGATGGAAAACAACACATGTTCTTAAGCAAATGGAAGACCATTCTTCTGTCTCTCACATTTATGGGGGCCCCAGCTTGCTTCCACTTCAAGTGGGTTTGAAACTCAAAAAATAGGGGCACCCTTCCAAAAAAAAGTTGGGTTTCCTTTTGGATCTCCTTTTTCGACACCCACCAAAACCCGGGCACCCTGCCAAAAAAGCACAGACGGCCTCCACTGTACTCCAATTTTCCGAGGCGCCCCTGACTTCGCCCACGTCGCCCTTGGACAGCTTGCTCAAGGCCTCCAGGGCGGACCTCAGTTGTGACAATGGAAAAAAAAAAAGACTTGGAGCCCTTTTTGGGGAAGACCATTCTTAGTGGGGCCACCAAAAAAAAGGGGGAAAAACACATGGGGGAGACCATTTTTAGTGGGGCCGGCAGCCACCAAAAAAAAGGGGAACCCTTTTTGGGGAAGACCATTTTTAGTGCAGCTAAAAAAAGGGGAAAAAGATAACGGGTGCCACTGAACTGAGGGACTCGTAGGCCGGCAGCGCCGCCGCCAGGTCCTTCTCGCAGTCCGCCTTGATGGCGGCGGCGTTGGACTTCTGCACCTCAAGTCGGACTCGACTCACGGGCGGAGTCGAGCAAAGGAAGTGACGTGAAACTTCGATTTCCTTCTGCCCCCCGGAAACAAATATAATGATTTCCGGTAGGGATCGATTCCCTTTCAAACCAAACAGGGAAAATATAAAACGTATTCCTAAGCAAATGGAAGGCAATGGATGTTCTCTCCACCTGGACCCTCAAACTACCCTTAGAAAAGGGCGACACCACCCCAGTATGTTGGGGGCAATGTCATTTATCTTGTTAAATGGGTAGTTTGAGGGTCCAGAAAATCAATGGGAATCTCAACAGGCTCTGTGCTATCGAGTAACCCCTCTCAGCTTGCAAGAAAAGGGAGACCGAAGGGCAAACCTCACTTTCTTTGGGGGGATCACTTTGTTGACACATACCAAAACCCTTGTGAAACAAAAGGCTATACATATATATATATATATTACATATATATATATATATATATAGAAAACACATCGATGACAAAAAGCAAAATGAAAACAAAACTCATCGATGAAACTCGCCAAGCGACGTTGGCCTTTGCCTCCTCCTCTTCCACCACCGCCTTTTTCTCCACGGCCCCCGCCTGCTGAGCCTCCACGCGCTCGCGCATCTCACCTGTCTCCTGGCAGGTGATACAAGACACGCAACTTGCTGGTGCGAAATCGGTAGGGAATGTGGGCATGAACAGGTTTTGGGGATTCACAAATAAAGGAAGCCACCAGTTGGATGGCTTAGAAGGGTCATTCCATTTCTCATTCCATGCTGAGCACCAGCAAGACAACCGGTATAAACCTTGCAACAAACTGTGTTTTTTGGCAGCCACCTACTAAAAGTCAAAACAACAACTTACCAAGAACCTCCTTTCAGGCGCCGGAATCGTTCCGCTTCACAAAGTTTGGGCTGATTCCAGCTTATGGACATCGCCAAGATCAAATGGCCAAGGTCTCCCAGCTGCTGCCACTTGACACCCAACTACCAGCTGCGGTCGAGGCTCCCCGCAGAAATGCTCAGCTTCCCTCTAGTGGATTTGTGATTTGGAGTGGCATCTTCCCATTTACCCTCAACAAGCCTTGATTTGAGACCAAATATCAACCTCGGATGAATCGATCCGGTGGATTAGTTTCGGGGTGTTGCCCCCCCTCTGGAAAAAGCAACAAGAGATGACGGTTTGCTTCTTAATCATGGGATGCACAAAATCAGAATCTCATCAAACGGGGGCCGACATTGTAGTGACCCCTGGATATGAATTGCATCGGGGACCTTGGGCATCATTTACACCAGCCAGGTTTGAGGGTCCTAGGATGCATAATCGGCACCCCGGATTAAGAAACCTCTGGTTGATTAAAAGGGGGGTGCCCCTGTTTTAGTGGAGAATCATCACTATTGGAGGTGAGGGTTTATTAATCCGGGGTCAACATAGTCGTGGTGGAACCAGGAAATGTCCCTAACCCTCGTTTCAGGGGCCCACACCCAAAGCTCAGGGGGCACACTAAAAAGCAGGTGACCCGCGACCGTCGCCGTTTCAACCCGGGTGGCCCATGTCAAAAGCGTGAGCGAAATGATGAGCACGTGGAACCAGTTTCGAGGGTACAGTTCATAGCCTGGTTCAACCGGGAAGATGGGTGTCATTTTTTGAGGGTACCTGTTTTTTGGAGTTGTTCTCAGGGGGAAACCAACCCAACAACCGATGCCATTCTGTGGGGTGCCCCAAAATAGATAGCGGCCCCTGTTTTCAGCTTGCTCTGGAATCCCCAGAGAAAAGGACACCGCGATTCAGTTCGTTGTTCCCAGTCATCCCCTGAACCAAATGGTGGTGTTTCTCATTTGGTCCAGTTCCGAACGCAGCTCTTCGGCTTCCTTTTAGTCCCAGCCAGTGGATCCGAGTTGCCCATATAGTAGGGCACCAGCTATTGTACTTCCTTAGTTACCTACAAAACCAAATGGATCCACTGGTCCAACATGCTACCGAAAGCCGGGGCGTTTCCAACCCCGAGACTCGGCGACCGAGCCGTCTCCCTGGGTCCTGGGCAGCCTTCTCCAGCACCGGCTCCAGGTCATTCAGCTCGATCTGCAGAGCTGAGACCTGCTCCTTGGCGTCGTTGATCTTGTCCAGGCCCGTGTCGTAGCGCCACTTGGCCTGAAATCACCCCGAGGTGGTGCCATGTTTCGAACCTTCGGCGATGAAGCTGTTGTCTTTGTGGGGGGACAAGTTGTATTGGCTAAATTGGACATCATTTAGGGGAGTCATTTCCACCAACCACTTTTCAGGCTATGAATTTGGGCCCTACTAATCCTCCAGCGGTCTATTCATTTGGGTGACCACTTTGGGATTCTGACTCAGACTCACATCACGGTGATGCTATGAAAGCTTCAATGAAGCGCACATATGGAGTTCTTATTTGCGTGACCTAAATTGATTGACAAATTGGGCTCCAAACGCACGCAGCTAAAAACACATGATTGCTTGGTGCAAGCGATCCAACCCCTTTTTTCCAGAACTCGTTTAGGGAAATACACAAATCCCCAGACTTTGTGGTTGGCTTTAAAGGCAAACCGAAGAAACACCATAGAACACCACTTTTGTTAGAAGACACCCCTCCCAAAGACAGGCAGTTTCCGATTGAATTCCCTTGTAAACAGCCCCGGAAACGCTTCCTTCTTCGTTGTGTCCCTTTTGATCTTGCTGAGAGTGGTTGGTTTGTCAAGGGACAAGGACAACTTCTCATTCTAGGGGTCTGTTTCAAACCCCCACATGTCATAGTAGCATCACCCCACCAAAGCAAGACTCAATCTAAACTCAAAAAAAGCCTTTCCCAAAAGGCGATGTTTGCTTTTCACCTTGCTTTCTAGGGAATGAGGGAATGCACCTTTCGATTCTCTTAAAGGAGCCATTAGGTGGATGGTTTTCTTGGGGTCATCCCATTTCTCGTTCCCTCCTTATCGCACCAGCAAGCTTGAACGGGACGGGTTTGTTCTAGTTAAGCATGTTTTCTCGCCTTCTGCACCATCTGCCGCCGCTGCTTCAGGGTGGAGATGAACGAGTTGATGAGCTCCTGAGTTCACTGACCCCTGGCATACGGAAATTAGATCCAACTCCAACCTCCCAAGGTCTCAACATGTGCGGGTATTCCTAGTCAGTCACTCTCAACTCCAACCGTCTGTGTTTGTTTTCGGACCGCTCGGGATGGGTCACAAACTGCGGTAAACTCTCAAAGCTTGCAGGCTGGAGGGTATACGGAGAGCTCCGTCCTACAGACCCTGATCGAAACAGCCTACAGCGGGAATCAGCCCAAACGCGGGTGCTGGTCAAATTGTTTAAAAAGATGCCAATTCTGGACCGGTATGCAGAGGTTATGGTTCCTTCCAACGGTGGGTCATAAACGGGTCCCGGAAGGCATCCTGTGAACAACCCTACATGATACCGTCTTCAAATGGGAGAGAACTTCCACGGATCCTTACATTATACACCTGAACATTGCCTTGTAAATGGTGGTTTCCCTTTACTTTGGTGGAAAAAGCCACGTTTCAAATTGGCAAAATATATCCTGGATTCCAAAAGGATGTTTTGCCCTGGGCCTTTCAAAACAAACCCAACAAAAGGCGGGTCGGAGTTCCCTTTCCAAGTGCCCTTTGGAGCTTAGGAACAAACGCACTCTAAAGGTTAAGTGGGACATGGAAATTACGTCCCCTTCTGAGCTCTGGAAAAAGAAACATGAATCCAAAGGTCTAAAGGGAAAAAGTCTAAAGGTCTAAAGGTCACAAGGGGAATCCAAAGGTCTAAAGGGGAATCCAAATCTAAGGAGAATCCAAAGGTCTAAAGGTCTAAAAGTCGAAAAGCCCGAACGTCCAAAGGTTTAAACGTCTGAAAGCCTCAAGAACCGCACAGAAGAGAAAGCCGAGGCTCCAGGTACGAGGTGGGCGTGACGTAGAAGTGCCGCTTCGCCTCCAGCAAGAACTTCTCGGACAAGGCGAAGACGGACTGCTGGGCCTGGCACAGGTATCCCGACACCCCGAAGTGGACCCTGAGTTCCAAGGAAGGAAAGGGTCACCTCAAAAAATGGGATACCCACAAGAACGGCACCATAGGTTAGCGTTAGCTTAATTGCTTGCTTCAAATTTACCCTCTGATCTTCCAACACCTCTTGCGTTTATAGACAAAGTAGGAAAAATTGGCAACAAAAGCATCGGAGACAGATTGCACAACAGGATCATCTAAAGATCCTTGCACATGAGGATCTGAATGGCAAGGAAGGACAGGGTCACCTCAAACAAAACATACCCACAAGAAAGGCACCATATGTTGTAGCTTGATTGGTAGATGTTCAAGACCAGTCAGGGTATTTATCTGGATTGGGAGTTTGCGGATTTGAACCTGGTATTTTGGATTAGTTTGGGGATAGCCCTTGTTTTGGATTGGTGGTTTGGGGAGTTGAACCCTGGTTCGTTGAGAGGGCAAATGGGGAAACCGCCCTTAACCTCCACCAAACCAGCGATTCTGCTCCAAACCACCAATTGGGCGAAACCTGATGTGAGCTAACCGGAGCCCTCAGAAGGCCCCTAAAAGGAAAACGGGGGTTTAAACGGGCTGAAACGTGGTGGGTATGTCTCAAAACAGGAACACGTGTCCATGTGGTTTCCCTTCAAGCTGACCTGAACAAGGGTACCCTCAGAAAACACGCCCGCATGTTTAAACACAGGGGAGAACAGAACATGGTGCAGGGCTCCCTTTGTTGATTAAGCTAGACATAAGCCCGGGAAGCAAACCATCTTTGGCTCTATGTCTGCCGGGTATTTTAAACAGGGAACTCTGAGACAACCCACGGAGCTCCGTCTTTGGGGAACCAAGAGGTGATTGCTTAAATAGGAATCGTTGCTTTAACATGCGGCATTTCGAATCCAACATCCCAAATACACCTTTTGCCTGTCAGAGCTGGACCGATATTGGTTTCAAACAGGGGGTTGGATCCCGCCACCCGCCTGCACCATGATCTTGGTCACATTCGTGCGGATGGTATCGTCGAAGTCCAGATCCTTGTCCTGCAAGAGTCAATGTTGATCAATGGGCTCGGCTTCAATGAAAAGGAGGTCTTGTATATTGTTCACCTGAACAATTCCCCCAAAATTGAGGTTTCCTTTTGGTACGGTGGAAAGAGTGATGCGTTAAATGGCGAAATTGCACGTATTGCCTTCTCTGTGCCTTCTCTGTGTCTCTGTCTCTCTGTGTGTCTGTGTGTGTGTGTATGTTCGAAAAACAGCGAGCAGCAGGCCCTGTTGCTCGCCACCTTTCGCTTGCTGGCCCTGCAAACAGATGTGATAAGGGCCAAAGTGTCTTTGTGCGAGCCCAGCTAACAGGGGCCCGAGTCCCTCAATTTGAACCAAATGGATCTGCTGAAGAGCCACCTGTTTCGGAGGCTGTCAGGATCTCAAATCCTGCCGAATGGACCAGGTTCCTCCGATTTCGGCCCAAAAGTGCGCGTGAGGAGCCGGGATGAACGCTCCACTTTAGTGTTCCCTACTCTGCACGTTAACATGGAACCATGCCCTGCAAAATCCCCTTGGAATCGACCCCTCGGAAAACTCCGAAGCCGCTTTGAACATTTGGCAAAACCAGTGGAACCCATCCATGTTCAACAAAAACATATATATATATATATATACATATATTATATATAACCGTTCTGCTCCTTGGACAAGAATTGGTTCGCCACGGCGGACAGGGCATCCGCGGGCCACTCGTGGAACCAGTCGATGGTGCAGCAGTTCACCAGGCTGGGGAAGCTGCGCAGCCGGTTCCGGAAGGCTGAGCCGATGGGCGACATGCAAATCACCTGACCGCCGGAGGGGGCATGCAGTGTTACTTGGTGGACGTCGCAAGGAGAGCAACAAATATCAAATTTTAGCAGTCACGTGGGGATTTCTCACTAAGCCAGAACAAGCAAACATGTACAATGTTGCCCAGCAACAACCATGTTTACCTGGTTTTGCAGGTCACAAGGACAATGCAAATAACCTGAAAATGGGCGGCATCCATGTTTACCTTGCCACCCGATATAACCACCAAATGGAAACTAGCAAAGGGTTACCTACTAAATTGGGTGGCTGGGATTTTTACTTTTACCTGGTTGATGCTGGAGAAGGCTTCCCAGCACCGGCTGAGCTTGCATGGGATTTGGGGAGGTCCTCAAAATGGGAGTCGATCCATTTACGTGGGTTTGCAGCTGACCGGGGCTTGCCACCCGATGTAAAAACCAAAAGGGAAAAGAGCTGGCTTACTGATGGGTAGCTGGGATCCACGGAGATTGCCTTAAAATAAGGGACCCTAAGGAAATGCGTGGGTTCCTGTTGGCTTCCCATTTAAGACCAACCTTTTTGGGTGCCCACAAAAGGAAACACCCCCTCGTAAAGAATTGGACCAAAAATAACCCAACCAGGGAATGATGAACTTGGACACAATTTGTGTCCTCGTGCATCGGGGGGGGGGGGAGCGTGGGGGGCAGTTTGACCACCCCAGGTAAGGTTCTGTCAAATTTCCACTGGTCAACCTGGGAGGGGACTCGAAATTTTAGCCAAGACTGAGAGCCCGAGGCAATTGTCCCATGTCCATCAAGGGAGCGGGAGCTGCATATCGGCCAGTTCCCTTCTTGACTGTCAGGCTGTTTTTCACCTTTAAAACCAAACCTGTTGTGTGTCAGTTTCTGCGATTCCAAGTCGGCGTGCTTCCGAGGGGAGTCCCCTTTTGGGTCGGGTTTTGGAGCCACAAGGAAACCCGGAGCCGATCGAAGCATTGGTTTTCTTTTACCTTTAAACCAGCCAAAGGGGGGTGGGGGGGGGGGGGGCTACAAACCCCATTTTGACAAACACCACCGTGTCAGCTCCACCAAAGCAGCAATATGCAACAGATCCTAGCATGGCTATAAACGTTTACAGGCGTTGCTATCCTTGTGGACCGGGTAGAGCCTACCAAAATGGCCCTCAAGGTGTTGGTCGCTGCGAGCACGGTGCAATAGGCTAATACAAGTACCCTCAGGTAGTAGAACCACAACCAATCTATAAGGGTCCCCTTTGACACCAAAATATCCGAGGTGCGACCTGCAAATTACCCTTTCAGGTTGGCTGAAAGGACGCTCTGTGTTTTTGTTGGGGCAATTTACCTGTTGACATCATGTGTGCGTTTGTGCGTCCTGCAAGCTGCCGCTGAGCTGCGATATGCAAGTTCTTGCGGCACTGCTCCACCTTGGTTGCTGCAACGACCCCTCTGCAAAAAGTGAGTTTCAATTTTTCTGGCTTCGATCCGGAAAACCGAAAACAGAGTTCGTTCAAACCCAAAAGAATTCAAGTCTAAAGATCCGTTCGCCAAGTAGCCATACAGAAAAGGGAGGGTTGACATGCTTTTGAGCAGGCAGTCCCACAAAACCAAAAGGGAATAGGGTGCCAATTCACTCACTTTTGCTGGGTTCAATTCTGAAAACCGAACAAAGACCTCAAACCCAAAAAGTTTCAAAGTCTAAAGATCCGCTCGCCAAAATCGCAATCCAGCCACGTACCACCCGAAGATCTCCGCCGGGGTGTTCTTCCCCGCGGTGTTGGCGCCCTTCGAGCACTTCTCCGTGATCTCGAGCCGGTCCTCGTTGGCGTAGAGGTTCGGCACCTCCCCCGTGTTCAAGATGGAGGACACCTCAGAAACCCGGAAGGAACCGGGTACCCTGGAGAAAAAAAAACAAAAAAACAACACAGGGAAGCTCGGTGGTCCTGGTAACTTCCCACCACTCAAACGGGTAGCAGTAGGTCAAACAACAAACACTAAACAACCACAAACAAATTCCTTCAAGCGGATCCAGAACGCTTCTTTCCCCAAACCCCAGAATGATTCCCCTACTAAAAACCGGCATCATGCATGTGCGACGGGTGAGTCCTCCCAAACAGTGGCCCCGGGGCCCCTCACAAACATCGGCCCCGGGCCCGGTTTTCCGCAACCATCGGCCTGCAAAAAGAAGAACTGTTTGCCTATCCAAAGAGCAAACGAGGGAAGCCCAGGGCAAAAAACCAAAGCTTGTCTCACAGTAGGCATCGTCGGATTCGCTTCGGTTTCCCTAGACCTAGACCATAACGGGCGCCTGGCCTCAAAAAGAAAACCCCCAGCTTTCCGCAACCATGAGCACTGTGGATGGACCAAATCCTGTACCCGTCGGTTGGTGGTTTATCCCCCATATACCATGTGGTGCCAAATGGGTGTGTCGTTTTTTTTCAGGGTACGTGTTTGCATGGTTTTGGATGGACACCAAAAAAAACACACCGAAGCCATTTTTGGGGGCCGATTCCTGAAAAAGACACACCCAAATGGATCTCACCCTACAAAGCTTTCACTTGGGTCCCTCTTAAAATAGGAAACCCGCAAACGGCCGGGGTTCCTCTTCTCTTCTCGATAAAACCAACCCTGGTGCCAAAAAAAAAACGACTTTCTGTCATAGGGCGACCTTTTGGAGAAAAAAAAAAGCCGACGGCCCCGGCAAATGGAAGAAACCCATCTAAACCCGCGGGACCCCACCGACTTTTTCACCCCAGCTCACCGATCAAACGGACACCTGGGCTTTTCCTGGGCCGCCCGTTTTCAGATCCCCTGCCAAAAGCTTAACCCAGTTTTCTGCCTAAAAAGACACCTACTGTTGGTCGAAATCCATTTCGCACCACCTAAGAACCCCTGGAATGATTCGATTCCCCGGTAAATACTGCAACACAACAACAACATGGTGTTCCCCCTGGTTTCGCAGTGCGAACGGATTTCGCCCATCCACAGTAGGTGTGCGGTCCTCCCGGCCTCCTCCAGGAAGGCCTCCTTGGCGATCTGCGTGTCCGAGAAGAGGAAGACCGTGTTGGAGTCCGCGCAGCCGCTCTTCATGAGCATGCGCCGCATGTCCTCGTGCCACTCGTTCATGCCGTAGCCTCATCGAAATCGAAGAAAAAAAGCTCGTCAGAGGCAAGCCACAAGTAGAATTCCAAGCGAACGCATGCATGGGAAAGCCCTCGGCTGTCAGATTGACCCTCCCACCAATCAACACACATGGAACCTGACGTTCGGGAAATGGTGGTGTTTTGAAAGGAAAATGGTCTTCTAGGAAGCCACGGACGTCGGGTTCCATGTTAATTGGTGGGAGGGTCCAGTCCAGTTACCACCAGAGTGGCCATCCAGGGGAAACCATGATGTAAAGCCTAGAGGACATGAAATTTGGGCGGGCCTTTCTCTTGGGAAAAACGCACACCAACCATTTTGGGCACCCCGAACTTTGAGAGAACCCCATCTAACAAAAGAGATAATTAAAACAATGCATACAACAATTGGTTCCCAAAGCAAAACCCCGCCGAGGCCCTTGGGCCGCAAAAACCAGCTCAAAGAAGCGACGCGTCTCGCGTCGCAAGGCTTGATCTGGAAAAAACCATCTGGCGTAGATCGCCCGGATCTTTGGGGCTAGTGGCAACTTTTGGTTTCACAAATGGCCCTTCCCTTAACTCGCTTGTCCGAAGCGAATCGATCTTCTGAATATTCGAAGACATTCACAAGGCAATTCTCATTAACATGACATGGACTGATCATGATCCTCGGATTTGAAGCAACCCAACAAAGAAAAAACATGATCCTCGGCAATACCTGATTTCTCTTGATCCAAGGAAGTGAGCCAAACTAGAAACAAGGTTGCCAAACATGCGTGTGCCCAGTTGCAGTTTTTTGGGGTATATCACAATTTTGCCTCAGGAACCCCCCTGTGAAATGCCCTGTCTCGTACTTTTTTTTATGTTTAAATTACCTGCGGTGGCCCTACCTTTCAATTTCATTCCGAGTGTCCCTTGGACATCTCGATCTGGAAGAGGTCGTACGTCGCCACGTAGGTAGCCAAGGTGGTCGTGGCCTTCAGGCAGTCCATTTCGTGAACGCGAAGGGTGGAACAACCTCCCTCTAGGTGCACCATATGGACAATTGAACAGGGTCTCTGTGTGTTTGTGGAGTTGGTAACCTTTTCAGGTTTGTTTTCCAGGGAAGCGAACAGAACACCATTGTGGAGGTGGTCCTATTTTGACACATACCAAGGGTCTTGATGGGTGTGGGCGAAATCTGATCCAAGTAGAAGGCCGCGGCGGCAAATCAAGGACATTCTGAGGTACCCCCCAAACAAACACCCCACCCAAAAAGAGCTCACCCCCCCCCTCCCCCCACCGACACCCCCCCCACCCCCCACCTTCCGTCCGCTGCCGCCCACGCCCACCAGCAAGGCGTTGCCCAGAGGCAGGCGCAGCACCCGGATCACGCGGCAGACGTGCTGGATGAAGCTCATGAAGAGCACCAAATCCATGCGAATCCTCAGAGATTCATACGATTTGGGGATTTGGGGCGGCTTGCCTTGCCTTTTTTTTGGGGGGGAGGGTAATTAATAATCTTTCCTTCATAGATTCGATGGGGGGGCGTGTTGCTTTTCTTTGAGGGTACCCTTTGGGCTTGGCTTGACAAGGAACACCAAATCCATGCGGAGCCTCTTGCCCTGCTTCCTTTTTTTGGAGGGTAATTCATAATCTTTGGGCTTGGCCTGTAAAGGAAAAGCGGCAAAAGAACAACTACCACTTGGGGGGTTGGGGTTGGTTTGGAAAGGAGGAAAATCCAAAAGGATAACAACATTTGGGGGGGTGGGGGCGGTCAAAAAAGGCCCCCCCCCCATATGAGTTTTAAGCGGTTGGACCCTTTGGCCTTGGGCTCAAAGGAGCTAGAGACCAAAGGTTCACGTTTTGGAACTTTGCCTAGGTCCTCCAGTAGAGAGGTTAGAGTAAGTTGGTACCCGATCTTCTTTTCCTCGGTTGCTTTCTGCTCCCCTGCTAGTTTAACTTTTGGTGGTTTAGTGGAAGACCCATTAATTGGCAAAAAGTTAAAGTCCTAACAGCCAAGCAAAATGCACCAAAGTTTCGGTCGTCTATTTTAGTAGGGGAACCCTGCCCCAAAAAAGGGTAAACGGGCACTACTGCGGGACCTAGCTGACTAAAAATGGAGCATTGGGAAAACAAACGGTGAAAGGTCGGCTTGCAAGTGAGTTGGTGGACATTCACGATTCAGGTGGTTGGATTTGTACCCACCAAGCACTTTCCAGGAAATTCCCTATTGAAGTTCATGGGATGGGCTTGTCTGCTTCTTTTTGGTTTGCCTCCAAGTGCGGAATTTCAGTTGGGAATGTGGAAAATCCAACCAAAAGGAAAACGGAATAAGCTGGAACTCATGTGAAGCCAGTATTCAAGCCTTTAGGTGTCGGAAGATTGGGGATGCGATCCTTTCGGACGGACTGGAGCTCCCAACGGGTTGAATCCCAACGGGGGCTGACCCCGGATCGCTTTTTTGGAGACCGGAGCCCCTGTTCACTCATGGGGATCAGGATCATGATTTATTTTATTGTACTTTTTTTCATATGTTTTGTGTTTTTTTTTTTTTTGGGGGGGGGGCGGGGGGGGGGTTGGCAAGTCTGAGGATCTTGGACACTGAGTTGTAGTCGTCCAAACACTCCTGCACCTTGCCCGCCAACTTCTCGTGGTCCTGCGGTGGTTTTAGGCGGAGGTCCAAAGGGGAAGCCCGCCCATTTCGGGCGCTGCTTCAAGACCCGATATGCCAGGTTTGGCATGATTCCCTTGAAACAACATCTGTTTCATGGTTGTCTAACTCCCCACGACCATCCCTAACCAATTCAACTTGTATGCTCAACCTAAGTGGGTTTTGACCCTGGTGGCAAGCAGCCAACCCCCACGGTTTTCTCAGGTCGAGCATCCCAGAGGCGGCAAAAATCCCTTTTTCGGCGGCGTCCTGCATCTCGACATATGCGCTCGACTTGGGGTCACAGAAGTCCGCGAAGATCACCGGCTCCAGCTTGACCGCCTGGTCGTAGGGCCGCTTCAAGTGCTTGTCCATGTTTCGCTTGCAGAGGTTGGTGAACCTGGGGGCGCGCCGATCCCTTGCTAAGGCTGCTAAGGCTAAACGTTTGGTGGGAGATGTCATAAGTCCAACTCCAAACTCTAACAGCAAACAAGTCGAAAGGTACGAACCAGGTCCATGCGAGAACGTCGAAAACTCTGAAAGTCAAAAGGTCCAAAGGGGGCGCCAAGGAGCCAGTTCATGTCCTGCTTGGTGGTCAAGCGGTCCTTGAACACGCGCTCGCACTCATGGAGCCAGCACTTTGCGAGGTCATCCACCTTGGGCAGAGACTCCCGGCTGCATTGGCAAATGCCCTGGAAGACCTTGGACACATCTCGCCTGGGTTGGTCTGCCGTAAATCTAAAGAACTTTCTGACAGATAGTGAAGAACACGTCTTGCTCAAGAAAAATTGAAAGGAATCAAATTCCAAAAGGTTCGTTGTTGGTTGTTTCGTACCCAAGCCTGTTCCAAAAGGTTCATTTTGGTTGTTTTGGCCGCTTAGCAAAGCCGCATGTTGAAGGTGTAGTGGGACTTGGCCGGGGTGGGCAAGAGCTCCTTCAGCACCGTGCCATAGACTTCCAGCGTGGCGGTGACGGCGCCCGCTGCCGCACCCAGCACGTCTCGGGCCATGACGCTCATGAACTTGTTCACCACCGTCACGAAGATGCGGCTCAAGCTCTCCTCAGGGCTGCGGGGGTTGGGGCCAACTGGGGTCTTCACATCCCAACCACTCCTTCACTTCAACAAGTTGAACTGGGTTTTAGACATGCAGGGCTGGGTTGCCATCATCGGGACTTCTCGACATCCTCCAAAAACGACAAACCAAGGATCAAGGGGCCATCTGGGGTTCTTGTCACATCCTCCCAAAAGCCGAAAAGAGCCAAATGGTGTTGCAGGCTGTTTTTCAGGGATGAAATTGGTCTAAGCAGCCAGACCCTGGTACCTTCAAAAGGAGCACCCGAAGGAGACTGCTTTAAATAAGTGAAGTCGTGTTTATCATGCAGCATGCACAAACAGCGATCATTGCCTGCACCGACGCAAAATCACACAACTCCGTCTGCAGAACGACTCCTCCACTCCAACAAGTCTGATATTTCACCTTTAAAGTCCAACAAGTGGCATCACCACCTCTTTCCCCCCTCCACAAAAACCGGCCACATCTTTCCCCCATCCGCGTCCATCTCTTAAACCGCTTTCAAAACCCTCCCGTCTCCTCATCGAAGGGTGTCACGAAGAGGAGGTTGAACCACCGGGAGTAGCGGTCCGTGACATCGTTCTTCCCCCCGCCGGGGGGGCACATGGCCGCCAGCATGTGGATGTCGATCAGCTGTCGGAACTCCCAGCCCTTCCGGTCATACCAGCCTGTCGAGTCAGCACTGCATCCAGCAAACTTGAGTCACCCCCATGAGCTAGGACATGGAAACAACATGGACACCAAGCAACAACACGAAACCTTGGAGCCCAAATTTGGGACAAGAGGATTCTTAAGATATGTTCCTTTGCTACAAGTGGTCAACTTTCATTTTGATATGCGCCAAAGTCTAACATAGTCTGAGGAACCGTGTCTGGGAAACTCCCTCTTGACGGTCTGTAAGAGTTGAGGTGCCTGAAGGTAGGATTTCCACTCTCTAAAAGTTGTCGAGTATCAAAGCCCTCTGAGCTCTAAGTCTACAAGACCAAACCGTGTACGGCACGCCAAACCGAGCAGCCATATCCCATGGGCGTCAAAATGAACATCTGGCGCAGGATCTCGATCGGCGGCTGGGCGCCATACTCCTGGCTGGAAACAGACCGGCAGCAAACAGGTGGTCACTGCCGTTTTCTGCAACCAGAGGCTCCAATTCGATTGATTTAGGGCCTTACAAGCTGGCTTTGAGAAGCTCAAGCACCGAAGCGGGGTGTCTATTGGAGTCAATTGAAAGCCCCAGGGGTTGAAATGGACAATGAAGCGGCACACGAAATACATGGTGCGGGTTGAAATGGAACATGGAGTAAAACCAAACCAAGCCCTCTTTTTGCTGGTTCAAATGGAAAAGGAAGTAAAACCAACCAACATCCAACTTGTTTGATGCTTGAAAGGGACATGAAGAAAAAAGCAAAGCCCGCCTTTGGCTGGTCGCATGACAATGAAGGAAAACAACACCCCCACTGTTTCCTGGTTGAAAGGGACAACAACGAAAAACCAAAAGGCCCAAGGCAAAAAGGTAAGCTACGTCCCAGATTGAAGCCAGTGCAGAGAAAATGGTGGTTAGGACTCCAAACGGGGGAAGCCACGGAAAGCTGCCAGAAATGGTGGGGGTGTGGTCTCCCCGTGAAAGAACCGTACCCCTTTTGAGTGTCAATGAAAAAAGCAAATTTCCCACAGCGAGGTCAACGCCATGGGCTCCAGACATCTTGTTGTTTTCTTTGAAAGAACCCCTTTTGAGGGTAATTACTCCGAGGGCGCCATGGGATCGCATATGCCGGGCTCCTCTTTGAAGGGCATGTTCAAGTCGTCGATGAAGACCAGCATCTTCTTCCCGGGCGGCGGCCCGAAAGTGCCCTTCTTGCGCTTGTCCAGCTTGCCGTCAATCACATCCTGCAATGGTTCCCCGAAGACCAACCCTTTGGCGAACCAAGCTCTGTGGGTCCCCCCAATGAAAAGGGCGAGGGTCTGGTGGTTTGAAGAAATATTGCAACCCACTGCTGAAAAGGCTTCCACTCCGAAAACACATGCGACATTCAACATGTTACTTAAAATTACTTATTGGTTGGTGGGAACCACACATTTTTCCAACAGAACTGAAGGCTTAAAGACTCCCCAAGCAGCCGAACGCGCGGTAAACCAAAAATATGTACCACATATTATATTACCACAAATATTACCACATACTACCACATATTACCACATGTCACCACATATTACCACATATTATGATCCACATATCTGCAGATTGCGCTTCAGATTCAAAAATGAAACTAGAAAACAAATATAAAGAGGATCCTTACATTATACACCTGAACATTGCCTTGTTCATGGTGGCGTCCCTTCATTTTGGTGGAAAAAGCCATGTTTCAAATGGTTGCAAAATGTATCTTGTAAGGAACCCTGGAAAACATGGGTATGGGTCAAAACTAAACCACCAGGGGACCGCAGGCTTTAGTTGTTGGTTCCATTTGCCAGGGTTGCATTTTGGGGTTACCCTATTTTTGACCCACTCCCGTATTTAAAAAATGAAGAAAGAAACAGAACAGAAAAGCTGGATATTAAAAAATGACCACATATTATCGCGTATGATCCACCTCTCTGCAGATTCTACTTCATCTTCAAAAATGAACCAAGACAAGGAACGGAAAACAGGGATCCTTGCATTATTGCCTTGTAAATGGTGGTTTCCCTTTATTCTGGTGGAAAAAGCCATGTGTCAAATGGTTGCAAAGTGCATCTTGTAAGGAGGAAAAGCGGGTTCGAATCTCCTGGGTCTGGTTGGCCGTGGTCTGCGCGGAAAAGGCGAAGGCGTTGGTGGCGTAGCCGTCCGCGCTGAAGCCCTGGAGCAACATGCCCTGGATGGAGGCCGTCTTGGCAGTACCTGGGGTCTGTGCGTGTCAAAAGATTCAGTGGGTGCACGAAATCTGGATGGATGGCACCTACTCTCGGGTTGCAAACTCTGCTCCCCTGCTAAAAGCAGGAGAACTTTTAGTGGTTTGATGGAAAACCCACTAGTTGGCAAAAAGTTAGTCCTAACATCCAAGCAACATGCACCAAAATACTGTGGATGGACGAAACCCGAGACCGCACCACCAAATGAAACCATGGGAGAACAATATATGTTGGTGTTTACAGGGAATCACTATTCCTGGGCTTCGTAGGTGGTGCAGGATTTCGTCCATCCACTGTAGGTACCCAAAACAAGGTCGCAAATGCCAAATGTGCGGCTGTCTAATCTCCTTGTATCCCGCCAAGGACACCGCCAAGTTGGGACGCCCCCATCGCTTTTGTCATGTGTTTGCGTTTTTGCTTTTCAGGGCATCGCACTTTCATGTTCTATGTTCAAATATGGGCACTCTGAAACAGTTGATACATACAACGCAGGGCATCGCTTTTGGGACGCCCCCATCGATTCCCAATGGATTTCCCTTCAAGGGGACCTGGTTTTCTGTGGGTGTGGGCTGTTGGTGTCAAAATCGGGTAACCCCAAAATGGAACTTGGGCACCCTGGTAAATCGAAAAGGAAACTGATACCTGCGTTCCAATTGGTGGTGGTTTAACCTTGACCCATACCCACCTGGGTGTCACCAGTTTTCCGCGGGTCGTGCGCTCGGTCTCAAGATAGGAACCCCGGTTGAGGTCATTCCATTTGGGGGATGGGTGTAGTTCCGTTTGAGTCATTAAAAGCACCCTTGTTTTTGGCGTCGCGTTGCATCCTCTTTTTCCGCCTGGAGTTGAACTTGGTCATTGATCCTTTACAAGTTTTGCATATATGAAATAGTCAATTTCCATCAAGTCTTCACTTCTCAAAGTCGGACCCGTTTCGGGCTTTGTTGCCGTCTCTTGCGATCCCCATGTTTTTCTTTTTTTTGTTTATGTTTTTGTTGTTTTTCTTCCTTTTTTCCGGGGGAAACCCGGCCCAGCCCTCGGATCCCTCCCCGGGCCCAGCCCTCGGATCCCGAGATCCCGAGCCCTCCGCGGCCTGTGGGTCCGGAGATCAGGATGTTGTAGCCCTTCTCGATCAAGGTGCGGATCAAGAACTGGTTGCGGCAGGTGTCCGAGGTAGGCACCACGATGGTGTGGTACGGAGTGTCCTGCAAAAAACTGCCCGAGAGAGTCAAGGCTTGACCCCAGGCAAATGGTTTCAAAGGGGTGCCCTGACTTAGGGGTCACTGGATGTCCCCTTCAAAAGTTGCAATTTGGGTGGTCCCCATTGAAACTGCCACTTTTGGAGGTTTCAAAATGGGAAATGGAGGAAACTCTGCTACGTCCCCCCCCCCCCAAAAAAAAAAAAACTAAAAAACTGGCAAACTTAAGAAACCCTCAAAGTACAGAGCCGGCACAGAATTCAGCCACAGCATCGGAGAACCAAAGGAGTGCTTAGCGACAAGTCTCGCCCCTTTCGAAAGTTTCACATCCAGAAAAGTCCAGGAGTGAAGCAGTCTGATGGTCATGCTCGAACGGATTTTGTTGGCTTGGGGGCGCAGTTTCGTGTCGATGCAGCAGTTCGTGCCGATTGCTGGCGATCCGCTCCGGGAAACTGGGGAGGACCTTTGCCCTGCCCCTCCCCGCACATTGACACAGGCAAATAGATGCGAATCACGGCACTGCTCCATAGTCAACCTCATATAACATGGGTGCGGCTCAAAATGGAAGAGACTTAGGGGTACGCAGGTTTTAGTCATTGTTTCCATTTGCCAAGGTGCCATTTTAGTACATCTTTTTTTGAGCCACAGCCATATAGCCAACAATCATTGGACCTGAAGGTTTCTACCTCGGAGGCCATGTGCTTTTTTGAGGCTAGCCTTTTGGAGTAGATAAGGGAAACCAGCAGAACATAAACAAATAGAAAATGCATGTTTGGTCCCTCCAGGGAGACCCTCAAAATGGGTAGTGTCCCTTAATTCCTCCATTCAACCACAGGTCCTTACCTTGGTCTATGTAAACGGGAACCCAAAAGGCCCTCAAACTCCCCATCCAACCACCACAAAAGGCAACCTATACAAAAACAAAGAACAATTTCTCCCTGGTTGTTCAACCAGGCAACCAAAAAAGAAACCCCTCGCGTTCCCAGGCTCCCAGTTCCCCGAACAAAAAACCACGCGCGATCCGCGCCGCGCCGTCCGCGAGACCGAGTGCGAGCCTTGGGGATGTCGAAGCCCTCGATGCGCTCCGTCCAGGGCTTCCACTTCCCGCCCTCCACGGGGTCGATGAAGGAGTCGTGCAGCAGGCCCTTGCGGGGCGCCGCTGGCATGGAGCCGCCCCCGGTGATGTCCAACCTGAGAGGTGGGGTCTCGGATTTTCTGGGGTTTGGGAGCCCAACAAATTTGGCCTTGAAACTTGTGGTGTCCTTTTAAAACCACAGAGAGGGGGACCCTGAAAAATAAGAATCACCCCTATACGGTTTTTGGACTGCAACGGAAACCACGCGGATCTAAGTGGGGCACCCTGGAAAATAATAATATGCCTCGATCTTTGTGTTGATTTTCGGGCTGAAAAGGAAAACCACGGCTAAAAACTTTTAAAAAGGGACAAGTCAGCACTTTGGGCTAACTGAGGGAAAACCAACAAGTCAAAAATTCACTCAGTTGAGAAATAGAAGGTTGACCTTTGGGGGCCTTTAAAAATGGACCAAAAGGTCATTTCAGGTCGGTGCTGTGGATGGACGAAATCCATTTCGCACCGCCTAAGAAATCCTGGTTTCCGATGATTCCCCTGTAAATACCAAACGACAGTTTCCTATGGTTTCAATTTGGTGCAGGAGCTTGTAGGGGGGTGTTCCCCTCCAATATATAGTGACCACTAAACCAGGGACATCCCCGTACTAATAAACAAGGGTTCATGAATCCGGGGTTTCCTATGGTTTCTTTTTGGTGCGAAATGGATTTTGTCCATCCACAGTATGGCTTTCTGTCAACGCAACTTGGTGAAGTCCGCCACAAAGTTGAACTTCTGCAGCAGGTCCTAAAGATTTCGAGGGCTGGCCCCGAAAAGACTCATGGCCCTCCAGGCGTGCTGTCTTGTTGGTTTGGAAATATGTTGGGGTCGGATTACTTGGGGCTTGGAGCCAGTTTTGGAAATCTAGGGGTCGAAGTACCCAGAAACATGCTTCTATGCATCTCGTTTTTTTGTTGGGCTTGGTTTATCGCCAAACACGGCAATGATAATCTAATCATGGTCCGCCAATCGACCGCAATGGAGAGTCCAATGCTTGTGGGAGAGAGGGATCTTCGGAAACATGTCGTGCCAGCTTTGCCCTGGAAGGGGAAGATCTCCAGAAAACCAAGTGTGAGCTAACAATCCTGGAGATCTTCCATGACAGCTACCAGCACGAATAGATCCGAACGGAGGGACTGGAGAGCGGGAACGAGCTTGAGATTTCACTCGCACGCTCGCACCTGGAGATCAGACATGATAGAGTGGAGAGTGAGTAAGCCGTGACCTCACCAGCAGAAGAGATGCTATAACAATTAGAATGGCCTTCCTTCACGAAGGCTTCCCCAAGGCCCTTCATTCATGAGTCCATTCATTCTCCGGGACTTGGATGGGGGCTTCAGAACTCGTCCTCCTGGGGCCTTTGGGTCGGTCAACCCAGAGCCAGGCAATGCAAAAAGGGATTCCGCCGATGCAAGGCTTAGATTGGCTGCGGCATTCTAAAGCTTAAAACAAGGGATCCTCTAAACACCTTCATTCTGAACCAGTGAGCTCGCAAAATAAGTCAAAAGATGCGAGATGCCTGGAATCCAAACACCACCCATGTTAGGATCCTCCCCAATTTAATGTTGGTGGTTGATTTGCAGGCTATTTGGGTGTACCTTTTTTTGAGGGAACCCCCATCTTTTGGTGTTTTAGGATGGAAACACAAGGAAGACCACACAATTTGGGGGATCCCCTAAAACAACACACCCATGATACCCCTAAAAATACACACACACACACACACACACACACACACACACACACACACACACACACACACACACGCACGCACGCACGCACGCACGCACGCACGCGCGCACGCACGCACGCGCACGCGACGCACGCACACGCACGCACACGCACGCACGCACCCACCCACCCACCCACCCACCCACCCACCCACCCACACACACACACACACACACACACACACACACACACACACACACACACCGCAGGTTCTATTTTTCAGGTCCTTCTTGTTGTCCATGCAGGCGCGGATGATGTCGCACACGAACAAGCGGCCCTCGGAGTCCGTGCAGGCGGCGCAGGTCCAGGTCATGGTGAACCAGAAGAGCTGGTTGATCATGATCTCACCTGAGGAAAACAACAAAAAATGATCTCACCTGAGGAAAAAGAAATCAAAATAACCTGAGCAGGGATCCTTACATTATACACCTGAGCATTGCCACTTGTACAGTGTCCCTGTATTTTGGTGGAAAAAGCAACATGTTTCAAATGGGCAAAATGATAATGATCTCACCTCTCGGCTGGTTGATTAGGACCCCAGCAAAAAAAAACTGTTTTCCCTGGTTACTGGAAAACAAAGGGACCCCAAAAAAGCAAAAACGGAAAAAAAGAGAGAAGGAGCTAATTCTGGGGAAAGCCTGAGCAACCAAAAAAACACGGGCCAAAAGGGGCTGAAAATGGCTGTGGCTCAAATTAAACGGGCCAATTTTCTTCAAGTACCCTGGCTTCGATCATGATCTCATCTGAGTTGCAATCAACACCGAGCGGTATAAAATGATTTGCCGGGGTCTACCCAGAACCATGTAACAATCGGTCTTCAAACGGGCCCATCGGGCTTAAATGGCGGTGGCTCAAACAAAACGGGCCAATTCTTCAACTACCCGCGCTTTGGGGCCGTGCTTTACTAACCTTCAACTACGCAGGCTTTGAGTGTGGCTCACCTCGTCCCGTACCGAAGACGTTTGGATCTACCAAGATGTTGAACCAGCACCCCCCAATGGCCCAACAGCTGTTTCCCATGTCCAAAATCCCCTTGGTACTTTCCAAAAAGCTGTGTTTTTTCTCGTGTTTCCTTTTCTTTTCTTTTTTTTTGGGGGGGGGTGCTGGAAGGTTTTGTTTGCTATAGGCTTTGAGAATTTAGGCCCCTAGCTTGGGAATCAAAGGCACAGCACGCACCAATCAGACCTATGGCTTCCGTGGACGATAGTGGATAGTCCGGGGTCATTCTCAAAATGACAAAAAACAAGGCCTACTCAGAACAAGCAAGTCCACCAAAAAAGACTATAGCTCTCAAACAAATCGGAAGACCACAAACACTGATCATTGTAAAGGACAGGAAGGAACAAGAAAATGCCAATCAGTAGGTCTGTGAATCAATAGCAAGGCTATGCCCATTGGTCACGTGGAAGTATTCTCCAAATGGTGACTTAAATATTCCCCACCCAGTGCTTCCGGTTACCACTATAGTTGGTCACCAGGGGAATCGCCATGATGAAACACCTAGAGGTAAGAAACCCGAAGGATGACCTGCCAAAAAGTTGCTTGCAACTGGAAGGGGGACACCATGATGATCCATGATGAAAAGCCGAGAGGTAAGAAACCCTGGTAACCTATTGACTACTACAGGGTTATAACTGGAAGCACTGGGCTAAGAGTCAAGTCACGATCCATGAAGCACTGGCCCATGTCCGCGTCCTCATCGCGCTCTTCGCCTTCCGGCACCTTCACCTGGAACCGGTTTTCGGCCTAGATCGATGTTACCTCTTGGAACAAATGGGCCACAGGTGGGCTGTCGGAGAAGAAAAAAACCGGTCCCAAAACTTTGTGCCACCTTCGATTCTCTTTCCAATAGTGCTTCCGGCTTCCCGGAAAGGACAGCTTTCGTCTTCCAAAACCCTGCCATCGTCCACCTCCACGATCCTTGGGACGGGAAACGGGACCTTTTAACTGGCCTCATTCTCTTACCGACTTTGAGAACTAGTCCAACTCAAGACCCCAGTTTCAACAGGTCCCTCATTCACCCTCTCGTTCGGGGGCACCAATTCCGCGGATTCAAATTCATTTCCTTCAGAAACGGGGGGGGGGGGGCTTTTGGCCCCTGGCATCGGCCACGCCTCCGGCTTGCAGAACATCTCGGTCTGGTCGCTCATCAGGGCGTCCATCATGCGGGTGGCCATGCAGCACAGCCAGCCGTCGGAGACCGGGAAGGGCGTCTTCACCTTGTGGGTGCACTCCAGCATCACCTCAGCCACAGGGATCTTGAGCCCTTTGAGGTTCCACGGGTGTGTCGAGTTTGTTTCTTGAAGAAAAAAAAACAACCCAAAAAATGGTGAGCGTTCCTTTTTGGCTTTGGGGAAAACCTGCAAAACCTTGTGGTCTCCTTTTTGGTTTTCCGTTTACCGACCACAAGTCGACTCGCCCGTCAGGTTGATTGGGAACCCAATTCCTGGGCCAAACAGATGCGACGAGTCCGATCTTTCAACCAGGCTGGTCCGATGGATCCGACTCAACCTTTGAGCCAGCCATCATTCGTGTCAGGACCTTTCTGGGCTCGGTTTTTGAGGCACATTGAAAGGGAAATAACCAAATTGTCCGGGCCAAACATACTTCCCTGCAAAAGGCGAGCACTTGTTTGCTGGCTGAACCCCCTCACAAATAATAGGTGAAAGAAAACAGCCCGGATCCGAGATACGTCGGTTCTTTCTTGGACGGGCCGCTTGGAATTTCATTCCCAAAACAATTGGTAGGCCCAACCAACTACACGCCAAATCTGGGTTTGCTGGAGGTTAAGGGGTGAAATAGAGCAAGCAAACCAGTCTTCAGGCAACTTGATATGCACGGATACTTGCCAAAAGTGGGAGACCTTCTTTGGGCTCAAGAAAGTTGAACATAAATCAACACCGGGAAGAGCCTTCGGGTAAACCCAGTCAGGCAAAGTGGCGGTGGCTCAGAAAACCGGAATTCCAAAATGGGTTGATTTGTGGAAACATGGACCAACCCCTGCGGTTTGCCCCTCCGATCGTTTAAACTTGGGTATGGGTCAAAATTAAACCACCAGGGGACCGCAGGTTTTAGTCCTTGGGTTCATTTACAGGGGAAGCCCATTTTGGTACATATTATTGACCCACAGCCAAGTCACCTCGAAGTAATTGTTGAAGAGCCCCGCCAGCTGCTCATGGTGCTCCTCCTTGAGGTAATCGGGCACCGTCGCCAACCAGGAATCCACCTCTGCCGATGCACTTCCCTCCAATTGGTGGTTTGGCTTGGTTCCCCCGAATTGGTGGTATGGATTGGTGGTTTGGTGGTTTGTTTGTTTTTTGGGGAACATCTGGTAAGAAAAACCATGGGTTGCCGCCGTCTTTTTGGAGCTGGTACCTTATGTTTGGGGTTGGTTGATGAGCAAAGCATAGGGAAACCAACGAATTCTGATTTGGGGCTTTGTGAGGCCACATCCCATCTGCGCTCTGTGTTTGGACCCTGCTGACATGGGTGTCTTTTTTGAGGGTACCGTTTCTTCTGTGGATTGAACAGGAAGCCAAACGGGGAACTCCTTTTTTTTGGGGGGGGCGGGGGGGGGGGGGTCCCCCGAAAAACAAAACAACAAAACAGCACCCACATTGAGTTGTCCCTTCAAAGGCGGTCACAAAACGGTCCCCTTGAACACGCCTAATTTAAGTCTGATGTTGGGAACTTCTATGGAGGCTGAGTTCCAAGCTTTTTCACTCAGATCGCTTGGACAAAGCCCACGGCTTTTTATGGCACCAGTTGCATCCTCGGTTTTTGTGCAAGGGAAACCGAAGCAGAGGCGGTTGGGATTTTGAACATGGGAAACAGCAGCCGTTGGTTCTGGCAACGGTGGCTAAGGAAAGGGCAGCGAAACCTAGCTTTGCCCGGAACGAAAAGAGGAAACCACGGCTTTCCCCGAAAAAAAACGGGACACGTCGGTGTTTCCCGGAAACAAACGGGGACCTGCGAGTTTTGCCCGAAGGGGAAACCTACTGTGGATGGACGAAATCCTGCACCGCCCAAGAACCCCGGGAATGATTCGATTTCCCTGTAACTACCCACAAACGTTTTGGCTTCAACCATGGTTTCATTTCGTGGTGGGAACGGATTCTGTAACCATCCACAGTAGGTGTCCCCTTCGGGAAAAACTGTCAGGGCCCCTTCGGTGTTTCCCGGAAAAAAAAAGAAAGAAGAAGAAGAACAAAAAAGCCCAAGGGACCTGCCATTTCGTTCCCCGAAGCGGAAAAATCCATTTGGAACCAAACCGGCCGCCCGAAGTCCCGGGCGGGCGGCAATGGGCCGCCAGCCCAGGTCCGTGTCCGGCTCCAGGAAGACGATGCCCACGCGGCTCACCGTGGCCGGGGACGCGTAGTCCAGGTCGCGGACCTCGAACAACCTGCCGGGTGGGCGGGGGCTGGGCGGGGGCTGGGCGGGGGCTGGGCGGGGGAGCCGGGGTCACCAATTTCGCCACCTGAGAGCTGGGAAAATCGTGCGACCCCCCTCGTGAAGGAGTCCTTGTTGAGGGGGGTCACCCATTTTTTTCTCACGAAAGGTGGCAAAAAGACCCCGCTGGGGCTGGAAGGGTACCATTGGTTGGGTGATCTTGGGTGGTTTCAACGGGAAAAGAACGACATTTCGGGGATCCTATTTTGAGACCTACCACTGTGCGTGGACGGAATCCTTTCGCACCACCGTTCAGACATCCTGGAATGATTCGATTCCTCGGTAAATACCAACAAGCAATGGTTTCAACCATGGTGTCAAAGTGGTGCAGGATTGCATCCACCCACGGTACTTACCCTTAAGAACCAGTGGTTCAAATCCCCTGACCCAAGGCGAAAATCATTCAAACCAGCTACCTTGACCCTCAAACCCATATAACCAAAACAATGGGGCCCCGTGTTTAATCGTTGCTTGGGGAGAATCAAGCCATGCCCTGTGATTTGGCGTTTAAGAATTGGATTGGAGGTGGGGGTGGTTCCTTCTCAGACTTACCCTCCACACGAACCAGGGCTTGACTCAAGGGACGGACCCACCCCCATGGTGGTGGACATAACTCGAAACTGCGACATGCCCTTGATTGTTTTCCTGGGGTCAATGTTCAAGGGGTGGGAATTCAAAGGGAAACACACTTGTGTTTGAACACAAGCTTTTGCTGGTTTGGGCGGGAAACAAAGATTTGACCCCCAGCAAATAGGGACACACCCACCCATTTTTTTTGACGAACAGGAGCCACCAACATGACGACCCCGTTGTGTTTCTTGTTTTAGAATAATTGTTCATTTCTTCTTGGAAACCAACATGGAGGGGTCCAAACGTATGCCCCGCAAATAATCCACTTTCTGTTTGGACCTCACCTGGGCCCATGAACAGTGGAAGCCTAATTTTGCGTGTGCATAGTGGTTGGACACCTTTCTTTTCACTAACCTTGTCTCACCTTTTGTGCAACTGCGTCACATGGTGGTGACGGTGGAGAGCTTGATAATCTCGCCACTGTTCAAGCAGAGCTTCTTGTTGTCGTCCAGCACGGTGTTCATGTTCTCGATCCAAATGGCATCCACTGGGCCGTCCAAGACCACCCACTGGCGCTTGCCATCCCCGAAGGCCTTCATCGCCTCTCGCACTGCGATGGCCAGCACGCCATCCGTCCACTCCTGGCTTCAGGTCAAGGCTCGTGGGAGGAAACCAACGGGGCCCCTTCGGGGTCCTTGCCCACACTAAAAAGAAAGGCAATATGACCCAATTTGGATGATGAAACTTATGTAAACAACGGTGGTTATATTGACCCCCTGTTGATTTCATGGTGGTGCGAGCCCCAGAATACCCAAAGGCTACAAGTCCATGGGTTTTGGGGCCCTCCAAATAGGGTTGTGAACCAAGGGCCCTTGAAGCGTGGGGGGTGTCTTCATTGCAGGGCCCGCGGGTCTAGAGTGGAGGGGTCGGGAGCCTGGGGGTAGCTGCAACGTGAAAAAATGCCTGTTCCCCCCAGGCTTTGCTTGTGCTTTCCCTTTGAAACCACCTAAACCAGGGTCAATATGGTCCAAAGAGGGTCATATGGTCCCAAGAGGGTCATATGGTCCCAAGAGGATCATATTGTCCCAAAGGGACATTGCCAATCTGCGGTTCCTTAGCTTCCTAGAATCCAGGGTGAAACCCGCGGCCAGAACCGATCGGTATTCAACTGGTGCACCCAAAGCCAGCGAAAGAATGGAAGGGCGGATATCTGCTCCAATTTATGGCTTCCACTCTCCCGTATGAGCCTCCTATCCCAGTTCATTCATCGTGCCTCAGGTGTGGGCTCGGCGAAGCATTTGCCCTCCCCCCCCCCCCTTCCCCCGCCGAAACACCCACCACAACAGTTTTAGAACCCAGTTCTAAGAACCTTTCATGGCTTGTGGGGGCCTTTGGTTGCTTCTCTACAGGTCAGCTTGCTATAGCAGATCCTGGGTGTTCAAGTCACTCTCGCCGTAGAGCTGGCCCTGGGTGATGGACTTTGGGTTCATCACGTACTGAGTCACCGGCATCATCTCCTAGTCGTTGGACTCTTTGGCGGATGTGGCCTATTTTCCCGTTGAAACCAACCACGTCTATCTTCTCCCATAACAAAAATACATATATACCCAGGTGCTTCCAGTTGCCCCCATAATCGGTAACCCTTCGGTATGGCTACCTCGGGGTTTTACGTCATGGTGAAAATCCTGGTTCCCCATAGCGGCGAAACGCCTGGAAGCACTGGGCTAAGAACCAGGGGTCCACATCCCATGACTCAAGGGATGGGCCCACCCCCATGGGGTTCAAATCCCCAAATCACCAATCCAAACCACCAATTATGCAGAGGGTGCCTGAATCTAGCTTCTCCCAGGAAAAAAAAGACAAACCCTCACTTCCCGAGTAGATTGGCCAGAAAAAGTATCCAAACTTTTTGCTTACCACTAAAATGGTCCAAGCCCTAAAAGTGACTAAAGTCCAGGAACTCGAGTGAGAACATAACCTCCATTTGCTGAAGTCCCCTGGAAACAAATAAACATACATTTTTCCCAGTAGTGAAATCGATTCCCTTTAAAACCAACAGGGGGAAAAGATCTTAACCAAATGGAACATTTCACGCCCACACGGATAAAACAAAAAACAAAAATGAAAATAAGAAAAACCATCTCCTCCCCGTCGGCCAGCTCGCCCAGGGTTTCGGCCAGCACGTTCTTCACGTTGGTCTTGCCGCAGGGGGGGATGCCCACCGTCATGAGCCCGTGGCGCACCAGCACGGTCTCCCAGAGCTGAATGACCTGGGCGCGGAGTTAGTCGGTTCCGGGGCGACGGGAATTTCTTGGAGGGGTCTCCTGGGTGTCTCAAAACAACCCGAAACGGGTACCAACTCCAAGAATCGCATATCAAATGGAGAAGCATCTGTGTATCATTTGTCAACAAACTACTTGATATTTGATTGGCCACAATTGCTAGTCCGAAAAAAGGCCACCAAAAAGGATGCAATGCAGTGGATTCCCAACGAAACCGATTCGTTAGCGTACCCTGGCCAGTTGGTTTTGCGTTTTTTGAGTCGTTATATGACAATGGTATGCACCTTACCAAAAAGACCCAGCAGTCAAGCAACTGCCAGCATTTGCAGTAACCCTTGGTGTTTCCCTTCCAACCAAGCCCGAAAGCATACCCCAGACCTCCAACCAGTCCCAAACAGCCCGCCGCGCATAAGACCCACCCACCCTCAGACCCCAAACCAGACCCTCTAAGGGGGTAATCATCACCCTCCAATTTTCTGAACTGTTCATGGTTTTCAGAAAACAAACTCCAGAAACAAATCAAACCAGCGCTCTTCAGAAAAAAAAAGAAACAAGAAGAAGAAGAAGAAGAACAAGAAGAAGAAGCAAGGCCCCCACCTTGGTGGTGAAGGGCTTGGTGGGTTGCAGGCCCCGCTTCTCCGCGATCTTATCGATGGTGGCCATCAGCTTCCCCGCGTCGCTCGGGGGCAGCTCCACCCCGGGGAACAAATCCCCGATGATGCCCTCGGGGGTTGCCATAGATGTTTTTTGTGGGTGTGTGTGTGTGTGTTGATTGCTTTTTTTTGGTGTGTGTGTGCGCGCTTTTTGGTTTTGTTTTTTGTTTGGTCTTCTTGATTTAATTTTCTTTTTTCGGGGGGGGGGTAGGGTTTAGGGTTTAGGGGGGGGGGGGGGGTAGGGTGTTGGGGTTGCAGGAAAATCTACAGGAAATAGGCCCCAAAACACCCCAAATGAGCTTCTTTCCTGCAGAATGTCCTGTAACCCAACCCTTTGGCATAGATTTGGAGCCCCAAGGATCTTGGTGTTTTGGTGTCGGTTTCCCTTACATGATTTGGGAATAGAATTGTGTGTGTGTGTGCGTTATTATTATTTTTTTTGGGGGGGATACTGGATACCCCAAAATGGCGGGTTTTCCTTCTGGTTTCCTTGAAACAAAACAAGAAAAGCGTACAAACTCCAAAAAAGACAACCCCATTTGATTTGCAGCCCCATGCATCTCGGTGGTTTCCCTTATATGAAAAGGGTACTAACTCTAAACAAGGGTTTGCTAGATTGAATCAGAGCCGACTCGCAGCCCCGAAAACTTGACTGTTAGTGAATTATGGTGACTATCAGGGGCCTTGCAGGATCATTAAGGGTCATAAACCAGTCTTTCCTACGGCTCTGAACGGCTCTGAATCAACATCAGGTTGCAATCAATAGCCCAACGGAACACGAAAAGTATGGCCCAATCTGTGTCAAGCTGAGACGCTTAAAGACCCTCAGATGGGTCTGTCTATTTTTTGAGGGTAGCCTTTGTGGGAATCCAAAGAAACAAAACCCATTTTGGGTTTGCCCGTTTGAGACCAACCCAGAATACTAGTTGACCTCCATTTGCCTAAGTCCCCTGAACAAAGAAAAAATGTATTTCGAGTAGTGATAGATTCCCTTTAAAGTAACCTGCCATTCGCTTAAGTCCCCTGAAAAAAAGAGAAAGAAAAAAAAGTATTTCGACTAGTAATAGATTCCCTTCAAAACCAACAGGGGGAAATGAGAAGTCCTCTTAAGCAACTAAAAGAAAAGCTATTTCGAGTAGCTACGGATTCCCTTTAAAACCAACAGGGGAAGCTATAACACATAAGACATATGCTTCAGCAACTGGAAGTTGTTCAAGCTTCGGGGCTCAGAGCGACGCAATCGACTCCTCCCCCGCCTTGAAGAGCGGCAAATCCGCCGTGGTGAACTTGGGGAGGTTCACATCTGTGAAAGACCTCAGGCGACATATGGCCATGGGCTTTTCAAAAGCCAAATCGGTTTGCCCCCAGTGAACATCCGATTCAATCCAATAGGTAACCTAAAATGGGTGAATTCACCTATCCCAAAATGGGATACCATTGGTTTTGATCCATGGCCATATGACTGTGGTGGTCAAAAATAGTTAACCCCAAAATTAAAACATGGAAACACGGAAACACGGAAACATGGACACATAGACTAAACAATGGAAACATGGACTATGTTTTGCAACATGGTAACATGGAACATGGAAACATGGAACATTTAGTAAATGGAAACATGGACGATTTAACCTGCGGTCCAATTCCTGGTGGCTTAATTTTGACCCACACCCATATGGGCCGCCGGCAAAGGGGAAACGACCACTTTCAGGCTGGTTTACACTCGGCTGGAATTAGAACCCCAGCCAACAAAACATGTTTTGTTTTCTTTTCTTTTTGTTTAGCCTGGCGAATGGAAAATACAGGGGAATCCTCTACATCAGCTGGCAAAGGTGGGCTTATGAAGGGAAACTAGGAAAGCCAAGAGGAAGACACACTCCTGAGATATTCCAGAGACTGATTTCCCATTCTGTTCTAAAACCAGGCGCTCTTTTCCGTGTTTCTGGTGGTTCTGTGGAAAGGATCCCTGGTTTCAGAAGGGAGATGTTACTTCTAGATGGCGTTGTCTTGCCAAATGGGATACGGATGACCCCAGCGCCGCGGATTTCCCCCCGGTCGCGAGCAAGGCTGCCCAGAAAGAGCCTCAAAGCAACTCCGCATGCAACCAATGATGTCCACTGACCTGCTTCCCGGTGGCTGTGATGGGATGCTTGGGTTAGCGGCATGCACAGGGTCGGCGAATCCCAAAAGGGACTCAGAAGCCCTCCGTTTGGCATTGGCTCGAAGACATGTGCCAAAAATCGCACCTTGGTATACCTTGGTAAGCGGAACCAAACACTAACACCTGCGTAACCCTAGCTCTTTAATTTTGAGCCATACCCATTTGACTCCCCAGACTTTGAAAAAAGATACCATGCTTCCCGGTCCCGGCGTCCCAGTCGCCGCAAAGCGATGACGTCCTCTGGGTACTTGTCCCCGTATGTTCGCTTGCCGTTACCGCCGGCCACCTGACTTGGTGCGTTCAGTGGGGGCCTTGACAAATTGAAAAAACATATGACAATGAAGCTTAATAAGGGTCCACCTCAAAAGTGGCTGGTGGACATAAATCCCCACCTAAATGGTGTCCACCAAAGGGTCCCCCATTAAAGTTCACCCCCATATCTACCCTCACTCACACTATCACTAACATGACACCTGACGGAGGGTCCCCTCAAGAAAAGTAATTGCTATTCAGCACCCGGACATCATTTGCAGATTGGGATTCGCAACCGTTTCTGAAAGTACTCCAACCGTCAAATTCAGACCCGCGTTCCACCCTCTTGTCCACCAATTGAACATCAGCTGGCTAGACTTCAGGGGGTTGAACTCTACTGACTCCAATGCCACATGCGTGCTTTCCTTGTGACCCTTTCTCTTGCGCCACAACATGATGGGCACCAGCTAAAGATCCGCTGATCGCAGCACCACATTTCACCAATATGGTTTCGGAGTCCCAGAGCACCAAGGCCACCCAGCCAGACACGGGAAGAACAGATGGGTTCCGGATCCGATGCCACCAAAAAGGACCTGAGAACCAAGGACATCTTCTTTGCTGGTGCGAGAGATGCGATCGGGGCCCTGAGAAATGGAATGAATCCGAGATAAACCACCCCCTGTGTCCTTGAAGGGAATCCCTGCGTTCATTCCCACATTCCCTACTGAGCACCAGCAAGCTTAGTGCAAGTTAGAACAACCCGTGTAGTACCTGTTGATGAAATGCCGCCTACCGATCGCGCCCGGGGCACGAGCAGCATAGCACTGAAGGCCCCTTGAGCTGCTTGTATGTTGCAGGCAAAGGAAAATTAAAGGCCTCAAAGGACCCAAGGGTACCAAAGGACCAACCAGCAAATTGTTACAAGGACCAAATCGAAAATGCCAAAACAAAACAAAAAACAGGTCGCACCAAAGGACCGACCAGAAAAATTGTTCGAAGGATCAAAACAAAAACCCGGCAAACACCACCCGCGCGAGCCATGCCAAAATCCGCAGCGCCGGGGCCGGGGCGCCAGCAGGGCGTTCAAGCCCCGCATGCCGAAGTCGTAGTGGCGCTGCGGGCTCAGCTGCTCTGAGCTCAGCTTCAGGGCCATGGTGGCCTACGAGCGTGGGGCGCGCTGTTTGGGAGGCGAAGAGGCGTCTTTCTAAGACACCAGCTACAGGAAGATCTACAGGAAACTTCTGACTTTGGCGGGAATTTGGCAAGTTTCCTGTAGAGCTTCCTGTAGCTGGTTTCTATGATTCTTGTTTTTGGGTTGAATATATGGCCGTGGCTCAAAAAATGCGTACTCAAAATGGCTTGCCCTGATAAATGGAACCAAAGACTTAAACCTGCGGTTCAATTCCTGGTGGGTTTATTCTGACCCGTACCCATATGTTTGCTTCGGTACTATGGTGGATGGAGAACAAAAAAACTGCGCACCACGAAATGCAACCATGGTTGAAACCATGGTTGAAACCAGTTTTGAGATGCGAGGAGTTCTTAGGAGGATTGAAAATATGTTGGTTTCGGTCGTAGTGATTTATAGTGCGTATTGTCGCCACCTAGTTGTTGTTTTTTTTCTTTAAAGGAGTGATTGTGTTCCCGGTAACAATGTAGACTGCATATTGCTACGAGGACAATAAGTGGGTTAAATATGTTCTTCAGCAACAATGTATTCTGCATAGTGCGTGCTTTTCACCTGAAAGCTTAACCCTGGGGATCTGGGACGAGTTTGGGGTTGGTCGGGACTCTTTGAATCCAATCAAAGAGCACTTTCAATTAGCATGAAAGGGGCAAGTGTCCTTGCGTAGTTGGGTTGCAACCGCTTTTGGGGGAAGCAAAACCAAAAGGAAACCACGCATTTTAAAGGGGCAACCCTAACTATTTTGAGACAAACCCAATAACGCGACAACTTGACTGCACACACTGTGGAAGGACTGCTATACAAGTTACACTGATGAAACCTCCCCTGTTGACTTGAATGTCAAACAACCTTGGTTGACTTGATTTTGAACCACCGCCCTTGACCCTGGTGCCCTCTCAGTGCTGGCCTAAAGGGAAACCCAACAACAAATTGTCAGAACGAATCGCAATGTGACACCTTTTCAGCTTCCTCTAATTGTTGGTGTGGATTGATGGTTTGGAGGTTAAGGGATGTTAAGAGGTAGTCTCACATTTACCCTCCGCATCCCTCCGCAAGATCCAGAGATTCAAGTCACCAATACCAACCACCAATTGAGAAATTGAGGGGAACCGGACTTTACAGAGAATGAGTTGAAGGCCCGCCAGAAAACCATCCCTTGTGGCGTCCTAGGGAATCCCCTTCTGCTTCATTCCCAAAACCAGGACTCGGTGTCATTCCCTACCCATCGCCAAACAAAAAAGACTTATCGAGACCTCTCGCCCAAGAAACGCTCTCCCGCAACATGGAAGCTCCCAGGACCCCTTTGGAAGACTTGGTTCATTCAGAGGCCAACTGAGGGAGCTTCCGGCCGTGAGTCTGAGGGAGCTTCGTACCGCCGCCGGGCCTTGGTGCCGATGACCTTGGCGTCCGAGTACCCAAAGGAGTACAAACGGATCTCCGCAATCAGGGCGTAGTTGGGCACCTCGGGCCGGGCTGGGCTGGCTTTACCTATACACAATTGCATATATATATATACACATACATAAATACTGTGCATATGTATATATACACGCATATATGTAACATAGATACGGTGTGTATATATATATATATATTACAGTATATATATATATATAATGGGTGTGTTTTTGCGAATGGTGGTTTTCTTTAAACCCCCCCAAATCAGGAACTCTCAAACACGCTCGTGGGTGTATACCTTTTTTGGAGGGCCCTCCCACCTTGTGGCTTTGTTCACAGGGCCATCGGTACTTGCCGTTGATGGGTGTCAACCTGTTTTGCTTGTTTTTGGTGGGTTCCCCCAACTGACAATCTTCTGGCTCCCCGGCCCCAACAGAGCGAGTTCCACAAATACCGGCAAACTTTACAGGATGGTCCAGATACTCTAGCTGAGCACCCGGCAAGATGTCTTGTCTTTTGGGGAGGGCGACTTTTATCAGGTGAACCCTCCTTTGCGGGTGGTTCTGAAGGGAAACTTTAACGGGGAATCCGAGAAACCGACGACGCGACGCCCGCTTGTTTTGTTTGGCGAGGGGCCATCATGGCGCAGGGGCGGAACAATGCCTTGAGGTTGTCCGGCAGCTCTGATCGCCCGGCGTAGCCGGGGTTCATGGTGATGTTCACTGCGCAAGTGGGAACCTCAGAGACGCTGACTCGAAAAGGAACCTGCGCAGTTTTCGGTGCCTTTCTTTGGCTGAACCCAAATCCCTCGAAGCGCTTTGGGTGAATCTTTTTTTGTGGTTGAACCTTTTTTTGGAGTTGGCCATTTACAGGGTTCCGTAATAACCCCAATCCTTCTTGGGTGTTCAAACTACTCGGTCATCCCAGTAACCATGGTCATACCCCCAAAACTTTTTAGTATGGGTGTGACTTGGTGGGTTGCTTCTCAATAGAAGCCAGCAACAGCAACTGCTTGCTCAGCCCCTGGCCAGCTTGATCTCTGTCTCCTCGAAGATAAACTTGTCCACGCGGCGCTTGATGGCAATGGAGATCTGCTGAATCTGCTGTGCCACCACCGACCTCGGATAAAAAATAGTTGACCCTCAAAAAATGATCAACTGGGTCTTGTCTGTTTTGAGGGTACACCTGTTTTTGTGGGTTTTAAGGGGACACAAAAAGGAAAACCACATGGAACCTCACCGTTTTGGGTGTCTCCCCCAAAAACGAAAAAGCCCAACCGCTTCCCAGGGAAGTCGTGTTCCAACAGGTTGTTGCTGTTCCCCCTGCTGTTTGCTGCTGTCCACCCTCCAAAAAAAAAAATGACCCCCATCTTATTTTTTTAAGCGCGTCAGAAGGAGACGCCGGGTACAAACAAAGCAGCTTGAAAGGGGAGTAACCCGCAACCCGTCGGATTTGGGCAAAGTGACAGCACCTCCAATGAGATTCGGTTGAACTCATCGAAGCAGCACCAGGAGCCACTGGAGGCGAGGCCTCTTGAGCTCCAGGGCCGCGCGTGCCAAACGCAAGTGGATGCTTCCATGGCAACGAACAACTATGAGCATAGGTGTCCTTGTGAAAAAGCAGTGGCCCAGGTAAAAATGGAATCAACGCCCAGCTTTTGCGCTTGGAACTTGGAGTTCGTTCACCTCTGGGAGCAGATCTTGACCGGACAGATGGAAACCTACCCTGCAGGGTCACCTTTGTTTCAGAAAACCCCCGGATCAATCTTGGTACCTTCGCCCTCCTTGGGCATGCTTCAACGCACATTTCCCGCCCCGCGCCTTTGAAAAACTTGGCCAGCTGCAAGTAGTCCATGGAATCACTGCCTGAAAGACAACTGGTGTGGTTCCTTTTTTAAGGGTAGTCCCCCTTTGTTGGTTTTTGGAGGCAAACCAAAAAGAAACCAAAACGAAACCAAACCTTGTTGTTGTTTTTTTTGGGGGGGAGATAAACCAAACAAGCAGCGAATCTTGTCTGAATTCAGCCGCATGTTGGCTTCAAGGAATTGTCTTCAATTCGGGAACCTCCTAAATGGGTGTTGTATTGTCCTTTAAACGCCAAAAAAGGAACTCTCACACAAAAGCTCACATGCTGAAGAAAGCTCAACGCCGGGTTGCAGTTGAAGACAACGCACCTGAGTGCAGTCGAACCCAAGTCGAGATGGCAACTGGCTGTCAACAAGACTCAAAGTCAAACCCAAATGGGTGTATCTCCAAATGGGAGGGCCAAAAAATGGTTGCCTTCCTTTTGCTTCGGTTCGAACCAAGGCAAAACGGGTACCAACTCAAGAAACACACGCCCGAATGGAGGGAGTGCATGCTGTGAATCTCCCAGATCCAGGCAAGCCCAAGGACAACCATGTGAACCTGGTAACTAAAATAGTGGCTTGCCCGCATCCACTGGATCTAAGTTCTTACTCTACTGTGTCCACTAGAGTGGCTTCCTCCAAATTACGCTCTAAATGGTAAGGGAAACCACCCCCGAAAGTGACTCTGACAGGTCCCTCAGTGCAACCACTTGCGGGTTGTAGGAATCCATTTCGGAGTTTTGGGAATGAACCCGAGGATTCCTCAAGCCACAAAGGAGTTCTGTTTCACTTCGGGCTCATCCCAAGTACATGTCCCTGCGTATCGTTTTGATCGCAAGTTTGGGAGCAACCCCCTGTTGGTAGGTCCGGAAACCCAAGAAAACTAACCCATTGTGGTTCTGCCCCCCATTTTGAGGCAAACCCATATATAGACCACTTTCGAATTTCCCTCAAGAAAGCCATCAGTTGGATGCGTCATGGCGTCATTCCCACTCTTGACTACCGACAGAGTCTCCTTCTGACCCTTAAAAATGGTTGGACATGACCCAACAAATCATGGTTGGTCATGACCAACCATGTTTGATTCGGCTCAGAAGGAGACTCCGGGGATTTCGAAGCATCAAGCTCACACTGATCGATGCGGCTGAGTGGCTGAATCGCCAAGGCCTTGGCCAAATCCTTGGTACTCTCGGTCTTCCCCGTGCCCGCCGGTCCTTCCGGTGCTCCTCCGTAGTAGAGCGCGAACGCGCCTCAGTCTTTCCCCGAAAGAGACCTTGCATGTAGGGATGTTATTGACCCGTTTATGGGTTTCAGAAGAAGCCTCGGGTGCTAGTACTGGGTTTCAAAAGAACATATCAGGATGCGTTTATCAAGAACCCATCTGTTGAGTCAGTCAACCACCAGCCCCAGAACCCGCTGTCCACCCGTCTTCTCTTCTGGGCACCCATGAGAGTTCGGTAGCATCTGTCCGTGAGCGGCGTGATCACCAGGCGCGGGGAGTTCCCCAGGTACTCGAAGCCATAGAGCAGCGTGGAGTTCACCTCGAGGTTTCGGGGGCCAATGGCATCCCTACTTGGAGTTGGGCCAAGGGCCAAGGGCTGCTGGTTGGATGGATTTTTGACCTCGAACGGTGAACTTGGGAAATTGTGTGTTTCACTAACCAGAGCGAACAAACAAGGTCAGGGGCGAAGCCCTGCGCCACTTGTTTGTCCTGCAACTGAGCTGCGTGAGTGCAGCAGTTGGAACCTAAACAAGGTGAGGCAATGCCGGATCTCAGGGGTGAACCCCTACTTGGATGCTCAACCAACCTCGGGCAAGTAGGTTCTAACTTTGGCCGGCTATAAGTTACGGTTGGTAACTGGGTTTAGTCCCTTATAACCATGGTCAACCTACTTAGTAAGTCGGTCGAGCATCCTAGTACCCCTTCAGCGCGAACATGCCAGGGAGAAATAACGCGAAAAGTGAAGGAACCAGGAAGCCGAGTCGCGAATTCACCGTGTGCCATGGTGCTTCATGGTTGGTTGACTTGCGATTAGGGCAATTGTAGAATAGAAGATACCAAACAGGGTATAACCAAAAGGCGCCTAACAAAATTGATGCTTGAAGCTGCAAACACCACCCATGCGGGATTCCCAAAGACAAAACAAACAACGGATGGTTTATCAGCCGGCAGAAAGAAATTGAAACCAGCCCGAAGCAAACCAAGGATGCATGGACAAGGCAAACGCAATGAACAGCTTGTACCAAAAGCAGTCAGGATTTGCAAACACAAACGCAGGTTTGGGTTGATCTGCTCACCACCCCCCCCCCCCCCGCACATGGAAGATAACCAGCAAAAAGCGCACGGAATGATTAAACAGCTAAAACCACGTTGACATGGCCAAGAGTAGGGTTGCAGCACACCTCAAGTCTTTGCGATGAAACTAAAACGCTGCACCGACACAACTCACACCAATACTCCAAGAAGTGTCATAGAGTATGCGGAGAGCCGTTTGCTGCCCAAGCCACAATCGACACTTTGCACTCCATCTTGGTGTTCCTTTGCAGCGATGATGCAAAAAGCGTGCACAACGTGGAGTGCTCCAGATGCGCCACGGTCAATATTCATTGAACTGACATCTTGTTTGGTTAGCAACCCGATTTTGGTTCGTTTGGTATTTTGGTGAGTGTTCATCCGCTTTACATTGGTATCCTAGATATCGTAGATATAAATATTGACCGTTGCTCACATGGGTATGTCTCGTTTTGAGGGGCAATCCCTTCTTGGGCTGTCATGAACCAAAAGGTTTCCTTTTAGTTTCCCTTTAAAACTATCCCAACGAAGGCTACCAGCTCTAGAAAGACACCCAAACAATAGATGTCTCCCCGAGAGTTGCTCCGAGCTTCTCTTTGGTGGAGTTCGGAAGGACAAAGGTGCCCACATCCTGCGCAAAAAAGCGATGTGGAGGGGAGAAAGTCAGGATGGCGTGAGGGTCTGACGGTTGAAAGGAACCACTGGCTTCCTCTTGCAACGGAAAACATGGACATTCGGGAAAATGCAGTTGATGCCGGCACGCTTTCCAATCGTGGAAGCATCCAGGAGTTGGTGTTTGAGATGATGGCAGTCTTCCAAAACCCTGCGGTTCAGGGGACTCCTTTGCAGACTCGCATGGAACCCCCAAACCCTCATTGTTTGAGGAGTCTCCTTTTGTGGAACTGGCTGTTGGTTCAAACAAAATGAGGGGATGTATCCCTTTGTACCTCATCTTTGTTTCAGCCATGCACAAGCCCAACGGCCTACGGTTGATCCCCTAACATTGCAAGTACCCCTGTAAATTCCTGAGGACTGTGGATTGAATACTTGCTTCGTATGGGTTTGTGTTTTGAAGGTACCCTTCTTTTGTTGTGGTTTAACGGAAAACCAACAAAGAAAAACAAAAAGCTTCTTGCTGGGGTGTTTCTTGCTTTTTTTGGAGAGGATCCCTTGTTTTGACACATACCCATTGAGGGAATCCGGTTCCTACCCCCCTGCCACCTGCTTTGCCCTCACACAGCCTGCCAGTAGTATCGCAGCTGGGACAGCCAGGCGAAGTCGTCGGGGGAGTCCACGCGCTTCTGGACGAGATTGGTGACCTGGATGTGAGCCACGGTCAAGATATGCTTATATACGTATGTATATGCATGTATGCATGTATTTATGCAGTATGTATACATATACTTACTTTTTTTTATATACATTTTGTTATACATACATTGGATTTGGGTGAGTAAACGCCGCATGTTCTAAGAGTAATTTGGTGAGAGGTCCCAATGTCTTTACCATAGCAAAACAAAGTTAATACTCATTGTTGGTCATGTCATGAGACAGATGTTGCAAATGTCAAGCAAACGTAACCAGGAATTCAATGGAAAGCAGAAGAACGCCACCCATTTTGCAGGCTTTCCTCCATTCCCTTTTTGGACCTCCAAAAAGCGGCAGTTTCAATGGAAACCAATGGAAACCACTAGTGGATTGATCAACTTTGGATTTGGGGAAATCCAGTGGCCACGTCTTGGGGATCCCGGAATTTTTGGAGCGAACTTCCCAGCTCTTGCGACTGAAAAACCTTAAGGCCGGCAGTCGGCAGTTCCCGCGGATTTGCTGCTTCCTGCCTCGTCCCTTGCATGGACGTCCAAGGTCACCATGGCACCCACCGTGACTCGATTCAGCTTGGTCATCTGGCCTGGACAAGTGTGAGCCACAGACATGTATGAACCCAGAAAAAGAAGAAAACAGAGGCACAAAGTTCACATGCAACATGCAGAGTCAGACCGGCCTCGCACCAGCACCACAATGTCTTCCAGCTGCTTGAACAGCTTCCTTGGACGTCAGACTAAGTTGAATCTGTTTCTGCCAGATATGTTTTGCGAAAAGGAGTTGTAACCCAACCAATCAAAGGGCTCTTCGGTTCTTCCCTCAGTTCAGGGCCCTTTTTGAAGTGCCCGTTGATTCTATTCTGGTGGAACCAAGTAGTCCCAACCAGACTTGTGCCGTGGGCCGGCGTTCATGAGCTTGGATGGTGCCAAAGGCTGGCAAAAAGCGCCTGCCTTTGAACCAAGTCAATGGGTACCGTTACCCTCTTCCCTCAATGGATGTGGACCGGATGGCTTTTCAAAACGAAAGCTGTAGTCTACCATCCTTGGGTCCTGTCAGCAGGCAGAAGGCCGCACATTAATCACTTCAGTTTATTAATTGGGGCGTGTCTCTGGGTTTAGTGGGGATTCATCATACTTGGAGTGGAACCCCCCCCCCCATAATATCAATAAACAGGGGAAACATTAATCTGGGTCAACATTACCCCTCACGCGGTGGTTGGCCATTGATGTCCCAGTTCTGTTTGGGGGTGGCAAATCAAACCAGTGGGTTGGGCATCTAATTAACCAAACCAACCTCCAGTCTCAGGGAGCGCGACCGTGAAATTTATCTCCGCCGCATCCTTAACACCTTCCATTTGCTTGAGGCCCCGTGGAAAAAATATAGAATATGTTCAGTAGCGATAAGTTCCCTTTAAAACCAACAAGGAACAACAACACATCTCTATATATTTCAGCAACTGGAAGAAACTTTTCCGGATCCAAGGCACTTCTCGTACTCCGCAATTTGCCCACTCTTCAGGGCTGACGTCACCTCCTGGGTCCAGAAGATCATGTCCTAGGTCAAAATGATGGGCAGCGCGGCTTAATTACCCGTCTCGGAGCTACCCGAGCCTTTGACAGGGGACCCCCTCCCAAGGATCTGTCTGCGCGATACTGATTCAGAGCCGATTCGCAAGCGAAGCCCATTGCAGCTGAAAAAAATGGCGACTGGTTGCATGAGGGGCCACTGAGGACCCTGAAGGGCCATGAACAAGGGAGCTGAACTCAAAACGAGGTGAGGGACCCCTCAAGGCTGGGCTCATTTTCCGCCACCGACATGTCTCTTGTGGAGACAAACCCACAAAAGCAGAAGCCCAACCCATGGCTCACGATCTCCACCGCCAAAGAAAAGGTCCTCCCTTCCATAAGGGTGCTGATTGCTCATGTGGGTATGGGTCAAAAATCAGCCACCAGGCGACCAGGTTTGACCTTGGTTTCATTTACCAGGCTTGCACTTTTTGGGTTCCTATGGTTTACCCACAGCCATGTGCAGGCCTGCTGTCAAATGGAAGTATGACATGCATGTGAAGGTTCCTATCTTGAGGTCCCGACCCCCAAATGTTTGCCTTCCAACAAAAACCTCTGACCAACGGCCTTCGGTTGGGTGCAATCACCCGCGAAAATGGTTTGACATAACTCCAACTGTGCGAATGATCTCCCCCAAAAAGGTCCTTCCCATCTAAACTCAGAGGTCGAAGCAACAAGTCTGCAAGATTACTACTGTGGATGGACAAATCCGGCACCACTTTGAAACCATGGAACCATTGTTTGTTGGTATTTATCGGGAAATCATCTTTCCAGGGTGTCTTAGGTGGTGCATTTTTTTCACCTCCTGGCTATCGCTCCTCTCACTTGACACGGCGCTTGTTCGCTTCGCTGCACATTGAATACTGAATATTTTCAGAACGGGCGCGCGGCCTGTTGCAGGCCAGTCCCTTTGTTGAGGTTTAGTTGTGGAAATCAAAAAGAAAACCACAGCTTTCGCATGTCAGTTGGGCGTTTCACAGCGTTGAGCGTTTGTTTTTGTGTGTTTCCAGGGAGGCCAAACGGAATCCACCGGCTTTTGAGGTTCTCCTTATTTCATGTCAAGCCCCACCAACAGAAATTAAGCCCACAGTGACATCCAACAACGACCCCCAAACGTAATTTTAAGAAAAATCCACTTTGAGGGCCCACTCCTGCTGGATTTTTTTTGTTTTTAACGCCTTTGTTGCGGGTGCAAAAAGGAATTTTCTTTGTGAAACCCTCCAGAAAAACGGGGGCTGCAGGCCCCAACTGGAGGCCTGGTTTCGCTTCTTCAGGCGAGTTGCCGTGGCCAGTACCACCTGGCCTGGCCACTCGCAGCACCACCTGAGTTCGGGCGAGGTGAGGTCTCGTTTTCTGGGCAGAACGCCAACTATGGGTCTGCCCTTCACATTACCCTCCATTTGCTTGTTTGCCACCGCGAAAAATGGAGAAAATATGTTAGGAATAGATCCCCTCGAACAATTCAGAGGAATTTTTTTTAAAAAAAAGAGCTTCCTAAGCAAAATGAAAGGTGCCCTTTTGGGCCTCGGGATTTTTGGGTAAACCTGCATTTTGTGGGTCGTAAACTACCCAAAGTGGCCAATTGGAATCGATCTTGGGCACTCACGCTACCTTGAATTTTTAATGAAACCAGGAAGCTTAGTAGGGTGTCAACAAAAAGAGGGCTCTCTTTGGATGGTACTTCAAGGGAAACCAAAAGGAACCAACTATCACCAGGCCCCCCCGATGGCCGGTAATTGGCGTCGCGGGTGAAGTGCCGGCAATTGACCAGCACTTGCTTAAAAATGGATTTGTTGTCACATAGATGTTTTGCCATCATCAAAGTGCAGTGAAAGAAAGGTCACTTTGTTGAAACGTCACTTCAGGATACCAGCAGGGATCCAGTTGAGGTTGGGCTGACATGTATGATCATTGCACATGCAACGCGCGAGGGGGGGATGGGGGGGGGGGGGCGACACGCTGGTGACACGCTCATATCCCAAAAAAGTGACCGTTCAACGTACATGTGCCGGCAATTGGCCACCCCCCGACACGCCGTGACGCTCATCAAGAACTCCTCCGAACCTCAAACTTGCCCTCCAAACCTGAAATTTGCCAGCCTCCCCTTTCCCCTGCAACCCCCCCCCCCAAAGGATGCTGGAAGGTCACTTGTATCATTGCACAAATTGCACTAAGTACACATGAGTGATACTTGATAGCAAATTGCTGTTGCAGTCACTTAGACATAAAGTGACATCGTTTTGCCCAAAATCGATGTGCCGGCAATTGGCCAGCCTTTGGGGGGTGCTGGCATGTATCCCTAAAAACAAACCACCTGCCAGGCAGTACACACAACCAAGTTCTTACTTCCGCACCCCCGCCCCAATTCCTGCAAGAGGAACCTTTAGCTTCTTGATGACCGCCCCCAGCGGGCTAACCTTATGGTACAATTTGGTTCTGTCTCCAAGTTGAACCCCAAAAATGCGTGGCGTTCCTAGGCTACTACCCACATACCAGGTCCCGTGCCTCATTTCAGTATTCCTGGCCAAAGATCCCCATCTGGACCGACCTGTGCTATTTGCTTTCTGAGGCACTTGACACGATCCGCGTTGGGGTAGGCCTTGTTCGACTTGTCAATGACCTCCCGCAGGATGTCCATCATGGCTTCCTCCACCTGAAAAAGCCATCCAACAACATCCCCCACGTTTTCTGCATGCTCCAAAATGGAGAAATGTCTAACTTAATTACCGGGTCTTGAAATTCAATTGTGAGAGGGCAAATCGAACTGGTTACAAACTCCTATAATATATATATATATATAGTGATGATCGAAATGGTTGGCAACTCCTAATTATTGGGTCCCTGAAAAAAGCACCGAAAGGGTCCCCCCGGTTTCGGGCAGCCCATTTCCGCATAGGTGTCGTTTCCATTTCAACCAACCCAAACAGAACAGTTTCCCACACACCCATAAAAGACCCTGTGTGCATCATGTACTCCCCTTGCAAGTTAACATGGAATCCACAGAGCTGACTGACAGGCTAGAGGAATCTCCTTTTGGGGGACCTCGTTTTGGGTTCCATGTTACAACAACAAGCAGGGGTGTAGGGATTAACCTCCACCAACTGTTGAGTTGGTGTTTCAACTCCGTGGCTCGTGAATCTCGAAGCCAGTTGTTTGTAGGATACGGGGAACCCTCACAATGGGTGGTGTCCTATTGGTTTCCTTTCAAAACCAACTTAGAGGCGACCCCCCCGCAACAAAAAAAACAACCAAACACCCATCTGTCAAATATCCCTCCAAACTCTAAGCGTCTCAAAGTCAGAGGGTGTCAGGAAACTGCCCATTCAAATTCAGATCGCCTTATACAATAGTCCTAAATAGCCCCCAACTCAGGGGTTGGTGGGGTTGCAGGCGGGGGGGGGACTTTGAAACAAAATTAGCGTCTGATAGGCCAAATATGTGGTTAAAATGTATGGCCCTTCTTTTACCTACAATGACTGATTCATTGCAGCGTAGTGACGAATAGTGACTATTTTGGTGCCGCCCCCCTGAGTGTCGTGAATCAAGGGAATACCACCCCCCCCGCAGTTGAATGATAAGCAAAACCTGGTTTTAGAATGGTCTACCTAAATTATAAAAACCATGAAAAGAATGAAGAGGGCGGATATCCGCACACTTTCATGGTTGGGACTTTCCCTTAACCTCACTTATCCGAATGCTGTTTCTTTCTCAACTTAGACTTATTGGTCAGAGTTGGTGTGTCTTTTTAGGTCCCCGAAACATGGAAACGGGAAACCAACCAACCTGTTTGGGTGGGTTCCCCTATGAAACATAGAAACCAACAGGCACCAACCCTTTTGTTGTCTTTTTTGGGGGTCTCCACCTCTTCTTCTATTTGCTTTTTTCTTTGGGTGGGGGAGTTCCCCCTATCAAAACGAAAGGGAAACCCAACCCCACCCATTTTGGCGAGTCGGGTTCTTCCGGGAACCAGACCACCGGAAACAAACCAGCCCTTTTCTTTTGGGTGGGGGGAGGGGGAACGGTTCCCCCGGACCCCAAAAAAAACCCTCTACAAAAAGTGTTTCCCTTTTTGCGGGCTTAGTACAAAAAACCAACTTGATTTCAACCAAAAAGTAAAAAAGTCTAAAGATCCGTTGCCCAATAGCAGCCAAGTTAAAGCCATCCAAAAAGGGGTCCACCATTCTGAGAAACCTCCATAATTGTGTGCAGGGTCAAATCTCCGCGATGTGGGTCATGGCCATGGCTGTGTGTGTGTGTGTGTTTGTTTTTTTTTTCCGCGCGCGCTTGGGCCGTAGGCGCCTCCACCAGCCAGCACTCCACGGCCCCGGCGTTCCCGGGCTTCGTGACGTCCACCTTCGCGGTGAAGTCCACCGTCTCGCCCTCGCCCGAGGTCATGGCCTCGATGATCTCGTTCCTTCGGTGACCGGGCGGTGTGGCATCTGGGAGGCAACCCGAAGGGGAAAAAAACCCACGCCTGGCCGAAGGGGAGGCAACCCGAAGGGGAAAACACGGGGGGGGGGGGGGGATTTTGTATTTGCTTCTGTGTCTTCTTCTTTTTGTTTGGGGGTTTAGTAAACCCAAAGGGACACCACACCAAAAAAAATGGCTTCACAAAAGGTAGGTGTGGGTGTTGCGCAAAGTAAAATACAAAGAGACAAACTCACAAAATAGGTGGGTTCGGGTTGGCCTGAAATGGACTTCAACACCCAGACCACTATCCTTAAGGGAAAATCCCAGTCGAAGGAATTGAGGCAAAGTCAGTATAGATGCGTGCTTTTTTTGGGGGGGAACCTTTTTTTGGGTTGCTTTAACACGACGAACTAGTCCTTTTAAAGGGAAGGTTCCCCGGTATCACAGAAGTGCAAACCACGCCCCCAGCTGACATTATATTTTGGTGAGAAACCACATTTCCTGGCGGCAAATTAACGAGGTAGGTTTCCGTTGGGTTGTAAGGGGGCCTCCCAAAATGAGCACACCTGTTGCCATGTGTTGGGAATCATTTGTCTTTCGTCAGGTTCTAAGAACCTTTGCTGGGGAGTGGGGATTTTTAGGGGCCCAAGTAGGCACAATGGGAGGAATAAGCCTTCAAGGACCAAGTATTTCTGTGTAACCCGAGTTGGGCCCGATATTTTTCTTAATATGATCGGGCCCCACTTGGTAGTTGACACCCATTTGGGGTATTTCCAAAGGCACAGGCGACAACCAAGTTTCTGGTCCCTTTTTCGTGGAGGACATTTAGTGGCTCGTCCGTCCACCTTACTGTGGATGGACGCGAAATCCAAATCCCGCACCATTCTCAGAAACACAACGGTTTCTGTTTCAATTCCCAACGTAAATGCCAACAAACGTGCTGGTTTCAACCATGGTTCATTTCGCGGATGTTGTCCACTGCACGTCCCTTGGATTGATTTGGGTTTGGCATTTTGGCTTAAATGCAAAAGCCTCGAAGTGGACTTCAAGTTGGTGGGTGTAATCCCAGGAACTTCTACAACTCTCATAGAAGTAGGCGTGTCCACTTTCATTCGTTGAAAAAAGGGGATAAATTCAACAACCCCGTATCTTGGCCCACATTTGGAGCACGCAGAAAATATGTCAGATTATGGTTCATACCTCGTCAACCCCAAACTATAATGTTTGGAAGAGACACCAGTACCGGTGGGCGTGCCAAACTAAGAAAAAACAGCTCAAACAAAAAAACGATTTTCTTTTCGGCTCTCCTCTAAACCAACCTAAAAACCCCGTTCGGCTTCTTTCCGGTCCGATTTATGTGATGGACATTTCGAATCGAGGCGCTTGGAGTCGAAGCGAACCTTGGCGATTCCCTCGAAGGCCTTGTTCAAGTGGGGCTGCACCAGCGTGGGATCCTACCACGCTGCGTGTCACGAATCGGTTCATCTGGGTGCCGTGGCTTCTGTAGAGTTCTCGATCCATTTTCTGGCGGTTTTGCAGGGCAAGGGACCACCAAAGGGGGGACTTCCCCGCCAGAAATCCGGATCGCTTCCGAGGGCACCCTACGATCCATTGGACAACTCTGGGCTGGGTCATTTGCTTTTTGTTGCGGGGGCCCGAAAACTGTAATTATCATTTTGGTGCTTCCTTCAAACCACAAATGGGGAGTCATTGAATGGCTGTCAAATGGTTTGATATTTAATCCACTAGCCTTCCATGTGTTGCTCCCCGAAGGTGGACTTAGTCCACAGTTCTCAAATTTGAGTTCCACTGATCGGCTCGAAACCAAGCGAATGGCATTCACCAGGACACCTTGAACCGACCTGATGTCCTTGGTCTCGGCCAGGATAGACAGAAGGTCTGCATCGTTCAGGAAGAAGAAGCGTGGGAAGTAAAGCCTAGCGGGGCAGTAGGAATCAGGTCAGCTTTATCTTTGTGGTTTGGAGGTTGGCGGTTTCCCATTTACCCTACACGAACCAGGGGTCAAAGCCCCAAGCCACACCACCAATGGGTTGTCTGAAAGACATCAGAGGTCTCAGAAAAAACTCCATGGAATTGGAAGGAAGAGACGTCAGCTGCAAAACCCACGGAAGATGTCCCCCCAAAAAAAAACACAAGAGATAAAGGCCACTCATGAGGTTAAACAACCACGTACCATGCAAGCTATTTCCAACCACAACCAGGGATGGCCGAAGCTGGCGCGTGCCTGTACCCTTGGTTTCGGCATGCGGGAACCCGCCCGTGGAACTTACCAAACAAGCATTCAGACATGGCAACAGCTGCCACGGGTTTGGTTTCGTTCCATTTCCTCCCCGGCAAACCCGTGCCAGGGGGGGGGGAAGAACCGACGTCACCCCACCCAAGTGCAGCGCACCTCTTGGTCTCCAAGTAATCCTTGAGGCCCTTCTGCACCTTCTCGATGGTGGTGTTGGCCTCTCTGTGTGTTTTGAAGCGAGGACACCAGGTGTCCGGACACAACCATGGAACAAACTCGGCCAACCTGGCCATGTTCTTTCTACCCCTGACAACGGTTCTCTGAATCTGATGACCACAGCTACGACCTCGGGTCCTCCCTACCACGACTGGTTCCTGGACAGGTTTGCTCTCTGGGGGCCATTTCTCTGGTGGGTATTTCTCTGGTTCCATAATGGTTGGTGGGTTCCATCCATGCTAGCCCTACCTTACTGAAACAAGGTAATAGAGAATGAGCTGCTCAAATGATCAACTCCTTGTGAGGTGTTGGGACGCCTCCGTCATGTCTTCCACAATGTTCTCGATCTTCGAGATGGCAATGCAGTTCCTGAGCAAAGAACAAGGGTTCCCTAAATGACCTCTTAAGACATCAGCGGGAAAATTATGTTTTAAAACCACCCAAAGGGGCAATAATGGCCCCTGCTAACCAGCGGAAAATCCGCCCAGTAGACATCATGACAACTTTATCACAAAGGGTCCTGGACCATGAAATTGGTCCTATGCAATGGCCATGGACAGCATGCCCAGAAAAGGTTCTGAAGGAACGAAGCTTCTTAGGGGAGGCGGGGGAAGAGTTGGATTGAATTGATTGAAGGGTTTGGATCGAAAATAGGGAGTTGGACCCCAACAAGTGTGACTGCCCTTGTGGTGTCACTTCAAAAGCCTACAACTTTGAGTAGTTTGATTGCATTTATTGAAGTGCTTGGCTCGAAAATAGTGAGTTGGGTTCAAACCAACCTGAAAAGGGTACCATAAAAAAAAAAATGCGCCCGAAACCCATGGGCAAGCTGCTTGTTGGAGTCCACCTGTGCCATGCGCATCCGGAAGTTGCTGTCGATGCGGGCGAAGGATTCGGACTCCTGGCACCGGTTTTTTTTGGGGTCGGTTTGGTGCGCAGCGACTCCATGAACATATCAAAGCCACGCCCCAGCGCGGTAGCTTCACCTTTTGGGAACCATCAGAAACAGTAAGCATGATGGGCGAGGCATAGATGGCTAGGTGTTAAGCCTCCTTTCGTGCAGACAATTCCTGTAGTGTCAGCCCCGGATGAATCAATGTGGAGCATGAATAGTGGATTCCGACTCCCAAGCAAGCTCGACGTCTTAAATTCTTCAATGGGACCCCCCCCACTGAAACATCAACCCGGGGTTCATTGATTGGCTGGGTTCTTAGCAATTTGTAGCTGGTCTTTTAGATCTAGGCGCTCACCGTAAACATAAATGGTGGCCCGTTTTGTCCCATAGTGTCCTTCACATCATTCGTCTGATTTTTGTTCTTGTTTGTTTTTGTTCTCGGTGTCTGTGTATGTGTGGTTGTTCTTTTTGTTATTCGGGAACCTAAATTGACACACAAGAAAGCGGGTGCCCTTTTTGGGGTTGCCCGTTTTTGCTTCGGTTGAAACTAAGTGGCTGCCGTTGGTGCCCGTTTTGGGGTTGGGTTTCTGCTAAAGGGACCTTACCCACGCCTGAGGCAGCTGGCGCTTGATATCGTCGGAGGCGAAGATGGGCTCCAGAGCCATCCAGGACCTGAGCGGGGGGCCACGAGAAAAACGGGCGGGACCTTCCTAGTGGTCTCACTTCAAAGCCATCCAAAAAGGCCACCGTTTTAAGAAACCTAGTGGGAAAAAACAACTTCCTAGCATAGGTGTCCTTTTGGTGAAATAGATGGCCCTGGGACATGTAACAAAACCAATCTAAACCAGTGCCATCTATTCTTGTGCCAAACTCAGCTGAAAAGGACACCTATGCTTCCTGTCTAACATGAAAACTCCCAGGACCCCGGAATGGAAGACTTGGTCCCATTTACAGGATCGGCCAATTGGGGGAGCTTCCATGTTTGTCTGAGGGAGTTTCTCAGTTGTTCAGTGACCCTGGGAAAAAAGAGGGAACCCTTCTTGGGGAAGACCATCTTTTGTGGGGCAGCCACCAAAAAAAGGGTGGAAAAGAATTGGTGCCACTGAACAACTGAGTAGTGGTCTCACTTCTCTTTTGAAGCCATCCAACAAGGGGTCCATTTTGAGAAAGCTCCATAATTTGTGTGCAGGGTCAAATCTCCCAAATGTGGGTCATGGTCATGGCTGCGTCTTTCTGAAGGGAGTCTATGACCGACACTAAGCCCTGGTAGAAAGGTGGAAAGGTCAACCACCATTGGGGTCCCTCCAAATTTGGCACAAAGCCATGTACGATTGACACAAACCCGTGTACGATTCAAAGCCTCGGCAACGGGAGGCAGGTCATATCCAAAACCTAGCACGGCGGTCTACCCAAAACCGTGTAAAGAAACCAAAGAACGGATATCGGCACAACGTTGTTTGGGTTGGGACCGTCCTCTTCTAACCTTCACTTGCCCGAATCGGTTTTGGTTCTGGCTGAGGCGACTATATTGGGAACCCTGGCTGAATCACCCCCTGGTTGTTTTTACTACCGGGGTGTCCCCTTGCAGTGGGGGTTCATCACTTTTAGATCCCCTGGCGCTGAACCATTGAATCACATGACTCGTAGTCGGAATCATATTTCAAGGGCCTGGTGCTGCCCTAAGGTTGCACACCGGCTTCACTTGAAAACAACTGTCCTCCTAAGTTTATGTTTGTCGAGATAGAATACCATGGAGGAATGTGGGGCACCTCATGCTTGAATCTTTCCAGAGGCAAGGCTGACGCCTTGCAAGGCCTGAAGCTATCAAATGTTGTTTGCACTAAAGCCTGAAAAACCCTGGAGAAATAACCAGACATGGTGCAACGCCCAACATAACCACATCTGGGAGCGATTTCTCAACGAAACCCCTTGAAGACCCTGAAACAAGGGCACCTGGTTGTGACTAGCTATAAGCAACTACGCTGGTTGGAAGGAACAACCCAACGAGTTGAGAAGGCAAGTCTGGCAATGCTTAGATGGATGTCGTTCGTGTTTCGAACAGCCTTCCAAATGTCATTTACTGACTCCGCGCCTAGAAATGCCATTCCAACCCAATGCGCGCTATTGAGGATGGGCTATGACCTTCCTATGGCTCAGGGGCTCTGAATCAATCTTGGAATATGGCCGGCTTACAACTCAACATGCTTGCAAGGGAGTGGCCTCTGCAGCGCGATCACCTGGTCAATGAAGTCCTGCCCAGCAGAACTCGGCGCCATGCTGATATGTACACTGTATATACATATATATATATATATATACATATACATATTTGGCCATGGGTCAAAACCCCGTACCCCCTACCCCCAGTGAACATCCCAATCCCCACTAAAATAAACTAAAATGGGTGGTGCACCTACCCCAAAATGGTACCATTGGTTTTGACCCACAGCCATATTTTTATATACATGCATGATACAGGCATACACCCCAAGTGGCCGCCTCGCGGACCAAAGCAAAAAAGTTCACATCGGTCTCTCTTAGTGGAACCATTGATTGCGCTCCGGTTGATTGACACGGGCCAGTTCAAATTACTACCATTCCCAAACCACATGTGAGACTGTGAGACCAATGTGTCTTGGACAATTCCTGTACGAGATGGAAATCACGGCTCTAGCTTCATGGGTGGAATCGTTCACTACCCAGAAAGGCTCGTAGAACCTTTCGAAGGACTTCTGATCAAGGGTTCGGATCGAACTTTTTTGGGCGGGAGCAAAGGGGGCGAAGGGTCACCATGGGGGCGGGGCTCTGGCTGACCGTCCTGGATGTACATCAGCGTGGCCTCCCAGGCATGCACTTCCTCCTCGAAGGGCTTGCAGAAGGGACCTACAGAGACCCCACAGGGGCCTACTGCGCTGCATGTGTTTAGAAGCCCAAAATACAATAACAATGTTTCAAAGGCCCCTCATTTTGAGGAAGCCCTTTTTGAGCTTCATGCTGATGGTCGAAATTCTAGGGTGGAGTCCTCTAAGACCCGAACAGTTCCCCCTGGACAAATGCCCACATTTGTCCAATCACGCGGGCGGCGAATGCGCAAATGCATATAAGTCGCCCTTGGTGCACTAGTATGGTGTATATTCAAACAAACCGTGGTTTCAACGGACTCAAAATGGATTCGAACGGCTTCTTTTGATTTTTACCTTTGCACACCCCAAGAAGGGAAGCACAGACCCAACTCTCAAAACCCATAGCCAACCGGCTATATATCTCGAGTTTTGAGTTGGCGCCGCAATGATGTTGTTTTGGGGTTTAGTCCGAATGGCAGACATGTGGGTGTTTCTCAAAATAGTGGAACAAGTATATTATCAACGACACCAATTTTAGAACCTCCATTCAGGCATTACGAAAGATGGGTTCGCTGTACATGTCCCCCAATTGAGACCTGAGACCTGAATCTTCCAGGGCTGCATTCTTCCGCTGTTTGCCGGCAAAGCACATTTGTCAGTCCTTTGGTCGGAAACCACATGTTTGCTGCAAAAGTGTCGTTTCAATTTTGGCTGAAACATCGTCGGGGAAAGTCGCCGTTTGGTCGGAGAATGTCGCCGTTTCGCCTTCATGGAATTGTCCCGGAGGAGCAAAATGCCGGCAGACGAAAAACAAGTGTCGTTTGCCTGAATACGCAATTTGGAAAATCCAGGTATGGCTTGCGTTAGACTTGCGGTAATTTGTCGTGTGCTGACCCATGTGGGTTTGTCTCAGTGTCCTTGAGGTTTGCCACCAAAAGAGGGTTCCTTGCCCCTTTTCACTGTAGCTGGTGAACCACTTGACTGTTGCTCAGGAGCATCCGGCCCATGCGGCAGGAGACTGTGCTACAACTCCAGCAAACAAGCTCTATCCCCTTTTGGCGTTGTCCCGCTGGCATGGAACCTGGCTATTCCTGACGACAAGTTCCTCAAGGGGACATTTCTCTGGGTGCCATGTAGAACTTCTCACCATTTCGCACGCATCTTCGACCTGAATTCACGCGACCTGAGCTCGGCGCTGCTTCGGATGGCCTGGCCACATCGAACTCGGGCCGATGGAATCACTTTTTCATTGGGACTCCACTGGCTCCACTTGAAGTCGAGACCACCTGTTGGTTTTCCCGAAGGGAAGACATTGCCAAGGTTTAAGCAACTTCGGACGTGGTGTTTGTTTCACGTGGGTGTCTCAAAATGGGGCAGGTACCTGTTTGGAAGGTCTACCAATTGAGCCCTCGGCGGCGCTGATTTATCAGAGAAGAAGCAAACGGAAGCTCCGGACGGACAACTTCAAAATGGGAAGGTACTAACCTGATTTGGAGACGAACCCCGGTAATTACAAACGTGTTGGGGCTTGGGGTGCCAATTTGTTCTTCTGGAGGGTGCCTAATATCTTGGCGAAGCCACCCACTTCTTGCCCCATGTTTCGTCCTTCCCCACCCAACCCTTGACCCATGTTTTGTCCTTCTTTCAAACGGGGTGTACCACGTTTGGTCCTTTCTGGCTCACCATCTTTCTGGGACCCCAAAACACGCAAAAAACACCCTGGAAAGGGGAAAAACAACGGACCCCGCTTTGCCCGTTCCGACACAACTTTCGGCTTGCAAGACACTTGGCTTTCCGGTAGAGTCGAAACCGCTACAGAATCAACAAGAAGCACTTACAGCGAGAGAAACAGCGGGCCAAAAGGACATTGTATCACTCGCAGGTACACAGAGCTGATCAGGCTCTGCTTCCCGTGCAATCAGGTAGCTTCGTTGGACGTGGTTCCTGATTGCACGCCACGTCCCCCTGCAGCAAGATCTAACGGTTGGTTCCAGGGTAAATCTGGAACTCGGCACACACACGCCCCCGTAGGGGCGAAGACCCCAGCAGAAAACGAAACAGAGCAAGCGAAAACAAAAGAAAACAGAAAGGCCGCAAGTTGGGAATCCGCGGGCAAAACCCCAAACAAGAAACAAGAAAAACAAGGGAACCAGGTTTAGGGTCTCCGACGAGGGCAACAACCCTAAACAGTGCAAAAACCGACCTAAACCTCGAAGACGACGAACGCCGCGAAGGTGAACAGCCAGAAGAAGAGCAGGCCATCCCTAAACGGGCGAAGAGGAAGAACACGAGGTAGCGCGAAGAAAAAGGAAAGAGAGAAAAGGAGAGAGAAGAAGAAAGAAAAGAATAGAAAAGAAAAGAAAGGAGAGAACGAAAAGGAGAGAGAAAAGAGACAAAAGAACACCGAAAACAAGGGAACAGAGAAAAGAGAAAGAGAGCAAGAGAGCAAGATTGCGTATTTAGGGCGTCGCAACCCGCCCGAGAGAGAAGAAGAGGACGGGAGAGAAGAGGAGGAAGAAGGGGAGGAGGAAGAAGAAGAGGAAGAGGGAAAATGTGCGTATTTAGGGCGACGCATCCCGCCCAGAAAACAAGGAGGAAAAGGACCGCAACTCGAAGAACAGGACGACGAATCCCGCGCAGGGGCCTAGAGAAAGTACACCTGCAGCCAACGGAAGAGGAAGAAGACGTCAAGTCAAACTGCGTGAGGGGAACGAGGAGCGCGAGCAAGAAGGCAGACTGGAAGAGGACGACGAGGAAAAAGGCAAACAGCCAGAAGACGGAGAAGCCATCCCTAAGCGGGCCAAGAGGAAGAAGACCAACACGCGGGTGGCGAAAGGCACGAAAAAGAGACCGGGAGGAAGCAGAAGCCATCCCTAAACGGGCGAAGTGCCAGACGACGGACAAGCGGTTGACGGAGGCGACGTTGGAGCAACCACACTGAACCCAGCAACGGAGATGGTGGCTTACGCTATCTTCCCTTTAGTGAAACCTTGTTTCTGCTTAAAGTGAAATTCCGCTGGACTAGTGATCGACGCCAATGTCAAATTAAACGGCAACGCCGTCCCGGAGCCACGCAATGGGAGCATCTGAGGGTCCCCCGAGACGGGGTAATCACACTTGAACTCCCGAGGGAGGTTTCTGAACTTCGAGTACAACTTTCGAGTACAACTTTCGGCTTGCAAGACACTTGGCTTTCCGGTAGAGTCGAAACCGCTACAGAATCAACAAGAAGCACTTACAGCGAGAGAAACAGCGGGCCAAAAGGACATTGTATCACTCGCAGGTACACAGAGCTGATCAGGCTCTGCTTCTCGTGCAATCAGGTAGCTTCGTTGGACGTGGTTCCTGATTGCACGGTTGGTTCCAGGGTAAATCTGGAACTCGGCACACACACACACACACGCACCGGGGGAGGCCCCCGCTTCGCCCGCACCCCGCTTCGCCTGCATTTTTGGTCCTTTTGGCTGACCCATTTTTCCTGGGGCCCCAAGACACCCAAAACACCGGAAGGGGGAAACAACAACGACCCCCCCCCCTGCTTCGCCCGCACCCGGGGCCCGGGACCCCGCGCCTGGGTCTTGGAGATGTGGTCGTCCAGCACCGTCTGGATGTCGTCGATGCCGCGCAGCAGCGGCACGCCGCTCCGCTCCGCGGTGAGGAACTGGAGAGGCTCCCACTCCACCTGCCGGGTGCCGCCCGGGCGGACCGAGTGGGCTGTGGGTGTCAAAACCGTTTTGGGATCCCATTTTCGGATAGGTGAATTCACTACCCATTTTAGACCCTATTTTAGTGGTTGGATTGGGATGTTCACTGGACTACGGGATTTTGACCCATGGCCATTTGGTCGGTTCTCTGGAGAGTGGCCTTTTAAGGAGTCTGGGCCATAGTTCAGAGGGGGGATTAGGAAGTTTCATGTGGTGTTAACTTAGGATTCTAGGCCATGGTTCAAAGGGGGTTTCAGAGGTGTAATGTGGTGATAACGTGAATCTAACTATGTCCTGGCCATTTGACCGTTGGCTGTATCAATATGGCGAAGATGTTTACAGGCTATATAATAGCTATACACATCTTTACAGGTGCCAACTGGGATAATTATCGGGCGCTCATCTTGGCCCTCTTGGCGGAATCGACTCAATCGAAGGGGGACGCCGAGCGGTGGGTGGATGGGGGGGGGTTGGTGGGGTGGTTGGTGGGGATGTTGGTGGGATGGCTGGTGGAGGGCGGTGCGGTGCGGGGGGTGGGATGGTTGGTTCAGGGCACATGCTGGGAATCTCGCTCACTTCAGCCTTTAAAAGTGAGAGGACCAAACGTGCTATCTGATTCAGAATTTCAGAAACAAGCGAAACAAACAAGTTGCTACTTCAACCCGCTCTGCGCGCTGCACGTTCACGCGCACTCCTCAAGTTGGAGGTGGGGCGGCTCCCCAATCTCATCTTGTCCAGTCTTCCCCTCAAAAGGGAAGCGGAGTTCACAAATGAAGATAGCCCTTCCCCCAATCTTTCACAACCAAAAGAAACCAACTTTGGCCCAAAACATCCAGGGGTCAGCCCTCTCCCAATCTGTCGCAACCAAGCCCTGCAACTATCGAAGCGCGCCTTCATGTTGCCCATGGCCTTCTTCAATCCATGCTGCTTGGCAGCGGCTGTGGACAGCTCCTCGAAGTCGTTGGTGTACTCATTGATCCCATGGTCCAGCATCATTTGCCTAACGAGACTCTTGCACGCTTAGCTCCCGCAAAAGGTGCTCATGGTTGTTTGCTGGGTGAAAGGTGACATGTGCTCAAAAGAAGCACTTCGGGCCAAATGAAGGAATACGTTACCTTCCCACCAATTAACATGGAACCTGACAGGGGGGATCCTGGAAAAAAACATGTTCCTTGTAAAGGGGGAAATCAGGCTCCATGTAAAACAGGTCGAAGGGGTAAATTTAGGCAAAAGGAGATACGGCATCCTTTTGCCATTCGTCAAGTTGCAGCGTCACTTTGCTGTAGTCGTTGCCATAGAGCGAGGGCTTGGGCGCTGAGGTTCCCATTCGCTCAAACATCTCCTTCCAGTGACGGTCGAGCACTGATTCCTGAGCTGCCCAGAAAATCTAGGAAAAACCTGCGGAAACCTTCCACTGGATTGCTGGTTTTCGTTGGGTTTCCATCGGGTTTGCCGTGGGCTCAGGCGTGCCCAACGCCTCATACATGGCACATGTCAGGCCCTCCCAATCTGAACTGGCAACTGACCCTCCCGTTTTGCACATCCAACAACACCCCCTCCCACTCAGGCCCAACTAAGGGCCAACTAAGGGCCTGGTTGGTCAAAACCGCGCAGAGCGAACATGAGTGCTCTTGGAGCAGCGCTTCCGTTTCGGGATTTCGGGATCCGAGAGGCATTCGCGAAGCATCGGAGGAAGGGGAAGCGACCTTTGAACTCCTCGATCCCTTGGCGAAGCTCTTTGGCGATCCTCTGAGCTGACCTGCGGATCCCACGGATCCCTCGAGAGCGTCAGGATGACGTTCGCTGAGCTTCGATCGATCGATCTTCACAAGGCTCCAAGTGACCCTAAGGGTCCGTAAATAATAATTTTCCCTTGTTTTGGTGTTGAAGAAGCCACATGTTTCAAATGGTTGCAAAATGCTTATCTTTTAAGGAGCCCTGCTAAATAAACCAGGCTACGGAGGGTAATTACACCTTTCCAGTGATCTTACAGTCATAGAAAGCAGCTACAGGAAATTAATTCTACAGGAAACTCGCCAAATTCCCACCAACATTCGGGGTTTCCTGTAGAACTTCCTGTTGGTTTCTTAGATACAGAGAAATATTTGTCCTTTTTTCGGGTCCCCTCCTATGGGCCAGGGTGCACCATGCGCATGTCACAACCCACAAACCCGCCCTAAGCGGGTCATGTTGAAGAAACGAAGAAACAACACCAAATGTCAATTTGTACACTATAGGTTTCAGCGTGTCGGGCGCTGAATCGAAACTCTCGCCAAAGACGAAAGTGTGGCGTGTGTGGGCGAAAGTCTGGCACCTCATGTTCTCGTTGTCGAAGTCCTTTATCATCTTGTAGACTTGCCTCAGGGTCATGGAAATCCAATCCGGAAGCCCGCCATAAAAACAGGCACTTGAAATGCGACTTAAACTCGTGCACTTGCAAGGCTTTGTGCATTTCACCCTGGGATGACACTTAGGGACATGAACCGAAACAATCTCAAATGACCAACAATCTCAAATGACCTGGAGACAAACATTGTAGTAATTTCCACTGGGCCGTAATACAATTGTATGACACAAAAAGCTAAAAGCTCACACCTGAGATTCCCGGCACCAATTCCGCTCAAGCCGAGGCGCTTGTACCAGCTGTCAATTCGATTCTCAATCTCCGTGGAATTGTGTGTGGAGATTGGCTCAATGGTCCATTTCCTGTCGATAGCCATAGCCCCGGACAGAATTACAGACCCCCCAAAAAAAACATACGGGTCTGAATTTCAATTGGGGAGGCTTTGGTTTACCTCATTTGCATGCAACGTCATGTCCATAAACCATGTTTGAGGGTGTACTCAGAGCCGCATGCTGAAGTGAGGGCCGTGAGTCACATTGGCGTACAGCCACAGCGGGTCCTTTCACATCGCTGGAACTCGATCACTGTGCTCCTTGGCCGACGTGCTTGTGCATGAGGTGAGTGCGATTTTCTTGCCTTGCCTCTGTGCCAATGCATTCTGAGAATCCAGAGCAGGTAGTACGGGTTGAAATCGTCGATCATGCCATCCAACTCGTAGTAGTCCTTGGCCAAGATGGAATCTCACGTCAAGCAACTTTTGAAGTCCTGCCGTGGCATCCGCCCTTTGTGCAAGCCTGAAGACGGAACTCTATGGCTGAGATTGTACTGGTAGACTTCAAAAAAAAATCGCTTCCTTTGGCTTGTTCTTTTGAACAACCCCAACAAGAGCAGCTGCAGCAAAAAGACCAGCCATTCCCCACAAAATGCAAGTCAGCCAGCCTGGCATTTCACCACGTCCCAAACGGTGAGAAAGGGCCCCTGCCGAGGACAGGGGATTCGTATCATGTGATAATAACAAGATATCTTTGTTCATCTACCCAGGGACCGCACCCATTGGGACGATCCCTTCCTAACCTTCTACCCCTATTTCGGCTAACCAGCGAGCGGTGGCACCCGCCTAGCCCGGGATTCCGAAGCCATCCGAGTCCCTTCGGTCGGAGTCCGTTTATAACATCTCCAAATGGGCTGAACAAATTGAGGATCTCAAGACCGCAAATGTGAGGGGTCATTGGATGTTTGGATGTTCCCCCAAATCAAGGGTTGATCAATTCACGGGTGGTTTCCGTTGAAAGTATCGCCACTTTTGGAGGTTCCAAAAACAAAAGATGGCTGGCAAACACTGATGAGTCCTTACGCTTGTTTTCGCTACCCCCAAATCACTACCAGGGGATTAAAGGGAGCAGCCAGTAGCCCACCAGGAATTGGGGAAGGGTTGAAGAGCCTTCAACCGTCAGCCTTTGGTACCCACTCGTTAATCCAAAAGGAAACAACGATGTTTCGGGTCCCCGCTTTGAGAAACAAACAAATTTAACGGACCAGGTGGAAATGCTGGAAACCAAACCATGCTGAGAGAGAAAACAGGGCAATCAATGTAGAGTCCCACATACTGTGATTATCCTTTGGAGGAAATCAGGCATTCATTTGTGCAGGGATGTTGTGTCATGTTGCTACTGTTTTGGGGCTACCGAAGGTTTGCACCAGTTTGAAACCACGGTTGAAACCAGAACGTTCGTTGGTATTTACGTTGGGGAATCATCAGAAACCAGGGTTCCTTTAGGTGGTACGGCTAATGAGGCTATTGGATTTCTCAACCATCCACAGCAGTTTCTTTTTCGGCAGACCAAGAACAGTAGCACCATGACACAACCACCCTGCCACCATTTCCATGTCTTGCTTTTTGTTTTTGTGTTTTCCCCCGGAACGGGACGAGGAGGGGGGGGGTTCGCTTCGGTGGGGTGCCAACTCCACTCCGAGACTCGGTGACTTCGAGTCCCAAGAGCTGCTCGCGGTCCGTGTAGGACTGGGTGCGCTTCACCGCCTCCGCGGAAACGCGGCTGGGGCAGAGGAGGCGGGAGGGAGGCGAAAAAAGGGGTGGAAGATGCCGAAAGTCTGCGTCTGACCCGCAAACATGGGGGGCATGTGCTGACCCGAATCAAAACATGGGGGGGTTTTAGACCCCGAAAAAAAGTTCCTTGGGGGATCCGGAACAAACCTTAGACAAAGAACTTCTGGAAACAAATCAAACATGGGCAGGGCCACCCTCAAATATGTTGGGGAGGTTTCAACGAAAATATCGCCAGCTAGGTTTGTCTCAAAGGGAACGAACCTCCAAGATGAGTGGTTTCCTTCTGTTTTGCCCTCAAAAAAGGGGTGTTGCCTCGAAAACATGACCTTTTGGCTTCCCTTCAAAACAACGAGTCCCAAGGACAGGGGCCCGCGCGATGTCCCTCGACAACAGAACCCCAGGTCGACCATTCGCGAAAAACCCATCGACCCACCGGTCTCTAAAGAGCCACCACTCATTTTCTCAGGTCAGCCCATAGGAGAAAGATCCCGGAGAATGGCAAATGGATGGTATAGATATGCGGCTATGTGATTTGGTTTGCCCATTTTTCGCGGGTAGCCTTTTCAGGCCGGTTCAAAGGGCAACCCAAAGGGTAGGGCCAACAAATTTTGGTTGCTTCGCCCCTTGGTTGCGACCCAGGCATCTGGGTTTGGCGCTCCTGGTGTCCCTTGCCAACGCCCTTCGGCTGAAACGGAACCAAAAGGCTTCAACCGCAGCCCATTGGGCCCAATCTCATTTCCCTATTTTGACACATACCCAAAGGGGTCCCTCATTTTGAGACACCCATGAATGTTGGGGTTGGGGACCAAAGGAAGTTCCGCCTAGTTTCATTGGTTCAAAAACAAACCATATTCGGTGTTTCCCCTGGAACCACCAACATGGGGGTGTCATTGGCGCCCTATTTGGGGTGCTTGGACAGAAAAAGAAAGAAATATTTGTTCCACACATTGATTCTGGAGACACAATCATATCTGACAGGGCTCAAACACCTGAAAAGAAAAGGTCGACTTGTTCTTTGGTCATAAGCCCGTAGATCTCCCCTTCAGAGTTTAGACATGCATCAGCTCTAAATCAGGGTGGTGTGGTGTTAGGAAAATAGGGAATCCTGAGCACTGCAACAAGTGTTTCACGTTCGCGGGGTCAGTACACATGTCCAATCAACAAGTTAAAGGTCGAAGATCTTACCAAGTAGCCCAAGAAGTAATGACATGGATCCATATTTCGCGCTCTCTCCCACACGAGTACCGAGATCACATCCGCGATGCACAGGTTTCACATCTGCGCCTCGTCCAAGTCCCCCTTGAGCTTGTAGACCTCCGTCTCATAGTGCGACAGGCCCTTCTTGTACTCCTGGTCCCAAAACGAGCCATCGAAGATCGATATCGAGCTACCCAAAACCCAGAGAGCAACCGCAAGTTGGGCCGCGAGCTTTGATTGCGACAATCAACTGGCGAAGCTTTCTCACACGCGGCTCCTTGAAGTCATTGCGGATTCTCTGCAGGCTCTCATTCCACCTCAGTCACCGGTACAAAAAACCTCTGCCCGAAGGCGCGTGAATCAGGGGAAACAGGGTGACCAATACAAAAACCGCTTCTACTTGTCTTAACGATCACCTTTTGGTCGCCGATCTAAGGCGAGCTTTCTTTGCGTCATGTTTGTATTCAAGTAGGCTGGAAACTCGGGGAGCCTAGTGTTTGTGTCCATGCCCACACTCAAGAGTCCGAGCTCAAAACCAAGCTGCTTGCGTGTGTCATCGTTGAATTCCATCTGCTCGCCCTCCAGCACAGCGATCTCTGTGATGTTCCTGCGGTCAGTTGTGCAAAGCACACTTTCTGCCATGATTACACTCCTACAGATTGACATGGAACCTGCAAACAATCGTTGTTTGAGGAATCTTGATTTGAGATATCGCAGGTATGAAACCCGTTGACATTTTCATCTTAATGTGGGGAGGAACCAACTATTCTCGCAATGGCTGATTTCATGAACCATGTATCACTGTATTCAGAGACCCAAGATGGCAATGGGTTCGTTCGGTCTGTGAAAACAAATCGAATGTTTCCCCAATTGGGGCCTGATCCCCCTCGCTCTTGTGCACCCTGTTCGTCCTCCTCAAAGTAATAATTATTGGACTACCAGCAAAACTGTCAGGCAGTCCTACTGTGTCCTGGCAAGCAACTTCCGGTCACCACTGAAGCGGTCCTGTTGACCAGGAAATGCCACAGGCGAACTGTATGGTCATCAGAGCAGGTCACAAAAGCTTGCCTCACGAGCATGCTGTCGGAAGGGAGGTGGAAACAATCAGATACATGAGCAACAATGATGCTTCCTAGTCCCAGCGTCCCAAAATAGGCACCCCTTGAGTGGGCTGGCAAATGAAAACAAGGACCAAAATTCCTGCGGTCCAATTGGTTTTGGTTTTGACCCGTGGCCAAGTCTACTCAGCTTCCCTCTAATTGGTGCTTTAGATTGATGGTGGTTGAGGGGATTCCCATGTACCTTCTACAAGACCCAGGGGTTCAAATCCCAGACCACCAACGGTCCAATTCCTGGTGGTTGGGACCCGTGGCCATGTCTGCCTTGCACCAAATCCAACAAAAAAACAGCCGCTGCCGCCGTGCCACGAGCAGGGAGCCCAGGCTGCGAAGCGCACGCTGGCCAAGTGACCCTGAGCGGCTGAGTCAGATGAAGAATGCAACAGACCTTATACCAGGGATACTGTGGATGGACGAAATCCGCTCGCACCTAAAGAAACCCTGGCTTCTGATTCCCCAACGTAAATGCCAACAAACAATGGGTTCAACCATGGTTTCAGAGTGGTGCGAACGAATTTTGTCCATCCAGAGTATGTTTTTGGGTATGTACCGCCAAATCTCAGAGTATTGGTCCCTTTGCTAGATGGATATAAAAGGGAGAAAAAAGGAACACCAACCGCATTCGGTTTGAGGCCCTAACTGGTTGGATAAACGCCCTTTTCAGGCTAAACCGCAAAGGTCAAATCCGGTCGATTCGCTTTGGGGGCCCCCGAAACCCCTCAGCCAGGCCCTACTGGAAGTCACACCGAACAAAGTCCTGGAGGGAAAGACTTTGATGAACTTAGTGTATCCAAAGGTGAACTCGCTTACTGACACGGGCAACCCTAAATCTCCAACCTGAAAACATCACCAAAGGCGCCGCACCTTTGCTGGGCCAAAAAGGTGAGGTAGGTGTGTTGTTTTTTTGGGGACCGCCATTTCCCTCTAAGCCCACCCCAAAATGGGGCGCCAACTCCACAAAAAGACCAGCCCGTGCTTACAGCGGCCCTCAACCTGCAAAACAAGGGACCTGCAATGGCTCCGCTCGGCGCTGGCCGCTCACTGCGGAGAACAGGCCCACGTAGATGTCTTCCGAGGAGGACCTGAGATGGGCTCGTCTTTGAAGGGTGCCCCTCCCAGCCTTTCTTACCATAGAACCCGACGGTTCGGGAAATGGATCGTCAAAAGGTCCAATCCAGGACCCCAAAAGAACCTCAGGTTCCCAGGAAAAAATGGTGGGAGGGCACCCTTTTTTTCGATGGATTGAAAGGGAAACCACAAGCAAACCGAAGCGCATTTTGGGGGTTGGTCCTATTTTCGGACAAATCCAAACGCGCAGTAAAAGTTTGCGGATTGCTAATGGACATGGACACCCTGGTGGCTGTGGGTATATTTAGTGAGTCACCGCACCTGGGTCTCGCGCCAACTCTGAACACTGGCTGCTAGGCGTGCTCAAAAACTTCAGGAACCGAGTCGGTTCCAAGCAACACATGGGCGTCCTTTTTTCCGGAATCGGACCCTCCACAAATCCGGTTCCATCCGGTGCCCTTTAACCCAGCACCCCTCCCCCCCTCCCAAAAACAAACAAACCACGGGGTACCAACACCAAAAAAAGGGAACCCGACCCATATCCTCCAGTGTTTCCCTTATCCGAGAGACACCAGCGTTTCCCTTGTCCGAGAGACACCAGCGAGGTGGCGTCCGGCGACCAGGCCACAAAGCCGGAGAGGCACTGGATGGGATCGATGACCTGCGACGGCCATCCATTTGGCAGACGGGTCTGTCTTCTTTTGGCTCGGTACCCCTTTCTCCGTTGGGTTTAAAGGGAAGCCAAATGGGCTGAACAAATTGAGGACCTCAAGGCCGCAAATGTGAGGGGTCATTGGATGTTTGGATGTTAAAGAATTCAAGAGTTGTTGAATTCACGGGTGGTTTCCATTGAAACGATCGCCACTTTTGGAGGTTCCAAAAAGGGACATGGAGGAAACCCTGGATGTTGCTAGTTGTTCTATGTCGAAAGCCGAATGGATTTTGGCTGAACAAACCATCCGGGACCGCAGATGTTGCCTGCTTCTACATGCTGGGGCCGTCCGCAATTACCCTATTTTGGAGCCACAACCAAATCGGTTTCTCTGCCAAGACAAGCTCATCACAACTTGTGAGAGTGCTCGGTGCGCTTGCATCAAAGCATCCCCAGCTACCACGTGAGGATGCCGGTGGAACCTGGAACCTGTTAGTTGTCTCTCATTGCGAGTCAGGGCAAAGACGTCGCGTTACAAAGTCAAGCGCCTGCTTCAGCTCTGCGTCGAAATCGCCTTAGCTGACATCCCAGTTCTCAGTGTCATCTGGCTGTGGGTCAAAGTCAAAACCCAGGAAACCCCCGGTGAACATCAAACCAGGTGGTACATGGGCGTCCATCCGCCCCAAAATGGAGGCATAGGTTACCATAGGTTATGACCCATGGCCCTCAGACAAACCGCTCTGGTGAAGGCGAGTGGCTGTTGACCAAATCCCAGATGCGGATGGTGGCATCCTTGTCTGCTTTCGGTACGCGATCGGATCAGCGATTTTCAGTGCATCTGGCCAATCTCTGCACACAGCAAGGGGCCAATATCCAAAACAACAAACACTTTCAATCTGGCTGGTTCATTTGCCCGCCCTTGCCCCGAGCTCTCTTTACAACCCAGCCCTTGCGATGCAACAACACCCATTGAGGGGGTGGTCCGCCGGCCAAAAGAGACCATCCCCATGTAGCGGATGGACAAGCTCCTGCGGTTTGGATGGGAAAAAACCCTCGGAATTTGGCGGAAACGCCACCTACCAACCGGCGCGACATGGATGTTTTATCCATCCACCGTACTCTTTCGTCCTAAGGCCATGTCGGTGCTGCAGGTGGCCAAACCTCAGGATCGGATGAGTTCGGCGCATTTCGACGCGCCTCCGCAACACAAGCAGCTGAGCCGGGCTCCCTATATTTCCTTAAACATCCCCCCACCAAAAAACTCGTCTAGCACTGACAGCAAAAAAGTGATGCTTGAACAACCCCAAGTGGCAAATAGAGATGCAACCCTGCGGAACCTGGCCAGCATACAACAAACTTGTGAGCTGACAACACAAGTTGGCGATGTTTAAACAAACCCAAACGGCAGATTTGGGATGGAACTCTGCGATTTTCTGGCAATGGAAACCGGGGGGAAAACAATTCGGACCAGCATGCAACGCATGAATCGCGAGCTCAGCGGCGGTTGCCATCCAATGGAGAGAAGGAGAGGCAAACCTGAGAGCATCGAAGATGCTCCGCAGTTGGGGCTTTCATTGGGGCAACCATGGTGAGCTGGGATTTTCCCGGTGAGCTTGCCATAAAAAAAAGGTGAGCATGAATGCTCGCAAAACAGAACTCTCCGCTGACCGCGATCAAACTCCTTGTGGGCCGTCATGGTTCCCCTTGATAGCAAACCTGTCTGAACTCCCAATTCAGGGGTGGATGACCATCACTGACCCCAAGTCAACGGGTCTTGCCATGACACACACGGCACTCGGCGTCCGACATTGTCATTTTGGCACAAAGGCTATCCAAGGAGCACTGGGCTCCACCTTCATGGATGAAACCCAGTTTCCATGTCCAAGACAAACCACCTGTTTTCTTGATTCGTTGAAATGTAATGCAAAAATTGGTGGAAATTGCCCCGCCCCCAAGACGTTTCACTCTTGCTGGTTAAAAGCAGTTAGTGGGGAGCTCATCATTTCCCGAAAAAGTCAAAGGTCAAAAGATCCAACCCAATCGCTAAGAAATCCACCCGAACAAGTGGAGGTTTTCCCAGAAAGGCCGCTGCTGCCAAGAGGCCACTGCTGCCTTGTGAGCCGCTAGGAGCACCGGCTCGCCCTGCAGTGGTCGAGTTTTGGTTACATGCCGCGAAACCTCGGAACGGCCTCACCCTGCTCCTAGGGAAGCCCATAGAGATGTTGCTTAAGCAACCCTTGAGCAGACTTAGACCCCCTAAGAGGGGATTGTTCTTTGCCAGTTGAAAGGGAAAATGAAGGACACCCCAAAAGGGCACACAAGCAACGAGGTTACTTGAATGTTCAACCAACTTAGCAAACCGCAGGTTTTTGTCCATGGTTATAAGTGCATTTTAGAGGGTCCCAGAAAAAATAAATAAGAAGAAAAAAATAACAACAATTGAAAAAAACAAAAACAGACCCAAAGGAAACATTCAGGCACGACTTTCGAGCTGGCAACACCCCCCGTGTCATCAAAATTATAAGAAGACAAGAAGGTCATGTGAGCGCGAGGATCCAACACCCATTGACTTTAGGTTCTAAATGCTAAAATGGTAATAAATCCGTAAAGGTGTATAAAGTCCTTGCTAGAACCCGTGGTGAACTGTAGAACCGCCTACTCACTTACTTAAAGGGAATCGGTTTTGGGCGAAGCTCATGTCATGTTCGTCACAGTCCAAACGCGTGGCCTGCTGGTACTCGTCCGCGGGCTCCGGGTTGTCTTCGGTCCATCCCTCCTCGCAGGTGCTTGGCATTTCGGGTGTGTTGTAAAGTTGGGGAGCCGCTAAAATGGGTGGATTTCCTTTTGGTCTCCCATGAAATCGTGGTTCGCTCTGGTGCCCTTTGGGGGCGATTTGACGATTCTCAGTTGAGTGGATTGACACGAAAGCAACCAAACTGTTTCTTCGCCACTAAAATTGTACTCCAAAAAGTATGAAGTCCAGGTCTCAACGCACAAACTCCCTCCTCAGGAGGATCCGGCTTTGGGAGCAGCTTGTCAGGGTAGCGCAGGTCGTCCTTCGTCACTGTGTTGTAGACGCCTAAGGCCATGCAACCAAGTCGCAACTCGAGAGTCACTGGGTCTATGCTACCCAAGCGAAATCGTGCATTGAAATAGGCTTCACACCCCCCAAAAAAAAAAATGAAAATAAACAATGCGAGCCTACAGGGGAATTCCCACCCAAAGTAAATTTGAGAACAGCTCAAAATCTTCACTTCAAATCTGAGCAGGCTGCGGATGTGCTTCTCATTGCTGCCGATCAAGAGCCTTCCCAGGTTTCGATCGATTCGGTCACTTTGAGTGGCTGTCGGAAAGCCAGAAAGCCAGGTGTACCTTGGAATGGGCTTTGCAGCCCCGTCCTGCTCATTTTTATTGGGCAAGCAGTGGGAGTTGCAGACCGGTTAGTTGCTCTGTGCCAAGCCTAGGGAACCCAAATGAGTCACAATCAAAACCCGGTACAAACATGGTCGACCCAGAACCATGTAAAGAACTAAGAAGGCGGCCGCAGCTATTTATGGCTGGGATTGTCCCTTGCTAACCTTCATCTACCCAGGTTTTGATTGTGACTCAAATGCTAAGAAAACAGGCGGGGTTCACTTCCCGGTCGAACGACCGTCCCTACCAAGCCCCAAGTAGTTCTGACCATCACACATGTCTTTGGCATCTGGGGTACGGGTCGCTCGGGTGAGGGCCGAGTATCCATAACCAGCTAGACTGTAGCGGATCCTGCAGGCGGCTTTCTACCTAACACAAAAAAAACGAAGAAGCTTCTGTTTTGCAGTTTAGGGGTTTAGGGTTTAGGGTTTTGCATGTAGCCAACGTGACCCCAAAATCATCTTCCAAAATGGAGGAGACACCAAAATCTCTGCGCAGGGGCCACGAATCCCTCACTATCACATTCTCCATCCCACGCCTCGAGCCGTCGCCACAGAAGCCCGCGCAATGGATGGGGACGCGCACCTCCCCATGCTCCTGCACTCAAACCAACCTCCCACAGTACCCCTGTTGGTGTGATACTCCCCAGATTAACATACTAACATGGGAAAAGGGCGTCCCCTTCAGAAGGAGACTCCTCTAAAAATGGTGTTTGCGGGCTCCATGTTAATCTGTATATATGTATATATATATATATGTCATAGAAATCCGCCAGACGCATTCAGACAATCTCAGTTTGGCGCCGCGAGCATAGTCAGCTTTATAGTTGAAGTGGTGTAGTCAAAGGCACCAGAACGGCGTCCTTCGTTGTCTGTGTGATGGCTTTCGTCATCAACTCTTCCCCGGTGTTGACGTCCCACAACTTGATCAAGCCATCCTGCGACAAGCACGAGATCAAAGTCCGTGATGACATGTCTTTGGTGACCAAAATTTGGGGCTTAACAACTATGGATCTTTGCTGAACACAAACACAAACATTTCCGGGGTGCTACACAAAGACATAATGCATCTTCACATCGTTGCTATCTCATGCAAACTGAAGCCCATACACCAAATAACTGCAGTCCGCTTGGTGTCTTTCCATCTTCTTCTTGTCCCCCTTACAAGCTCCGGCCACGCAAAATGTGAATCAGGGGTCGTTCTACCATCAAAGTCAGTAATTGGTTGTCAGGGGGGAATGGTCTCCAAGAGTGAGTTTGAGACGCATGGGGCGTGTCTCAAAGTAGGGGAGACCCCCCAAAGAAATAGTTTCCACTTTTGGATTCCCTTCTAAACACCCAAAGGGTACCAACTCAAAAAAAACATATTGAACAGTGGTGAGCTCGATCTGGCGAGCGAGGGAAAACCTCTCGTCTCAGGCCTCGCTGCCGGTCGCCACCATCTTGCCGTCCCGGCTGAAGGAGATGATCTTCACCGGGCCTGGCGGAAGTTTTTTATCCATGAAACCAGGTAGTGTTGACCCCGGATTAATAAACCCCTTTGTACTAATAGGGGATCACTGGGTTTGGTGGGGATTCATCACTTTTGGAGGGCAACACCCCCATATTAATATACTGGGGTTGATTCACTGGGGTCAACATTGGTAGAACCACCTAAAGTGGCCGATGAGAATCGGTTTTGGGCGCTGCTCTAAGTGGAGCGTAGATTGCAAAACAGAGCCATGCACGTCCTGTATCAGGCTTGAAACCTGACTGTAATATTGTGATGTCGTCACGGGCATACTTAGCATAATTTCACGCCTGGCCTGGAGTTGCTCAACTGGTACCCTATTTCGCCACAAGGTTAGGTCCCTCAGTGATCACTTGTCTTGGCAAAGCCCACGGTACCTGCAAATTGCTTGGGTTGGGGTAAGCCATCTCCGACAAACCTGCCCCGGGCTTGCGCAAAAAGAACAACTGTTCGAGGGTTGGCCAAAGAGTTCAATGATCCAACCGAATGGGTATGAATTTGACTTGAGCCTTGCATTTAGGTGGCCATTCATGTACACTAAACATTTTTGCGGGGAGTTAAGCCGCCATGACTACCCTCCGACTAACATGGCACCCGACTGGGGGCTCCCGTAAGGAAATTAATCTTCCAGGTACCCTTATACAGGTGCTACTGTGGATGCGACGAAAACCTGCACCACCTAAGACACCCTGGAATCATGATTCCCCTGTAAATACCAATCAACACTAGTTTGAACCATAGTTTCACTTCGCGGTGCGAACGCATGTCGCAACCATCCCCCGTTTGTGGGAGGAAGGGCAAACTTTGCCGGCGCTCGGGGAAGAAAGGCATGGACCTGGAGATTCCCTGAAGGAAACCCAACTCGGATGGATGGTTTTCCGGGGGTCAGACTCCATTTCCCAGGGCCCGCAGCGACCGCATCTCTCGCAAGGTTGACATCTCCCTGAGAGGCGGATGGATCCCCCCGACCGCTCTCCGCCTTCGTGGGGCCCCAGCTTCTTGGGAGGCTCCGGCACCGGGATCTCCTCCCCGTTCTCGTCGTACTCGGGCTCCGGCGGCTCCTGCGCATGCCGTCCCGGCGACTTCCCGGGCGCTTCCGGGCTACCTTCCCCCAGTCTTTCGTTCCATTTGCGGAGTCCCCTGGCAAAAAACCATCCGGCGAGAGATTCCCTTAAACAGGGTGCAAACAGAAGATATTAAGCAAATGGACGTTTCCAGAAATCCTCCTTTCTGGACAACCTGCGTTTTTTTTGGGGTATCCTCCTGTCTCTCACTTCCCGAGTGGATTGGCCAATAATAGTCTCAAACATGGTGGACACCATTTCCCGCGGTCCCAGCCACTGCTTGACTGCTGTCCAAGCACCAAGGGGAGTTTGAACATGGGACAAATGCAGTTGTTGGGGGGGCTGGTTACGTGGGAGATGGTATGTCCACGAACAATGGTTTGGGTTGTTAAACAAACAGGGTGTTGCAGTAAACAAGGCCGTGAACTCCGGAATGCGATGGTACTGGAAAGACACACACACACACACACACACATATGTCTGCGATTTGGCTGTTCTGATTTGGGCCTCTTTTTTTCTTGAGGGGTGTAAACGGGTGTCTTTTTTTAGGGGACCTTCCCCCCCCATCAAAAAAAACCTCGAAAATGAAACAAAACGTCACGCATTCCTCGTGTTTGTTTTTCCCTTTAAAACCATCCCCAAAAAACCGTCTGCTTTGGTCTTGTGAAAAAAACGACCCAGAGATCCGCATCCGCATCCGTCTCGTGCCTCGTGCTGAAAAAACGCGCAAGCGCCCGGACGTCCTCTTCCCCGTTGTCTTGCGGCACGTGCTTCAGGACCCGGATCTCCTTCTTGGAGCCGAAGTCGATGATCTTGATGGCCTCAAGCGGCGTCAAGCGGCGTCAAGCGCAAACAAAACCCGATGGCCGTTTCTGCGGGGCTCCCGATTTTTTTGTTCCCACCTTCCACGTAAAACCACCATATCCGGACCATGGGAAGCGCACAAAATATTTAATAGCCACCAAAAGTTGGACATATCCGGACAACATGGGACCAAACCACGATGGTTTTAAGAACCTCTGTTTTTGGTGTCCCTTTCAAGGGGACGACTGGCCTGCTTTAAACAGCATGTCAATGTTAGCCCTACCCCATTGCTTATGCCCAACACGCCCTGGCATCACCAGCAACACCGCCAGCATAGCCAGTACAAACAGTATGTGTGGCTTTGTCTCTACCCTATTGTAGAAACAAAAACAGGGACCCCGTTGGATGTTGACCTTAAACAACTCCTTACCTTCTTGAAAAACGGCTCTATGCATGGTATACATAGAAGCAGGAACCTCTACAATGGTTCCAAAGATTGAAACATAGGGATTAGATCCCCAAGCAGGTTTAGCCCCGGATCAGTCAGCTCGAAGCCCGTAAAATGGGCGAATACATGTGTGTTTTTATATATATATATACGAGTCGCACTCAAAACCTCTATAGGCCATGGTCATGAGTTAAAAGGAACCTTTACATTCCAGCACCCCCAAACGAGTGTTTATTTTCCATGCCAAAATCCCCTTGCTACTGTCCAAGCAGTGTTTGCTTTGTATGCTGGTTGGTGGTTGTTGATTACCCCGTTGGGAGGTTGAATCACATTTGCTTTGGCCCCTGGAAAAAATAAAAGCTACTTCCAGTAGTAATAGACCCCCTTTAAAACCGACGAGGGACAATAAACAACCATGTTCCTAAGCAAATGGAACAGCAGGTCTGGGGGATCCCCCCAAAAGACACACTTTGTTTGTGGGATCCCCTAAAAGACACACCCATGGCTACGCCTAAAATCAGCCACACACCGCCGGACCATCTCTCCGAGATGCCCTGTCTTCATCATCCATCGCCAAGGCCTCAGCTTTGGTTCCATTTGCCCAGGCGCCATCTTGGTACATGAGCCACAGCCAGATGGCTGCGGCTCAAAACACCGGGAATTCCAACATGGGTTGCCCTGGGAAGTGGAACCATGGGCCAAATCCCGCGGTTTGCCCCTCCTGTTTAATTCTGAGCCACAGACATATAGTATACATACTGTGGAGGGACAAAATCCGTTCGCACACCAGCTTGTAGGTGGTTTATCCGAGTATTCATAGGGCATGTATCCCAAGTAATGCGGGATTTCGTCGACCCGCAGTATGCGTGTGTCTTTTGTAGCGGACCCCAAAATGATGGAGTTCCGTGCTCCTTCAAAACCAGCAAAAAAGGTACACTCAAAAAAACACACACACACACACACATATACTCTTTACACAGTGTCGCATAGTGGTTCCATACCCGCCACCCCCTTTTCCACTTGTAGTAGTGAAGACCCTCATTGAGCCATGCTGAGGGCCCTGCAATCTTATCCTTTGATCCTGCTGCAGTTGTAATCCGCCCGCCCACGTCCGCGCTATCAAGGTATTGTCCTGGCGCCAACGGGCGAAATGCACGAGCTCATGACACATGTCTGCGCGTGGGAAACCTTCAACTTGGCTCCCTTTCGATGATCTTTTGAAACCCACCCGCAAGCCAAGGTGTGCTTTTGGAAAAGCACGGATGCCGCTGAGAAGCGACTAAAAGAAGTGCCATGCATGTTTAACCTAATTGACCTCGAAAGGACACCTATGCTCCCAAAACGACACCCACATGTCTCGACCGCAAAGTGTGAGTGTCTCCTGTCGGCGGATCCCAGAAGTGGATCTGCAGGCGTCAGGGAGAAGCCCGAAAGCAAAATGCGCCATGCATCAAACCTCCTTAAGGAGGGTATCATACGTTCCCGGAAAAGGAGTCGCACGTCCCAACTCTATGGTCCAGCCAGGGGTTGATGACTCTGATGCTCATCCCTACTGTGGATGGACGAAATCCTGCACCACCTAAAAAACCCTGATGATTTCCTTGCAAATACCAACAAACATGGTTCTCCATGGTTTTAAAATGGTGCAGGACTTTGTCCGTCCACAGTATCAACTTCCAATTCAGTAGCTTTCATAGCTTTCACCATCCGGCGCAGTCGCTCGCCTTGCCCGCGCCACCCACGGATGCGATGCGGTTGTCATCTTGCGCCCACAGCACTGTGTGCACAGCCTAGGCGTTGACGAGTGGCTTTGAAAAGGACACCGAGAGGAAACTATTTTTTTTCTTGGGGGAGGGTAGAGGAAACTAATGTTTTTTTCTTGGGGGAGGGTAGGGGAAACTAATGTTTTTTCTTGGGGGGGGGGGAGGGTAGAGGAAACTAATAATGTTTTTTCTTGGGGGAGGGTAGAGGAAACTAATGTTTTTTCTTGGGGGGGGGGGTCGAGGAAACTCATCTTTTTTCTTGGGGGAGGGTAGAGGAAACTAATGTTTTTTCTTGGGGGGGGGGTAGAGGAAACTGATGTTTTTTTCCTGGGGAGGGGGTTATTTAAGACACACCCAGGTATTGCAGTACTATCAGGGAACCAAACTCGCCCTGGGACCCAACCAAGGGCAATACGTGAGAATCCGGCAAGTACGTCCCTGCTCCCGAATATCTACTGTGGCTCTTCTGAAGCATGTGGCTATGGGTCAAAAATGCGTACCCAAAATGGAACCCTGCTAAATGGAACCAAAGACTAAAACCTGCGGTGTTTTTAGGTGGTTCTATTTTGACCCGTACCCATGTCTTGCAGAGCTTGGTCTCCGGCCTTGTCGTGCTTCATGAGCGGTTCGCCCTTCGGCTGCGCCTAGCATGCCACGTGTTTCGTTGTTGGGGAAGTACAGCGGATGAAATGCCAAGAGCGCGGCGCATGAAGGCAAGGCGTAGTAGCCTGTGCAACTCAGACGTTCCGAAACTCATGAATCCTGCACACCAATCAGATCTCATCAGCTACAGTCAAGAATCCAACATATGAGTCATGGTCATGACTCTTTCCGAGGATGCTTTATGGTGGATGGGTTTCACAATCTTTACGAACGGTTCATGACGAACCCTGTCAATCCGAAGTACACAGGTGTTGTTACATGAACAGTGCACAGAACTTGTCTTTGCTACAGCAGATTGCTAAGGTTTAGATCGTCCTCGCGCTTCTTGTCAAACCAGGGCTGTGGGAAATGGAATCCACTTCTGTACAGCAAAAAAGGGGCCTAACCCCCAAGACCAACCCCGCGGAAGGGGGGATATTTTTAGAGGTACCACAGAAGTGGTTGGACAAACCGCGAGTGATCCGGATCACAACCCTGAACCAGGCGGTGGAACCCGGTCAAATTCTCCTGACGGGTTTTGGCATGTTTCTTCAGCTCAGCGGCAGGTCGCAGTGGGGGGGACCAGGATCTTGCCCGTGGCCTGACGCAACGCCGGAAAGGTTGGGGCACTCCGAGGGTGTCCTTTTTGTCCTTTTTTCGAAAGGGGGGGGGATGGATCAAAAGGGAAACCAGAAGTTTAGGAGTGTTTCTTTCGGAGGGTTTGAAGGGAAACCAGAAGGACCAATTCGACAAACCCTAGAGGGTTGGGCCCCGGCTTCTGCAAGTTTTTGCTCGGACCTCCCCAATAGAAACATCCACTCGTGAAGGAGAGTCGAACGGCAACCAAAAGATGTCCCCAAAAGAAACATCACCCCAAAGGAAACTCCACCAAGTGGCGATATGCTTCTGTGCCTTTGCACCCTGGTTGGACACCAAGCTCCACTTTGGGCTCCAAATCCTCCCTTTTGGCCAGCGCCACATCCCCATGCCGGGGCCTTTCCAATGCCAACCAAAAAGGTGTCAACAGCCACTCCCAAACCCTTCCGGAAACCCCAGAAAAAGCGGCGCCGTCTGCTCCGAAAATTTTCAGACCGACCCCCGCCTCGTCCACCTCTTCGGAGTCTTCGAGCTTGGGCATGGTCTCGGGACCCTTGTAGAAGAGCTTCAGGCCTCAAGCTCCGATGGCTTCGCCCTTCGAATTCCTTCGATCAACCAGCCCACCATTTAGCAGACTCCCGTTTTCCACTTGGTTTATATAGACTCATTGCTTTTTGTTTTTTTCTGGACCTGTTCGAATGTGTCCAAGCAACCCGTCAGCTTTCAGCCGGTTTACCTGTTGCTTCGTGGATTTGCCGGGTGTCTTTTTCGAGCCCAACAGCACAGTTGGGTGATGTGTTTGAAGCTTCTGAGACAAACCCATCAGCACAAGGGCTGTCTTTGTTGGCAAAGCACACGGAAAAAAACAAATCTTCACCAAAGCAAAGGCCGAAATCCATTTTGAGCGTGACACTTTCCGACTTGGATTTCTGTCGCTTTGGACTTCGACAAGCCCATTGACCAGTTGCGCATTCTCAAAGTGGGAAACCGGACGTTGGAACCATCCCTAAACCCTTGGGGTGTTGAATCATTGAATGGACCTCTGGAGACATCAACAATTCCAAGTCCCACGAGGTGTCCGCTTGCCGACTCGGGTCGGGGCAGCAGATCGACTTGGTCAAAATGGGAAAAGCCTTGGGTTTGTTTCTAAATAGATAACCCCAACAAGAAATGGCTTGCTGTTAGATCCCATCCGAAGCAAACCGAAGGGAAGCACGAAAATGGCTGACTCCTACCAGAAAGAATCCAACTCATAGCCAAAACCCATGGACTTCGGGTTCTACCAAGATACAAGTACTTCTAAAACATTTGTCAACTGGCCTTCACTGGGGTACCCCCCAAAATCATGTTCCTTTTGGTTTCCTTTTCTTTCAACCGCACAAAACATATAAAAGGGTAACGCGCCTCAACAACTAGAGTGGGCACTCCGAGCCCAGCGCCATGTTTGTCCTCGCCATGGCAGAAGTACTCCACGCGAATGAGATGCTGACCTGCCGACTCGCCAGGAGGGGGGACATGACCGCTCGAATCAATCCCGGCTGAAGAAAAACACCAGAGGGGAATTCACACCCATTTGGGATTGCCCAATGGGAAAGGGCTTGCCTTTCTGTCGGGGCACGCCCTACTTGACAACATCGTTGGGCTTTGAGTTTGACCAAGGGATTGAGGCGTTAAGAGCCCCTTTTGGCGCACATCGCTTTGGTTCTCTTTGGTTTTATGCAAAAAACACGGCCAAGGATACGCGAGCTAACAAGAGACACTCAGCATCCAGTTGGCTTCCCAAAGTCTCCAAAAAGGCGCCAAGCTGTGTGTAATGCTCCAGCGACTTGTCGCTTCCAAGCCGCCCGTTTCATTGGCTTCTGAACCAAAACTGCGACGGGTTTGAGGTGTCAAAAAGTGAGGGCTGGACGCTGAAACGAGGCGTTCGAGGTGTCAACAAAAATCAGGGGTCTTTATTGGTATCCTTTTAAGAACAGGTGGCCCCTGAGGTGTTTGAGGTGTCAAAACAAAAAGTCAGGGGCCATAGGTGTCCTTTTAGAGTAAATAGATGGCCCTGGTAGATACTTAAACCACCAGGTAAACCAGGGCCATCTATTTTTCTGGGTCTTTGTTGGTATCCTCTTAAGGCACCAAGAAGGTGGCACCTCTTTGGTCCGAAGTTTGGGCCCCAAACGCCATTCGCCCCGCCTTTCTTCAGCTCAATGTCCACCGTCTTGTCCTCGAGGGACATCTGCTTGTCGTTGATGTAGAGAATGGCCTTCTTGCCTCGGGGCTGGAAGGAAAAACGATTTGGGGGGGGGGGGGGGGAAAGGAAATTTGACAACTGGAGCCGTGCCCCCCTTGGGGGTCGAAAAGTTGGGGGTCGAAAAGGGGTCAAACCTCCAAAAAGGAGTGGTTTAAGGGTCATCAAAAAAATGGAAACTGCACCCCGTTCTTTCATGGTCTGAAAATATGCGTGATGCAAGAACCAGAAGAAATGATTGCATTCCTCTGGTAGACAAGTCCTGAACTGAGCCTGCAATGGATCACTGCCCACTTGTGCCAGGCAGCCAGATTCAATGAAGAACTGATACTTGGCCTTCTTGGCATCACCGCAGGTCACATTGATATACCTGGAAAGAAGGCGTGAGGGACTGAGCCAACTCGCCAAAAAAAACATAGGCTGTGCTCCGGAACATTTTCCTTGGGCCCCGAAAATGATTAATACGTCGGTCCCAAAGAGCGACTAGGCCGCAAAGGTTCCCCTTGCAAATTGGATCTGAGTCAGCGAATCAGGTCAAAATTAAGTCCCCATGGAGTTGAAGTTGAGCGAGGCATAGATGGGGTATTGGCCGAACCTCATACGATGAAGCCAGGCTCACGTGGTGAATCTCGCCGCGAAAGGGCCGCCATACCGAGCTGGTAGCCCTTGCCATGGAGTTTCGATCTGACAGGGCAGGCGGCTTTCGGTTTCGTCCAGGGACCTTTTTTCGCCTTTTCTCTGAAACCAAAGACACCTACATGGGGGTGGCTCAAAATTAACCACGAGGGGTTTTGGTCCTTGTTTCCACTTACCAGGGCAATATATTTGGGAATTCCGGTTTTTTGAGCCACAGCCACATGCCGTGCTTTCGCAGCTTTGGAATCTTCGCAGCTCCTTTCGCATTTTGACCCTTCCCTTGCCAGTGACTGCGAAGGGGGTTGCCAGGAGGCCTTCAGCAAGAAGTTTTGTGATACAGCTTCCTTTTAGTCTTTGCATGGTGCGTTTCCATGCCCCCCAGTGGGAAAAAGGGCACCAAATTTGGGGCACCCCAACACCCTTTAGTCTTTTTCCATACCCCCAGTGGGGCAAAATAGGGCACCCAATTTTTGGGCAACACAAAGGGAGAAAGGGCGCCGGGCAGTGCTGGGAGCTGGGGATTTCCACGGGAAAGGGGAAAAACCTTGGTGCTTTTCACAGACCTCTTCAAACCACGGCCGTTGGAGGTTTCCCCCTGCACAAGCTAAGGACACCAAGCTTAAAAAAAAAGAAAAAGGGACAGGTTCTCACACTTCTTCAAAAGACCCTTCAGGAAAAAAGAAAAAGAAATGGAACCTGGTCAGAGGCTTCATTGAGCCCGGCCTCTTCGAAGTCAAGCTGTTTCTCTGTGCGGACAATGTCAGGGTCGATGCCCTCGGGGATGATGCCATCCTCATAGTCCTCTAGATGCGAGGGCTTCAAGACATGGGATTTTGCCCCAGGAAGCTAAAGGATCAGGCCCAGATAGGCTCTGGGGTGATTTGCGGCAGCTTTCAGGAGCGTGTCCGGAGGGTTCCGGAGGGGGGTGGCTGTTGGGGATAACCTTTCTTTTTGTTGGGAGTTGCCATCCCCCCCCCCCCCCGGTTTTGTTTATGGGAAATTTCCAGTGTCTCTCCCAAATCGACCATGGACATGTCGACCCATGTTCACCAAACCGCAAGTAAGACCAACTGGAAGAAGCGGTGGTGGTGTTCAATCCCCCCCCTCCCCCCGGTAAGCGGGAGCCCACTTGCCAGCCACGGTTTGTCAATGTCCCTTTCGTAAATGATAAACCGTGGCTGGCAAATGGAACATTGACATTGATAAACCGTGGCCTCTGCCTTTATCATTGTCAATTATCCAAAAGGACTTTCCCCTTTCGTAGTCACCTCAGCTCCCCATGTCTCCCGGTCCGCTGGGAAGTACTCCGCAATGAAGCCAGGCTTTGGGACCACCTATGAGTCGCTTGTCCATGTCTCGGTCCGTTCACAAGTTGAAGGAACGTGGTGACCCGTTTTTGGAGCTAACCCCAAGCAACAAACACAAGCTCCCACAAAAACAGGGGTCTATCTCTGTGGAATCGCAGCCGTCCAAACCAGTGACATGTCCTGTTGGTTTTACCTTTAAAAGCAGCCCCCCTATATTCCAAGCCAAAAACAAACATGACGAGCCATCCACATGGGTTCGCAGCAATCCAATGGCACACCTGGCCTGGCAGGAGTCCATGTCCTTAGTTCCACCGCTCGAGGAATGATTGCATCAAACTCGAGCACATGGATTTTGGTCCATGTTTCCATTTACCAGGGTTCCATTTTGGGTACCGGTTTTCTGAGCCACAACCACATGGCAACAAACCAAACATTCAGCTGTACCCTCCCCATTCTCTTCGGGGATCCTTCTCATTGCATCACCCAGGGAAGAATGACCAAAGTATCTCGCCTTTTAATGATGTTTACATTGACACCACCCGAGAAGGGGGGAACTATGGGACACCCTGCGACCTGCGAGCAAATGGCTGAAAGGTCTGCGGAAAGGGCGTAATCCCAGCACTCTCTAGTTTCCATGTCCAAACCATTCTGACACAGGGAACCCTTTTTTCTACTCAGAAAGCCGCAAGACAAAACAAAACCAAACTGGACATGGTTGTTGAACAGAGCGATGATGGAACGACTGGGGTTGGTTTTCTTCCGAGAGTGATGCAGAAACCTCCACCTTTGACTCCCCGCTTCACTCCACAAAGTTCACTCCCTGATTGACATCTAAGCCAGGAATCGACCGTTCCAAGAGTGATGCCGAAAAATCCACCTTGGACTCCCCAAATTTGACTCCCTGGTTCCTCCACCTTTGACTCCCCGCTTGACCCCACATTTGGCCATGGGTCAAAAAAACTGTACCCCTGGTGAACATCCCAATCCCCACTAAAATAGGTCCTAAAAATGGGTTTTGAATTCACCTACCCCAACATGGGATCCCAAAACGGTGTTGACAACCACAGCCAGTTCCCTCCCTGAACGACCTCCAATCGGTCTTTCAGCCAGGCGCGTGCTGCAGCACGGCCACGGGGATGGTGCTGATCTCGTCCCCGGTGTCCGGGCCCGAATACGACAAGTTGATCTCCTTGGATGCCTCGGAAGATTCGGACGGATCGGATGCCGCCGCATTTATTTCGTCGATTCGGATGCCATTTCGGATTCTTGGAGGGAAGCACATTTGTGTGGTGGGTTTAAAGGGAGACCAAAAGGAAAACACCGCCTTTTTTTTGAGCGCCCTGGAATCTCCTTCTAATTCGGCAGGCTACCAGAGATGTAGAACCTGTGGGTTTTATACTTAGCGTCTCCGGATCTGAACCTTAAACAAATAGGTCAATGAAAGGACCAAACAGCTTTTTCTGGGGCCAGGTATAAAACCCACAGAAGGTTCTACAGGACATCCTGATTTCTGATAGGCGCTGGCCGAATTTCCGGAAGAACAACTCCTGTGGTTTCTATGGGCTTTTTGAGCGGGCATCAACATCTGAGTGGTCCACCTCCAAATCACTACCCTCAGGGGAAAATGCTTTACCCACACACGGCGCTTTATTAATGCAGGTCGTTCAACCTTTCGTTTTCCCGGGGTGCGCTTTGGGAGTGGAAACCCACTGTTTGGGAGTGGAATCCCACCTTTTGGGAGTGGAATCCGAATCCCACCTTAGGGCCAGACATCATTCGCAAAGTAGTCCACCATGATGCGATTGGGTCCTGGCTCGCTCACAGCTCGCCTCTTTCGCCCTCAACTTATAATAGAAGACTTGGTCTGAAAGCCTGGCTTTAAAGGGGCTCATGACAAACCAAAGTAGAGGACTTGATCCTTCACCATGGGCACATGTGAAATGATGCAAGGTGGTCTCTGCTGGCCTCAAGGGAAGGCATAAACGGAACGTCCAAATAGCAACCGCTGGGTTGCTCTTAAGGGTTGCTGTTTATACCACAGTGTGTGTGTGTGTGTTTCCTTTTGTTTAATCAAAATATGGGAACCCAACAAAATGTGCGTTTGGGTTTTCCTTAACACAAATCCAAACAAGGGTACCCCCTCTGCCCTTGTGATGCATGCCAATCTTCCGTTTCATCGCGCTGCTTCGCTCCTCCCAAAAGCTTCCCCTCCCACTCGCCGGAGCCATCGATGACAATCTTGTCATTCAGCCTGGCATGAGACAAATTGAGGGAGGCTTCTTCAGAAAGAAATTGCCTTGAAACCCACCAGACAAATGGTCCCATTTAGAGGAAAATTGTCTTCCAGGACCCCTCAGTCACTTTCCACGGCTGCAAGGATGGGAGAGTACCTGTGTCTGTTCGTTGTATAGGATTAATTCTAAAAAAGGTGCTGAGACTGCCAGACTGCCGGGTTCAGGGTTGAAAGGAATCATCCAAAGTCAAGACAACTTAAATCAGGCTCAAGTCGCGTGTAGGCCCTGTAATCCTTTTTCTTTCTCAAAGAGAAAAACATAAACAACGACGGACCGGGCATTTTCCTTTCACCAACTGGTGGTTGCGCCTCAAAAGCGCAGCGGTGGACGCTTCCAGCTTCATCTTGTAGTCCCCCATCTTTGTGATCTCAATGATGCCTTTCCACCTGACAGAAGGCTCGAGATAAACGATGAAAAACCTGGGGTTTGAGGCTCCAATGGATTCGGTTCCCATTTTTTTTGAAACACTGGGGCGGGCTGGCCCGGTGCAAAGACGGCCAGGCATGCGAATTGCCAAGCAAGACTCGAACTGGAATAGGAACCCAGGTTTTGCGAACCGCTAAGTTCAACCCATATTCCGTCGCAACCATCTAAACCCCGGATGGCTTTCGGCTCATCATTCCCGTAGGTTGCAACCTTTGGGATTCCAGGGGGAAAAAAAAGAGAGAGCACCTGGCGGCGTAGTGGCTGCCGAAACTGCTGGGCAAGCCGGTCCATGTCCTGAGGCACAAGTGGTCGGCAGGTTCATTGTGGATGCTGCGAAATCCGTCGCACCACTTTGCAACCAATGGGAAACCGCAACGTTTGTGGGTATTTACAGGGGAACCGAATCAGAAACCAGGGTTTCTGAACGGTGGTGCGAACGGAATTCGTCCATCCACAGTATGGCTGAAGGATGTCCATATATGGGACCTGTGGTTGATATCCCCGGCTTGGTTAGAGCTTGGTGGACGCTTCGCGCCCAAACGCGCGCCCCCAAGAGTCAGTTGGTCAAGGGCGATCCAAGTCCAATACCCTCCTATCCCCATCAGCCAAACAACTCTTCGGGCACGAAAAAAAAAACGCCCCGCAGGATCTCTCAGGGAACCTTCCCTAAAACGGAAGCTGGAAACGGGAAACGAAAGGGAACCCAAGGCCCATTTTTTGGGGCTTTGCCTGACATGCAAGATACCCAAAGCACGCAACACACACGGGATGCATGGGATGGACTCATCCCCCAAAAAATTCTACACGGCGGTCGATTGTTTTGGTCTGCAGTCGAAAAATGAAACCCTGTTACTATGGTCGACAATCGAATTACTTGTTTCCCCAGCATACAGGTGAGTTCCCTTAGCAGGAAAAAAAGAGGTTCCATTGGACCTGGGTTTGGCACCACACCCCCGGAACAGCGCCACATGGGTGCTGTGTTTGAATTGGCACCGTTCGGTTGGTGTCCCTTCAAACCCACCCCAAGAAGGGTGTACCTGGAGCGTGACCATTCTTTTGGGTAACCCCATTTTTTCTTCGGGTCAGATCCGGAGACTCCAGGTACCCACTTAGCCGCTCCACTTTCGAGACCCCATAGAAAATAGTCTTAAGCTGGTGGCTTGTCGTTTGGTTTCCCTTCAAAAACCACCCAAAAGGCTGCACCCACTCCACCTTAAAGACAAAACGCGCCCACTACCTGGTTTTTGCCCGTTTGGTTTCCCTCTAAAAACCACAAAAGGCCGTACCCACTCCACCTTCAAGACCACCCGCGGCCACCCTCCGCTCCAAAAAACGCGCCACGCGCCACCGAGGGGCGAGGCAGACTTCACCCAGTCAATCTGCTGCTCCGAGCGCGCGATGTCCGGCTTACGGCCCAGCAGCGGCGGGGGCTTCTTGAAGCCCTCCGGCCGACATGTTCGTTGGTTCCATTTACCAGGGTCGCATTTTGGGGTTTCCCTATTTTTGACCCACTCCCATATTCAAACGTGATTTTGGGGTTACCCTATTTTTGACCCACTCCCATATTCAAATGTGAAGCAAGAACAAATGTACATACCACATATTTGAAGCCCTCGGCAAACATGTTGCAGCGACCGAACATGTTGCAGCGGTGGCCATGGTTCGGACGGAAATGTGGATGGTTGCGAAATCCATTTCGCACCAAAATGAAACCATACTGGTATCTGGTGTTTGCGTAGCTTTTCAACCCCAGAAGTCTTGAGAGACCCTGAGAAACGCATCAACTGAATGATCTTGCAACGAAAGCCCCAATTTGTATCCTTGGGACCCTGACCAAGGACTCGTTTTCAGAAGAGCGCAACTGATTTGTTTTGGGGCGCTAAGCATACAAGGTCCATGGAGTTTCCCATAATAGAGGACAACTGTTTTGTTTCGGTGCAAAACGTCCACCAACCTTCTTTTCGGCAAGGCAGTGTTTCAAGAAAGCCACAGTTCTGCGTCTTTTTCTGCAACCTGTTGGTTTCAATTGAACACCTACAGGAAGCTGACCAACATGCATCCAATCCATACAGGTTGGGATTTTGCAGAGCCCTTTTAGGGAAGCTACCTGGTCACTAGAATTCAGCAAGGCACATGAGTTGGTCAATACCAGAGCCCCACGGTCCATTTGGGAGGTACATAAGGGACGAGCTCTAAACGTCCCCTACAAACAACTACGGGACGCACCAATTGTTCCCCACAAAAGCCAGGGGACGAGCTCACAAATTCCCCGCAACCAGGAACCCGGGCCTCCACTGAGTTTCCCACAAACGGGCGGGGGGGGGGGACTCACAAAGCTGCCCATGGCCTCTTGGGGCAAACCTGGCTGTGGGTCAATGGGATCCCATTTTGGGGTAGGTGAATTCACCACCCAGTTTAGAACCTATTTTAGTGGTTGGATTGGGAAATTTGAATAGGTCAACGACAGGAGGCACTCCCTAAGGATGAGACAGTTTCTTCATAGTTTGAGATACTGTGGACGGACTAAATCCTGCACCACCTAACAACCCCTGGTTTTTTGATTCGATTCCCAACGTAAGTGTCGAGGATCCCCCTGAGCTGGTGGCTTGATGTATCCTTCGGACCCTGGTTCCCTTTGTGTTGCGGCCTTTTTGAAGGTACCTTAGGGACGAAAAAGAAAACCACTATTTTGCGTCGTTGTTT